CATAACACAAAGAGACCAGGCCTAAGCCCCACTGACAACGGTCACTGTGTCTCCCACCTCACTAGCCCCTGCTCAGACATATGCCCAGGACAATGGATTACTCAGACTGGACTCTGACCTTTACTCCCTATTTTTACTCAGGACAACAGCCGACAAGCCCAGCATCAGGCTGGAGCCAGACATCCCTGGGGAGGGCAGAGTGGCTCTTGGGGCCTGTCTGCTGCTGGTCATCTTAGAGAGAAGCCTTGAGGATGAGGCACTAGGTAGGAGAAGAGTTCCTCTTGAAGCTTCCTAAAGAGCTAGATATTGGGGTCTTCTCTACACCCTACTGCAGGATTCCCAGGGCTCCTGCCTAGAGTCCAGGTGGGCAGCCGCCACTCTGCATCCAAGGAGCCAAGCTCTTTGCTGGGTGTCAAGGGCTTCAGGGAAAGAAGAGATGCCTTTATTTGAGGGAGTCCACCACCTGATGGGGCATAGGCCCCACCCTAGAGGACCCCCACAATAATGAGGGGTCTCCTCCAACTTTACCACCCGTGGGCATCCTGGAAAAGTTACAGATGAAAGGGAAAGGCAAGATGGCAGAGAAGGAAGTAGGCGGATGGCGGTTTTCAGGAAGGAAGGGACTTGGAGTGGCCATGGGGGCAGTGTCTAGAGTGAAAGGAAGAGCATGGCTCAGAGACTGCCCTTGGCCCTGGCCCCTGGACAGAGTCTAAAGACATAGTCCCAAGACATAGTCCCAAGAGAGAGGACGCTGGAAAGGAGAAGAGAAAGAATAAAGCATAAAGGTGTTTTCTGACAGCAGTTCTAGGGATAACACCACACCAGACGAAGGGAAGAAGTCAAGGAGAGAGAGGCTGGAGTCAGGGAGGCCATCAAAGAGGCTCCACAGACAACGGAGCTGATCAGACGCCTGAAAGGGAAGGCATGTAAACCCAAGAGAAGCGGAGGGCGAACCAGGGCAGGAAAAGGCACAAGCAGAAAGAAGAGGAGAAAAGAGGGCTTTCCAGAAAGTACAGAGGGCAATGTGAGGATGGGCAGAAGCTGATGTCTTCAGGACAGAAGCTGAGGATAGGGAGAGAGACTGTAGGTGGGCCGGGCAGCCCCGTTCACACCGGCAGAATCTGAGGTGAAGAAGTCCATCCGCTTGGCAAAAACTGGTGAGAAGAGGCTGTGGGTGTGAAGCCAGCCTCTGGGGACAACCAGGCAGCTGGAGTAAAATGGAAACCTCATCTTAAACTCTTTGCTAATGAGTCCACTTTCCCAAACTCCAGACAGGTGAAGGATTGTAACCTGGGACAGAATCTCAGAATCTCAGAAAAGCCACCTTGGAAGGGCAGGGACAAAGCCCAGTTGCCAAGAAAGATGAAGGGGCCAGAGAGGTGGGAGGACCCCACCAGCTAACAATGGTGCTTCTTACTTGCTAAACCTTCTACACTCTACAAATATTGACTGTTTTAATCCTCACAACTATTGTTAGCCCCATTGTGAAGATGAGGAGCCCTGTGTAGCTACCAAGTGGTAAAACCAGGAGTTAAACCCAGGAGGTCCAACTCACCACTGTGCGCTTCGAGCCTGCTGTCTCTCAGAGCAGAAAGGGGGCCTGGGACAGCAAGGTGCAGTGCACCAGTCATCCACGTGAGGCCCTGTGACAGTTGTTACAACAATCCCTACACCTCTGACCCTCATAGCACCTCTCAGAAGCCTTAATGATGGGCTTTTTGGTTAGAAGGCTATTTGGGGGTTTGATTTTGGTTGTTACACCCTCTCCTCTTCCAAGAAGTTTGTTTGTCTTTCTTTTCCAATCTTCATTTCAAATGTCTTTCCTTCTATGGGATTTGCTTCCTAAGACCTAATCTGTGTCCTTCCAGCTACGGCCTCAACCCTTTCCCTGGAACCCTTTCTGCCACTGGAAGAGCTGCAGAAGGACCAGATAGGCCCCTTCCCATGTCAGACCTTTCTGGATGCCTGAAGTGCTAACGCGGTCCTCCGGAGCCCCTACTTCCCCAACTTCTCTCTACTGGCCACATGGTTCCGCACTGACTTTGCTCCCACATTCCAGAGCCAGCTCCTCCTCTTCCCCACCACCTCAAATCCAGGCTCCAGGCTGACAGACACCCACGGAAGGATTTCTCCCACAATCCCTTTCTCTTCATCCTGGTGCGGGGAGGATGGAGAGGAGCTAGCCAGGATGTACTCTCTCCAAGAGAGGTGGGAGGACCCTGTCAACCAAGAACCTCATTTCTTACTTGCTAAAGCTCCTAAGCTGTTTTACAAATATTGACTCTTTTAATTCTCACCATTATTGTTGGCCCCACCGTGAGGATGAGGAGACTTGTGTGGCTACCAAGTAGCAGGATTTACCTGCTACATGGACACAACATGGCGACTAAATGCAGACAAAGGAAGCAAAGCACTGAACCCAGCCTGTGGGAGAGACTGAGGTGACAGGACCTGGGTGCTGCCCCGGCCAACCACACTTCACCAGGTGCTAAAACCTTTGGGTTCCAAACCTCCCTTTTGTCTCCAGCCTTTCCGCAATTCTAGTTCAGTGGTGTGCCTTGTGTTCTCCCTTTCCTGCCCCCTTCCAGGGCCTCACTGGAGTCCTGGACAGCTTCGCCTCGCCGTGGACAGTAACACTGACCAGTCAGGCAAGAGAAGAATCTAGGCTGGGAATGGAGGTGGGTAGGGAATCGAGGTTTTTTGGTTTTTTTTCCTTCTGCCTTCAATAACCCTTGGTGGAACAGTTTAGAAGCTCCATCATCCAGTGTCTCTCCCGCTCCCTAGGGACCTCAGTCTATCTTTACATCTCATATGTAGAAGCCAAGCATTTTGCTCGAAGGGCCAAGGATCTCCACTGAGAAATGGGTCTCGTTGCATGAGCTCCCCCACAAGAGTCCTGACACTTTACCCCACCAACGCCAGGATGACCCCAGAGAACTTTGTCTGGGTCTACCCCGTTCCGGGTACGCCAGCCTCCCTGGTTCCCAGGAAGGACAAGAGAAGGAAAGACCCTGGGTCTTCTGCCTGTTGCTCCTTCTAACCCAAGTCAACACAGCTGGAGCTGAAAGTGAGCTTACGCAGAGTGGCACAGGTGGGGGCCATACAGAGGAGGTGGGGGATGTCAGCGGGCAGGCTGCTAATCCCTAGCAACAGACACACACACCCACTACTACCTACGCCCACTAGTGGGGCCAATGTGGTTAGACAAAACCTTTTCCCGTCAGGGTAGGGGGCAGCAGTGGGATTCTGCATTGGTGCTGCACAAGGAATGGGACCATAAGCCGGTACCCCCTGCCACTCCCATCCCCACCCCGACAGTCAGTGGAGTCATTGCCATTTGATATCCGCTGAGACAACTTGGCTGCTCTGGGCCCTGGGTGGGGGGGTGGGGAATGGCTTAGAAAACAGCAGCTCCTTTCAGGACCCAGGTTGGCAAAGGCTTTGGGAGGCTGGACTGGCCCAGATCACCCACCAACTCCCCCTCTTTTCCTCCCTCCCTCACCACCACCACCAAAGGATGGGGTGAGGGTGGAGTTGGCACTGCCTGGGCCATGCCTACTGCCTTCAAAGTGCAGCCTGGACTCTCTCCCTGGCATGATGCTTTCTTCCCCCTGTACCCTCTGTCCTCCTCCCTGAAGAAGCGGTCCTGAGCCAAGACACCTGGCTTCTTCTAGACTTGGTCCCCCACACACAGTCTACACCCTCAGGAATGACCAAGCCCTGCCCTTGGCACAGGACGGTGCCCACCATCACGCCGGGTACATGTTCAAAAACCTTGGAGATCAGCAAGCGACGCTTAGGCTGAAACTAAAGTGAACCTGGTGGTGGCTGCCAGCCTCCCCTGCGGCTGGTATCCTAACACCCACTCTGTGCCCTTCCTCAACACCCCGAGGCAGGAGGCCATTGGATCTTCCATCATCATCTCTCTCCCACCCAGTCTACCTAGAGCAGTCCCAAGGAGGGGAAAAATGCAAACGCCTGGGTGAGGGCAGACTGGCAGAAGTCTTGAGTCAGAATGTGTATTGACAAGTGACCCGGGGAGGCTGCAAGCTCTGGCTTCCCAGCCAAATTTGTGCTGGCCTTTTCACCGCCACACTGCCCCACTGCCTCAACCTGCCTGGGGGACTTCATTTACTGGGATGACAATTCAACGTACAGTGGGAGGAGGCCCAGCACTGCTTTCAGGGTTTCCTTCTACCGACGCTGAGGTTCAGCGTCCCTCCCTCAAATCAGGAGCTCGCAGCCTTTAGCTCTTTTCTAACTCAGGTGCCCTTGTCTGGGGTCTGGTGGCAGGGGTGGGAACTAGGGGAAGGGATAGAATGGGAAGGGGTCTTTCTGTTCAGAGGAAGAATTTATGGATCCCAGTCTGCCCTCTAGCTCCAGAAGAAGCAGCCGTGCTCTTTTTACCCCCTAGGATTCTCCCTGTGAAATAGCTGGGGTGGGGTAGGGAATAATAGAGGGAGGTCTCTTGAACTGGAAGCCAAGTCAAAAAAGTAAGAGATGGCCAGGGAGCCACCGAGACAGACCTGATGGCTGTATCTCCCTAATCTAATCTGCGTTTGTCTCCCCAACGAGTGAGCTAGTGGTTGTAGGTATCATCCTCATATGAGTGTCAGTGTGATGGGAGGGCTGACCAGGGAAGCGACCTGTCCATGTTGGGAGAAGGGGCCCTTGCTGTCTGTAGGGGATGCATAGTTATGCACGGTAGTCCCTGTAGTAATTGGAACAGCAGGTGTGCTCAGTGGGAGGAGGCATCGGGAACGCCCCTTCCTTAGACTAAAGGGGTGAGGTGACCAGCCTGGGTTGAGTACCCCTCCTGGAGAGCCCTTTCCTGGAGGGTCTGCTTGGGACTGGCCAAGGAGGGAGAAGGAGCACAGGATGGTACCGCTGGGGCCAGCCAGGTTAAGGATCAAGGAGCTGGGGGCCCTGACGTCTCTGGAGAATTAAGTAGACAGGACCCCGGCCGGGGCGGCAGCGCTTCATTAGGGCCAAGGTCTTACCTTGGGTTCGAGGTGGAGTGGCCCCTCGGACGGGCCAGCGGGACAGATGACGGACGGGGCGGGCAGGAGTGAGGAGCAGAGCCGTGCGACGGGCAGGGCCAGGACTCTTAAGCCCAGAGCCGGGATCAGATAAGGGCTTGTGCTGGGGATGGGCCGGGGTCGGGCCGGCGTGGGGGCAGAGCTGGGCCGGACCGGGCCGCCCCCTCCCTCTGCAGCGCTGGAGCCAAACTTTGTGTGAATGGAGGGGCCCGAAGAGGGCCGGGCGGCGGGGGCGGGGGGGGGCTCGGGACCGACCAATGGGAGAGTGGAGCGCCAGGCAGGGCTGCCGGGATTGGACGAGATTGCGCAAGGGGCGGGGCTTGGGCCGAGGAAGCGGAGCCCCAAACGGATGGAGGCGCAGAAACACCCAAAGGCGGAGACCCAGACGGTCAGGGAGAAAGAGATGGAGAGACGATACGCGGAGCGATAGGGGCCGAGCTGGCAAGACGACAGGGGAAGAGAGAAGGAAGAAAAGGGAGGCGGAGGGGTCAGAGACGAGGAGCGAGAGCGAGAGCTGCGGGGGCGGGGCGGGGCGAGTTAATGAGGTGGAAATGAATTCAGGTCGAGTCCACCCGCCCTGCGAGCTGCGCCTGGGAGGAGACCGGGGCAGACTGGGCTGGGCGCCTGCGTCCGGCACAATTTGCCTATTATTCACGGTTTCCCAAGCAGCCAGTGGGGTGCTGTGTGCGAAATGCGCAGAACATCATCTCCACCTGCGGAGCTTTGGGCTGCCAGGGAGCACCAGGCTGGAGCTGAGACAAAGTATAGGACAGAGCGCACGCAGGCCAAGGGGCTCCCGCAGATGTGGGAGGAAGGAGACGGCATCTGCCCAGGGTCCCAAAGGAACCAGGGGCTTCAGCCACTGGGAGCCGGTGAGAAGGACACTTGTGGCAGAAGATAAACATAAACATGGCCCCGAGGGGACATGAACGTACAAGTCTGCTTCAGAACAGGATTAGACTAGAGTGGTGGTTCTCAAGCTTTTCATCACCAAGAGCTTCTATCATTACCTGAATTTGTGTTTCGCGAGGTGTTTAATCCATGATCTTCTCTCTGAGCATTTATTAAAGAAAAAAAAAATGACTTCCCTGGTTCCATTCATCGTAGACATTTAATTACTAATCAGTAATCAGTGTTACCATATTGAGTTGGCATAAACCCAAGGACAAAAGAAACAAACAAACAAAAAAACTAGAAATTTTAGTTTAGTTTAACCTCTAGAAGCCCAGATGGATAAAATGCCTCTCAGAAAGCCCTGTTTAGGGGAGAGGCGAGGACTGGGCTAAAGGGTAGGTACCGGAAGCGTAGATTTTTGCCGAAGGTAAGACGGACAGTAAATACAGAGCCATCACATGGCCGCCCAGAGATTTTACGGGCTATGGACAGCAACTGAAGTTCTTGAGAGGTGGACAGACAGCACGCACCATGCAGAAGCTGAGGAAGGTTAATCTGGAGATGAGCAAGCTGGTTTGAGTCAAGGGGAAACGACAGGCAAGTAGATAAAATAGAAAGTAACTGCAATAACGCAGGCAGGAGGAGCTAAGAGCCCACACCGATATGGTGTCAGTTAAAGGTGGAACAGAGAAAGTAAAATGCAGCACAGAAAAGTCAAAAGAAAATAGACAAAAACCCTTCGGGACCCACTTGACACCATGAGTCAAAGAAAGAGACTTCAGAAATCATACCAGTCCTGAAATCTAGCAATCGGGGGACCTATGAGATCATTAATGATCCTTTAGAGAAGCCCAAAGTAGGGGATGGTCTGGTGAAACAACTGAGGGGAAAGAAGAGGTGGTGAGTTCATGGGAGGTGTGAAAAGGGACGGAACTGGAGAGAGAGAAGGAAACACTTGCTGTTAGGATGGACTGAAGTCACGAGAGCAAGGAAGCTCCCCACAAACACGATGCACATGGAAAGGCAGCTTGGCACAAGGGAGAAAGTGCACCAGACATCCAAAGATCCCGCAGTCCTGACATTCGGAGTTAGGAAGGATTTAGAAGCTCTGGAAAACCTGCAAAATAAAGTTAAGAGCACTGTAGAAGGGAAACCAAAGAACATTAGTGACTTATGGAATCATTAACATTGACAGTGTATCTATTATTTTTACTTTCTAAGTCACCTTACTATGGCCCTCTTCCTCTCTATGCCATAACCACTATGGCAGTCTTGGACCCCAGCACCACTCACCACGGTTTCTGTAGCAGCCTTCTAATTGGCTGTCTTACCTCCAATCTGTCTCTTCCTTCAGATCATGAATTCCTTTATGTAAATATGGAAGTTCATATTAAATAGCAATAATGAATATCTCTTTGAAACACAAATCTAACCATGTCACTTCCCAGTTTAAAAACCTTCAATAGCTGCTAGTGGCCTCTAAGGAAAAGCCAAGTTCCTTCCCATGGAGCAGAAGGCCCATTATAACCTGGACTGGCACCATTCCTCCCCTGCCTTTGCCATTGATCCAGATTCCACTTCCTTCTCCAACACCCATGGCTCAATCTTATGTTTCCTTTCTGTGGTTTGCTCCTTGAGCCTTTATCACTTACGTAGTGTCTCTAAACGATGCCCTAATCACTATCTTCAACCTCACCTCCATGGTCGCAGCTGCCACCAGGGGATTTCCACCTTCGCTTGACCCACACGGAACTCATCATCTTCCTCCTTGAAGCTGGCAATGCTTGTGACTGGGAATGTTTGTGACTTCCTTCTTTCTGTGTTACTCTTGGTTAAGCAGACGAAAAAACTAAAACTCTGTATTCTAATCATTGTCCTATGTCCCATCCTTTGGCATGCCAATTAAGCCACCAAATTCTATTAAGTCTGTGTTAGTTGCATCTCTCTAGGATGTCTTTTTTCACTTCCTTGACTTCTGTCCAGATTGGGCAGATCACTACCAGCCCAGAACCTCACCGACCTACCACCCCCTATCTCTAGTCAGAGAAAGAGGCAACATGCTTTCATTATACCAGCCTCTCTGTCCTGGAATCAAAACCCCAAACAAGTGCCACTTCTTATAGGTCACAGTCCAAATTTTTTGCTCGACACTTAGGGTACTCCTCCGAGAGGGAAGAGAAGAAACAATCAAAGGGCTGAAACAGAAAGGGAGGTACCTTGAAGAAAATGTCCCTAAGAAGTTCCCTCCAACAGGAAATTATAAGAAATGACCAGAGGCCTGGTGCCGGATGGGTTGGATCTTAGCCCTACTTTTCTTGGGACCCATTTCTCACCTGGAAAGTGAGGGATACTCCTGGACCACCCTTAAATGTCAAATGATGCTTAAACCTTCATCTATCTCTACCCAGTTCTATAAAGGAGAAAAGGCCCATGTGAGAAGGTGTCAGATTTTCTTGGCTCTACTGGAAATAGAAGGGCAGTGTAACGGGTCAGCCTATCACTTGAGATTTTCTCCTGTGGCCTGCTACTAGGTAGCCCACTACTAATGGCATTTGTTCAGCATAGTGGGGCCTAAACATGAAAATGTCCCTTCAACTCCCATGGGAAGCTTTGTCCATGTCTCTGTTCTTCCCAGCCTCCCACCTTGGTAAGTGTGTACTATTCTGCATTTCCATCATGGCTCCAAACCCAAAGCTTCCCTGAGGCCCTCTGTTCATAGCTGCTTTCCCAGCAAGCACTCCTCGCATCACTGCTCACTCCTGGGTTCTCCTTCTCCAACAGCAGTTCCCCTCTTTGCTCCTCCTGGGCTCTGAGGAGGTCCCAACCCCAGAATTATGAAGGGAGTACAGGAAGAGATGAAGCCAAAGTTGGAAGGAGTAAGTCTGAAAGAAGCAGTGAGTGAAGACACAATTTGCTAAACCATGTTGGTCAACTTTCTGTTGCGTTGACAAAATGCCTGAGAAAAAACGAAGGAGGAAAAGTTTATTTGGGGTCACTGTTTCGGAGGTTTCAGTCCATGGTCACTTGACAACATTGCTTCTGGGCCTGAGGTGAAGCAGAATGTCACGGCAAGGAACATGTGGTAGAACAAAGTGGCTCACCTCATGGCAGACAGGAGGAAGAAAGAGAGGAAGGGTGGAAAGGAGAGGGGAGCAGGCCTGGGATAAGATACACTGTTCTCTCAGCAGTATGAGTTCACCCTGTTCCACTGAACTCATACTCTCAGCCATCTCCTGTCTTCCCCTTTAGGCTTCCTCTCCCACTGCCAAGTTCCTGCCCGAGAAGTCTCATGATTTTGTTCGAAGAATCTTTTCCAGATTGGCTGACCCTAGGGCTTCCTGCAAGGCAGCTGCTGATACAGCGGGCTGAGGGCCAGTCCCTGTGTCTTAACCCAGACTGTGTCTCGTGGAGGAAGGGACTTGCCCCACCTAAGAAAGCCCCATCTCCTCCCCATGCTACATGCCACCAAAAGAAAAGCATCACTCAGAGTGGGTTTCTCTTTCTATTTTCCACCAAGTTTCTTTATTAGAGGCAGCAGTGTGGCCCTCTGTTACCTTGCTGTCCCCCGCATTCTCCAGTTCCCATTTCCTATCATCACTGCTGCACTGACACTTTTGGATTGATTCCTTGCAAAGATGCTTTCGTTCTCTCAGTACCCAAAAGCTAGGGTCCTGTCTATTTTTCTGTATCCTTGGACCTAGGAAAACTTTTGTTTCTCTCCTGCCCCTCTCAAAGATAAACAAGGGATTGAGGTTAAATAGCAAGTAAAATCTAGGAGCTGCGGGATCGGTAAGTTGGGTGAGGGAGTGGTAGTCTCATCAGTGAGGCAGAGTTCAGCTTGGCCAGAACTGGGGTAGGGGCTGGCGAGAACACCTTCAGGAAGGCCCTGCCGGCCCAGTGAGTCCCCTCTCCTGCAAATGGGGCCAACTCTATGCGAATGCACTCTTGCCCAGGAGTCTGGTTTCTTCTCTCTGAGCTCCTGGCACAGGGGAACCAACGTGAGCAGCCACTTGACAGAACAGAGAAGGGCAGGTTAGCAGTCCCCAGGCTCGGGTGACAGGGCCAGGCCCAGGAGACAGGGATGTTGACTGGGGCTTTAACAGCACTCCTGATGCCAATCTCAGGCTGAAAACTCGATATTTCCACTTGGAACAAGAAACAGAGGCAGGAGGGGTTGGGACGAGGAGGGCAATGTGCCGGGAGCGCCCCCTGCAGGTTTCATGCGGTAGAGCCAGAACAGGAGAAGCGTCCGGCCAGGATGCGGCTTGCTGGAATGCCCTGGGGAGGGTGACAACGACGGTGGTGATCCTGGTCTTGGCGGTAGTGATGATGATGATGGTGGTGACAAGGATGATGGCTGACAATAAAGAAGAGGAGGAGAAAGACAGTGGAAGATAATATCTAACATCTACTGAGTAGTTTGTCAGGCACTATTTTATGCAATCCTCATGACAATCCTCAAGAAATGGATAATGTGGTTATTTTCAGCTTTAGATGAAAAAACTGAGGTTTAGAGAGGAAATAATTTGCTCAAAGTCACCCAGCACTTTGACAGTTGGGATCTGAACCCAAATTCATTGCCCTCCAAGCTTGTATTACTCAATACTCCGTCCCACCCTTTTGCCAGTTCATCCCACGAATTTCTAACCTTGGGTGTCCATTTCTACATCTTCCTGCTCTTTTAGCTAATATCTTCTTCAAGCTTTAAGGGATCTGGAGAAGACCAGGTGCTTACCTTGTGTATGATAATACTGATAAAAACAACACCACCACCTTGCATTTTCATATCAACTCTGCTTTTAGTTATTGCTCTGGGGCTGCGGGCTGAGGGGTAGCTCCGTGGTAGAAGGGCTGTTTAACATGCAGGAAACCCTGTGTCCAATTCCCAACAGTAACAAAAGAATTATTTTCCTGGGGAGAAATGAACGTTGAGGTGTTTCCATTCCTCCATGTTTTGAGTTTTCGCTGGTGTTCCTCCATGGTTTCCCATACAGTCATGATCAGTTTGCAAGATATTTTATGCTCCAGTTTTATATAATGACGTTTTTACATACACATTCACATAAATAAACACAGCCATTACAATGACTTTCCAGTAACCTCTTATACCATATGCCACAGACACCACGTTACAGATGTGGTATAACTTTGCAAAAAGAGCACGAAGCTGAGAATATCAAATTCTGGCATGATATGGAGCAACGGGAACAGGAATTCAGGGTTGGTAGGAGTGCAAAATATCACAGCCACTTTGGAAGACAGCTTGGCAGGTTCTTACAAAACTAAACTTTTACCTATGATCCAGCAATCGTGCTTCTTGGCATTTACTCAAAGGAACTGAAAACTTGTGTTCACACGCAAACCTATACATAGATGTTTATAGCAGCTATATTCATAAATATTCAAATGTGGAAGCAACCACGATGTCCTTCAGTAGGAGAACAGACAAATAAAGCTGTGGTGTATCCAGACAATAGAATACTATTCAGCATCAAAAAGAAATGAACTATCAAGACATAAAAAGACACGGAGTTAGGCTGGGGAGATAGCTCAGTGGCACAGCCACCTTCCTGGGAAGCTCAAGGTCCTGAGTTCGATTCCTGGCACCAAAGGAAAAAAAAGAAAGACATGGAGTAGCCAGGAATGGCAGCACAGCCCTGAGATCCCAGACCTCTGGGAGGCTGAGGGAGGAGGATCCCAAACTTGAGGCTAGCCAGGGCAATCCAGCCACTTAGCAAGGCCCAGTCACTAAAGGCATAGGGATGTATCTCTGTGCAAATGCCCTGGGTCCAGTGCCCAGCACCAGGAGAAAAAAAAAGACATGGCAGAACCTTAAGTATGCAAGTGAAAAAAGCCAGCCTGGGAAGCTACATATTGTATAATCCCAACTATACAACATTCTGGAAAAAGCAGAACTATGGCAACAATTTTCAGGGGTTATGCAGAGGAAGGGATGACAAAGCAGAGAGGATTTTTAAGGCAGTGAAACAACTCTATAGGATACTGTAATGACAGATATATGTCATTACACATCCAAACCCACGGAACATCCAGTCCCAAGAGTGAACCCCAATGTAACCTAGGTACTCTGGTTGATTACTGCAGGAGCATTGGTTGTAACCAAAGTTCCGCTCTCTTGGGGGATGTTGGTAATGGGGGAAGCTATGCCTGTGCAGGAGCAAGGACTATACCGGGAAGTCTCTACCTTTCTCTCGATTTTTGCTACACATCTGAAACTGCTCTTTAAAAATGAAGTACTTTAAAAGAAAAGCATGACGTAGTGACACAGATGTGAGACTTGAACTCGTATCTTTGTTCGGCTTTGGGTTCTGATAAACACTTAACTTTCCTTGGTTTGTGTTGTTTCACTTGTGAATGAAAAATTAGTACCTATCTCACAGGGGAGTTGTGGGAATTAAATGAGGTATGGGTCTCATTCGTACTGATGCTCAAGGGAGTGAGCAGTGTGGTGATAGCACGCATTCAAGTGTCTTTCTCCCCAGGAGACCGTGAGCTCGTTTGGACAGAAACGCCTTCCTTTCTACGCTCACTTCCATCTAGTGCATTGCCTGGCACTTGGGCTCCATAAGAGTCTGTTGAATGAACAGCACATAAGCCCTAATTGAAACTTTTCTCTCGGCTGGACATCTGGGACACCTTTTTCTATTAATAAAATACATTTTGAAGCCCTTCTATTTCTAGTGCCTAATTGGATGCTCACACATGTGAAGTAGGCAGAAAGGGACTACTTGCACATGTCCCCCACCCTGGAGAGATGGGACAACTGTGGCTCTGAGAAGTGAAAGGAATCCTATGGGTCACATAGGTTAGAATGCCTGACCCTGCCTCCTTTCTCTCTAGCTGCCTCCTTCTGTGTCAAGGATGGGCCTGACCCCAAAGCAGTACCTGCACCCAGAGACCTCCTTTGGAGGCGATGAGCTCCCCGATGGCCCTCTGAAACCCCAGGAAACCAAACACTTTACTCCCAAACACCTCAGAGCCTATATTTACCAGAGAAAGGAGCCTCTTAGGAAAGGACTAGCGTGCCAACTTTGCTTTTCTATTTTTTTTTTCCTTCTCTGAGGGGGTGAGGAGGCGAGCTCTGAGTGTCCAGGAGGAGGGACTTTGGCTAAAAATAGCTCTGGCGTGTGGATCAGCCCCTAGTGGTACCCAGGACTAGGGAAGGGAGGGGATGCTGTGGAGCTGTCGCCAGACTGGTTGCCGTGGAAACGAGAGAGGAGCAGGGGAGCCTGGGAAGTGGGGATGACACAGATAGCGAGTCCTAGTCAGCGCTGCCGCTACATTTAGGTGAAAGCAGTGTCTGCGGCTGCCACTCTCCAACAGGGCCCGTGGGGGGCAGTGTCAGGGGCATGGACACCACCCTCCGGGGGTCTCTGCTGCCAGCTACTCTCCTCTCCACGCACTGTGAGTTGAGTTGTGGGGACTTGGGGTCTGGGCCCCTATTTCTAAAGCAAGTGGGGATTTGGCAGGGGCTGGTTCCTGGGCAGTTTTCACTAGATCTCCTTCAAAAAGAATAAGCCCCCCTTGCTGTCCTGCACTCTGTAGGGGGAGGAAAAAGGGTCCAGGAAAGTGTGGTACTGGGGTCTTCTGAAAATGGGCCACAGCATGCACAACTGAGGAGTAGGCTGGAGGAACCAGAATTATTGGAGGGAAGATGCAGAAACCAAGTCCTTGATCTTGAGACAGAGGCAAGAGTTGCATACTTTTCCTTCACTCATTCAGGAAAACCAAAGATGGGACACATTCAAAAAAGGCTCACCTAGATCTGTGGCATGAGACAGTTCTGGGGGTGATTCATGTATTGGGTTCCTCTCCCCATCCCTGGGCAAAGAGAAGGAAATCAGATTCTCTAAGACCCTGAGAGAAGGTCTAGAAGGCTGCCTGGGGCTAAAGCTAGCATGACTGAGACCTGGGCACTTTCACTGCATGTCCTGGGGTCTCCATGCCAGCAAATACAGACCACTTCCAGTGGACACCCTGAGCTGCAGGGAGGGAAAAGGAATCCTGTTGGTGGGGAGAAGAAGACCCTAGTCTACCACTGCCTGGTGCTCCTGGACCTTGTGTCCCCTGACTGCATGAAAATAAAAGCATGTGGGTGGGTTGACGGGATGATAGCCTTAAGCTCCAGGCATCTCTTTTTAGTTTCTCCTGCCCTCTGCCCCTATAAACACACCCTCTCCTAAGCTCTGGTGATGGAGCACTTCACTCCAGAATTTAAAATTTGAAGAGCTAGGTTTGGAAATGCATATCTGAGCAATGGCTGCTCAGGACCTGGTCAAATGTCCAGGCCATCTGTGATCCTTATGTCATACTCCTGCCCCCTCCACCCACAACCAGCCCAAATTTCCCTGGAATGGAGGAGAGGAAAATTCCCAGGAAAAAGAAGAAGGTTGACAAATCCTAAATCCTCATTCTAGACCTGTCTCTGTAGTCCATACCTCTTGGAGGACCCTGGGTGACTAGGAAAGGACTCTGAACCTGTCTGTCAAGAAAGACGGTGGCTCCCAGTGCTCTTGGGGGTGAGGGAAGAATTTGAAGGAAAATTAGGTAGACTTCACTTGGAACACAGGCTTTGCTGGAAAAGTGGGCTTCGGGACATATGGCAGGTGGGAGTGGGATTGATGCAGTGAATGGGAAGTAGGAGGCTGTGGGGAAAGATCTGGGGGAGGATAAAGGAAGGTGCCGAGCGCTTCACTTGGTCTGATTTCACATCTTATGAAGCAAAGAAAACGACAGGGACACAAGCTTAACTCTTGGTGAGGCCTGTACTTCCCTCACCTTGGCTGTAGGTGTTGATCTCACCTCCCCTAGCCCTCCCCACCCCAGCCCCATTTTCAGGCTGTCTCCTTTGGGGAAGGAACCCATGGGAAATGGGGTGACACCAGAACAGCAACGAGCAGGGTTAGGCCTCCAGGATTTCCAGTGGGAATGTCCTACTGTGGGAAAGTGCGACCCTCGTGCACTGGAGAATTTTCACTTACTTGCCGCAGCTTGAGTTTGTCTGTCGTTGGTAAGTTTGTCATGGGGAGAGCGTGTAGGAGGGAGGTGGGGAGAACGAGCCCCAGGGAGGAACATCTAGGGAAGATGGTGTTTTGATGTGGGGATGAACTTCAAAAGAGCCTTGGGGTTGAATTTGTGGAGACAGTCATTGGAATGGGCAGTGCACATAATAGCCAGGGAAAGGGAGGTGGAAGTCCCCGCGGCAGGGAGGGCTCCACATCATAGAGGAACATTAACTACCTGACCCCAAGGAGCCTCTTGGCCTGAATGTTTTGTTCCAGGTAGCCAAGATGCTGCACACCCGGGCCAGAAGTGGTGCCAAGATCTGTAGCACCTCCTTCCTCTGAAAATAGTGGTCAGCTTTACCTAGGGCTATCCCTTAAACGTCTATTATCCCACTGGATCCTCGGTTTTTTAAGTTTCGAGGCAGATAAAGTTCTACGTATGCTTCCCATTCTATTGGTGGGAAAATTGAGGCAGACAAACGAACGGGGGCGCTCCGGACCACCTAGCCCCTTGGGGCTGTCCCTGAGGTCTCCCACCGGTCGGGTTAACTCGGCAAACCTTTCTGAAGCCCCTCCAGGACCCCCGACGCCGCCGGGGCCCCCAGCGGTCTGCAGGAGCGCGCCGCGCTCTCCCTGACGCGTGTCGCCGTCGCCATGGCGCAGGAGAACGCGGCCTTCTCGCCCGGACCGGAGGAGCCGCCCCGGCGGCGCGGGCGCCAGCGCTACGTGGAGAAGGACGGCAGGTGCAACGTGCAGCAGGGCAACGTGCGCGAGACGTACCGCTACCTGACCGACCTGTTCACCACGCTGGTGGACCTGCAGTGGCGCCTCAGCCTGCTCTTCTTCGTGCTCGCCTACGCGCTCACCTGGCTCTTCTTCGGCGCCATCTGGTGGCTGATCGCCTACGGCCGCGGGGACCTGGAGCACCTGGAGGACACTGCGTGGACGCCGTGCGTCAACAACCTCAACGGCTTCGTGGCCGCCTTCCTCTTCTCCATCGAGACGGAGACCACCATCGGCTACGGGCACCGAGTCATCACCGACCAGTGCCCCGAGGGCATCGTGCTCCTGCTGCTGCAGGCCATCCTGGGCTCCATGGTGAACGCCTTCATGGTGGGCTGCATGTTCGTCAAGATCTCGCAGCCCAACAAGCGTGCCGCCACGCTCGTCTTCTCCTCGCACGCCGTGGTGTCCTTGCGCGATGGGCGCCTGTGCCTCATGTTCCGCGTGGGCGACCTGCGCTCCTCGCACATCGTCGAGGCCTCCATCCGTGCCAAGCTCATCCGCTCGCGCCAGACCCTGGAGGGCGAGTTCATCCCCCTGCACCAGACCGACCTCAGCGTGGGCTTCGACACGGGCGACGATCGTCTCTTCCTCGTCTCGCCGCTGGTCATCAGCCACGAAATCGACGCCGCCAGCCCCTTCTGGGAGGCATCACGCCGCGCCCTGGAGCGGGACGACTTCGAGATCGTGGTCATCCTCGAGGGCATGGTGGAAGCCACGGGTGCGGACGGGCCCCGGGAACAGAGGGAGCAGGGTTCCCCGGGTGAAAAAAGCAGGGGCAAGAAGAGGAGCCAGGATGGTGCAGGAGGGTGGAGGGAGGGACTGGTGGAGACTGGGAGATTGATATGGGGGCATCTGGGGGCCAGAGGGAGGCATGAGCCGGACCACTTCACAGAGGGCCAGAAGAAGCTTGGAGAAGTTCTTCTGTAATGAGAGGTCTGTGTCACTCGGACTAGGAGAGGAATAACAGCTCCTAACGCTCCGGGGTGCTTGCTCGGTGTGGTGCACAGTTCCAAAGCACTCTGCACCTCTGAGCTCATTTACTCCTAGCCCAAACCCTCTGTAGGTAACTTCTGATTATTGTGCTTATTTGTCAAGCTTAGCTCCAACGGAGAGGCTAAGTAAATTCTCTGCTGTCACAGGCCAGTAAGTAGCAGGTGGTATCGGCACTGGACGCAGAGCTGCCGGCTTCAGTGTTTCATGGTCCAGAGAGGGAATGAGGTTTAGGATCATGGTTTTCCTTGTTGAGAGGTGTAAGTCCCCGGGATTTGACGGTCAAGGTTGTCCATGGCTTGAGTTACTCCTAGGAGAAGACCTCGAGGAGCGGTTGATACCTGGTCAGTTATCCTGTCCCTTAGACTATCAGCTTCCACCGACAAGGGAAATAAATGATACTACCACTTCTAGTCCCTTCCCGTAAGGAACTGGAAACTCCACTGTGATGTCAGCACCTCTCCCTCAGGCCCGCACAGTGCAGGGTTTGGGAGCAGGTAACAAAAGACCAGTGTGGGAGGGAGCCTTCCCTTAGGACTCTAGATCTAGAGGTTAGGTGAGAAAAATGCCGATGGAGATAAAGGCCCACTAGGGGGCACTGCAGTTCGGGCCAAGGCGCCAGGGCCAGACCTGCTGGTGCTGGTACGTTCACACCCCTTCCCTGGTCCTCCCAAGCTGACCACCGCTGCACCCCCCACCACCACTCCCCCTCCCTGTTCCCATTCCCCCTTCACTGGCCCTGGGCTCTCCCTAGTTCTTCCCTCTTAAGACTCCACTGTTCTTCCTTTATCTCCCCAGCTGTTGCTCCTTTTTTGCCAGTACCTCGGGCAGGGCCCCTCCTTTCAGGGAGGTCCCCGCCTGCCTTCTTATTCCCTTGTCCCAGTCCCCCAGCCCTTTCTTCTCTGCCTGTCAGCCCCCTCCCTCTTCCCCTCCCTCCCCTGCTCCTCTTCTTCCCATCTCCCCTTGGATAGCAATGTCATGCAGCTTCCAAAATAGGATTCTTCCTGTTCCAGCCTTCACCGAAGAGTACCACTGCTCCCAGGGTGTCTGGTCAGCCAGGGGTTGCTCTTCTACACCCCTCCCTCTCTGTTCCGAGGTAGATACTGGTTTGCACAGTGGCTCTGGGGTAGGCTGATGGCCTGGCCTGGGGGTGCAACGCCCCACAGGGTGGGTAGGACACAGGCCTGGAGAACTAGGGAGAATGGGGCAAGGACACAGGGGTCTGATCTTCCTGAAGAGATCAAGCTGGAAAGGATGGTCATATTTTGGGATTCAGAATGCTTTTGAAAAGCAAGAATAATGAGCCAAAACCCAACAAGATGACATTTTAAAAGGAATAAATATAAAATTCTACATTTAGGCTTTAAAAAAAAAATCACTTATGTAAGCACAGCATGGAAAAGCTTTGGTGAAAAAAAGAACTGAGGCTTTTTAGTTGGCCATGGGCTTGATGTCGTAGCAATGCGATGCAGCTTCCAGAAGCATTTATGTAATGTAATCACGGGCCCTATCAGTGAAAGCACCCTGACCAGAAGAGAGGGTGAGACGGTGAGCCCTCTCTTACACATGGATTGGGCCACAGAGGGAGAATTTGCCACACTCAGAGGGGCATCTAAGGGTCTGCAATCAAGAAAGTAACACTTGTGGAAGCCAGGTCAGTCGACGAGCAGGCAGGGATGTTCAGTCACAGAGGTGAAGACCTCAGGAAACCCGAGACTCCTGTGTTCAGACCCCCACAGGGGTGTCAAGTGGAAAGGGACTGGCCAGAGTGCAAATCCCAGGAGGCAGACTTTATTCAGCCTGAGAAAAGAATGACCCATCTACTAAAGCCATCACACAAAGGAGTGGGTTCTTTATGAGGTGGTGGGCTCTCAGTCCTAGGAGGTAACCAAGTACAAGCTAGATGCCCACGGTTGGGCACGCTGCAGTGGGGAGCCCTCTGTGGAATGGGAAATTAGACTGACGATCCTTAAGGTTAAGTGTCAGGGTAAAGCTTCTGTGATTGGCACTGGCAAAGGAGAGGAGAGAGAATGTGGACAGGCAAGTGGAAAAGAGGTGAGAGAGACGAGCAAGGACGGGCAAAAGCAGGCTGGACCAAAGGGGGCCCGTGGGGAAGGGTGGAGGGAAGGGTGCTGGGAACACGGGCTGGGGATGAGAGGCAGGAGAGGGACACCTGGGGCTGGGATCCCGCTGACCTGTTCCCCCTGCTCCCCCCGCCAGGGATGACATGCCAAGCTCGGAGCTCCTATCTGGTGGACGAGGTGCTATGGGGCCACCGCTTTACATCAGTACTGACCCTGGAGGATGGCTTCTACGAGGTGGACTATGCCAGCTTCCACGAGACCTTTGAGGTGCCCACACCTTCGTGCAGTGCCCGGGAACTGGCAGAGGCTGCAGCCCGCCTTGATGCCCATCTCTACTGGTCCATCCCCAGCCGGCTGGATGAGAAGGTGGAGGAGGAGGGTGCTGGGGAGGGCGCCGGTGGGGGAGCTGGGGATGACAAGGAGCAGAATGGCTGCCTGCCACCCCCGGAGAATGAGTCCAAGGTGTGACCAGTTCCCTCCAGACCCCTGTGGCAGACAGGGGGCCAGACACAGGTACCTGGGGAGCTGCACCCTGGAGGTGGAAGAGGAGGAAGCAGGCAAAGTCCCGGGGAATGGAGAGGCCGCCTGAGAACCTTGAGTCTAGGATCCAATAGGAAGGGAGAGGCCCTGGCTTGAGGAGAGTGGAGGGCAGGGAAAGGTGCACACACCTGTCTGTGTTTGACCTTCACATCTGCTCATGGGTGGATGGACAGTCAGAAGGACGAACTGGTGGGGGCTGGACAGGCAGGTGGTGGCTGATGGACAAGTACATGGGCTGTGGATACCTGCAGCACACCTTTGTGCAGGTTCTAGAAAGGTGGGTACCCTTTTCTTCCAAGCAGACACAGCCCCAGGCCAGATGCATGGCTTGGAGAACAGTCCCCATTCACCTCCTCAGCCAGCCTCCCCGTGTGCGGCCCACCTGTCTAAGTGGGCACAGTGGCCCAAGCTGAACGAGAGGAGACTGGGTGGAGGTGGGCACAAATGAGCACGGTGCCCCCCCACCTCCACCCTCCCTCGGTGACAGGCTCACCCGGAGAAAGGGTTGCACGGGAGCTTGGGAAAGTGTCAGTGACCTGAACCCTTGGAGTGCAGGGCAACAGGCGGCAGGAGCAGATGCCAGCGCTGGGGCCCTGGAGCAAGGGATGGCTAGTTTGTGGAGGGAGATCTTGCAGATAACACTGCAGAAGAGGACGGGAGAGAGGTTCTGAAGTGGAAGAAGGGTCAGGGGCAAGATCTAGAAAGTAGGTTCGTGGGGGCAGATGGGAAACCCTTGGGAAAGCAGCATTTGTCCTTGGGGCACCATGGGGAGGGTCATTCAGATGACTTCTTGGATGTCAGGGAGAGAGGGCATTCACCAACGTGGGTTCCTAGTGCTGGAACCCAGAGCACATGGGAAGATCGGGAATATACCTGTGGCCATTGGATGAGGTCCAGTTCACATGGAGAACCTGTGCAATCTCTTGGAGCAGGGGATGGGAGTGTTTTGGTAGTTAGAAAGCCAGAGGTTGAGTAAGACAGGGGAAATGATGAAAGCCTGCAGTTGTAAAACTGCTGTGTACGGGATCACCTGGAGAGCTTGTTAAAACACAGATCGCTGGGCCCCGCTCCCAGGGTTCTGACTCAGTAGGTCAGGTGGAAACCAGAAATTGGCATGTCTGACAAGTTCCCAAGTCATACTGACGCTACTCGACTACGTTGCAATGCAGCATATAAGCTGAAGACCCTCTGGGAGCAGAGAAATATAAAGGGTAGAGCAACGTGTGTGGAAGGGGACCTGAGTGCAGGCTGAAGAGTTGAACTAAAGCAGGAAGAGCTTGCAGGACTAAAAGCCAGGAGGGACTGAAAGAAAAGCCAAGTCCAGACCTGTGCGTGTCTGTGCCCTGCTGTCTGCACCACTGCACCAGAGATGCCTGGAGATGCACAGTGATCCCAAGATGGCAGAGAAGGGGCGGTGGGCCGGTTGAGAGGACCTGAGGTGGCCTTCTGGGGAAAGTGCAGCCCAGGTGAGCATGTCCCCTGATGGCCCAGCCAGGACCTCTGTCCCTCCAGCCCTGGCAGCCCCCATTCCCGTCCTTGCCTAAGAGCCTGAGCTGCATGAGGGGGGCAGGCACCCAAGTCTGTCCTGTTCCAGGCTGGGAGGCAGGGATTCTATGGGGCACTGTGTATCTCCCAGAAGAAATGGAGTCATCCCAGTTTGCATTCACGAGAAGGACCCAGCCCCGTCCCTTCCCTTAAGTCCAGGCATGGATATCTTTCCGCCTGAGGTCCTGGGGCTACCTGGGTCACAGCCAATCAAAGCCAGGGTCCTTGAATGCCAGGATGGGCTGCTCCTCCAAACACAGACATGGGGTGAGGCATGGGGAGTGATCCAGGGTTCTTTCAGTGAACAGATGGAGTCTGGACAGGAGGGGGCAGCTGCTTGGTTCCCAGGCACACTCATTCAGCACTAAAGCCGCTGCAGTCGGACAGATGGAGAAACTGAGGCTACAGCAGGCCCCTCCTGCCCAGAAGTCGCTGAGACGCTGCCACACCTGTCCTTGCCACCATCACTGCTCAGGGCACCACTGTACAGTGCAGAGTCAGATGGGGGCTCTAGTGCCAACACTGACTGCCGCTGATCAGCTGTATGGCTCTGAGCCAGCTGCATAGGTCTCTGGGCCTCAGTTTCCACATCTGTAAAAATGACTTAGCAAAACTAGTAAAACTCAATAAATGTTAAATCACTGAATTGAAGGAGGTAGACTGGCTGCTTCTTAAGGTGCAGAACTGAGAATGTTAGGAGCAGAGAATCCATAGGTGAAGCCACATGGGGTGCAGGGTGGACGATGTATGCAGGTGCAACATTCTGTGGGTGCAGCAGACACAGGCTCTCCCCCACTGTTATTCTCCCTGATATCCAGGAGGCTGAGTTCTGAGGCTCCTATTCTGTTGCTGTCAGACAGAATAATCAAGGTCAGGAGGAAAAAGACTGAGGCCCCAGGGCCTGATGGGAGGAGTCAGGCTCCAGAATGAGACCCAACCAGAAGGAGACAGACAGAGGGGTGTGGCCGAGGCTGGGAGCTCACAAAGGACACTGGCCCTGGAAGTCCCTGCCCTGTAACTTGGGAAAGGGTTGCAAAGCCAGGACCAAGCTGAGCTGTAGCTCATTCTCCCTTCCTATGCGCCCCTCCTTGAACAGGAGCCCCATTAGGAGTTGCCTCAGCAGCCACAACTTAGGTGGCAGATGGGACCCAGGAGCCCCCTCCTGGGGTGGGAGGCAAGGCCTACAAAGGCCAGATGGTGTTTATGATGGGAAGAGGCCTGGGTTGTTCAGAATAGGTTGTCAACCCCCAACAACCTCCCTACTACTGCACACCCAGCCTTTTACAGCCTCACGGTGGGGGAAGACACAGCCAGGCCTGGATCTTACAAAACAAGTTTATTCACATTTTAGAAAAACTAGTTTGAGGACGGGGAATGGCCTTCCCACAGCATGGGTATGAGACCAAGAACAGAAGGCCAGAGGGGAGTTTGGGAGGGAAGGTATAAGGAGTAGGGGCCTTGTCTCTTGCCCTGGGTAGGTGCAGGTCAAATAAATTAAAGGAAGGGTGGGTAGAGGGAGGGGGCGTACAGGTGACCAGAGGAGGGCTTGGAGCTGGCTGGAAGACAGTCGGCACCTGCAAGAACTGAGAGCAGAGTGGAGTAAGGACGGAGCCCCGAACGAGCAGGACTCCCTCTTGGCCCTCAACCCATGACAAGCAGGACCCTGCAGAGCTGAGCTGATTGTTCCTCCCCTGAGAGGGCCGTGGGAAGGAGCAGCTCAAGACTGTATGGGGAAGCCTGTATGGGGGAGATAAAGATGGGGGGGTCTTTCCCTCACCTGGGAGCGAGGGATCACCGCTTCCTCAGCCTCTTCATGAAGCAGCAGGTGATAGTGGCGAGGACGACGGCGCCCGTGACTAGGGCCACCCCCGAACCCACCAGCATGGGCACAAGTAGGGTATCTAGAGCTAGGTGAAGAAGGAACGTCGTCATCATCCTGCAGCCACTGTCACACTCAGCGGCACTCTCCCCGCATCAGGATACCTGAACCCATCACCCATGCACAGCCAGGCCTCCCAGAACCCGTCCTGTCGGTGCTCAAGCCCACCACCGCTGGGCTGGGCACTAAGGGGCTTTTCCCACAAAGAGATGCAAGAAGGATGGGAAGATGGAGGGATGGGGCAGGGGCTGTGGGAGGAGGGTGGAGGGTAGGAGTCGCTCACCATGCGTGTAGGGGTAGACTGTGACAGGCCCCGAGCGGGTGCTGCCCGCCTGGTACCAGGTGTAGTCGGCATGCTGCACCCAGGCGCTGGGGGTGCAGTGGTACACGCCTTCGTCCTCGGGCCCCAAGCTATGCAGTCTCAGCCGATGGCTTCGAGGCCCCACCAGCTCCACACTGACCGGGCCTCCTCCCGGCCGGACCCCCAGCTCTGCCACACCATCCTGGTTCATGCCGCCCACCAGCTGGGCAGGGACAGAGCTCTGCTCCCCGTCCTCCTGTCGCTCCACCCACCAGCTGGCAGCCAGCCGCAGCCCAGGGGGGCCGCCGCGCACCGAGATGTTGCACAGTAGCGAGGCGGTCTCTCCTCGGTACACGGTGCCCCCTGTGAGCTGCGCCACAGCCTCCAGCACCACACCTGCAGAGAAAAGGACAAGGGTCAGAGGGTGAAGGTTAGAAGTCATGAATTTAGGGCTATTGTCCAAATAACCCCTGAGAAAGCTCAGCGTAGCCCCCCAATCCTGATGGAGAGGGGGAATGGGACACGGGCCCAGAAGGAAAAGGGTTCTACAAGCCCGGAACCCCACCAGGCCCCAACCCCTCTCACCTTCCTCCCGCACGTGCACAGGGAGCGGACGAGAGCGGGCGCTGGCTGCCTCACGAAGCCGGGTCCCAGTCCCTCGAACGTAGGCCTTGGCCAGGCAGCGGTAGGTACCCGCATCACCAGGCCTGGCAGCCTCCAACCGTAGACGGTAGGTTCTGGATGCCACCTTCTCCATGGCAATGTGCCGGCCCTCATAGCCAGGGCCCAGGCTAACCACCCCTTCTGTGTCCAGCTGGGCTACCAGGCGGCCAGGCCCAGGTGCCCCTGCGGGTGCCATCTCCCAACCCACGGAGTAGGCAGCATGGCGGCCCTGCGGGGGCAGCGCCCCAGACACATTGCACAGCAGTTCCAAGGGTTCCCCTGGGCCGACGCGGCGTTCTCCAGGGCCCACTGTCACTGCCAGCTGGCTGGCTGAAACACAGGAGGGGAAGGGGGTCATGGAGGGAGGGTGCAGAGGCGCCTGCTTCCCCACCTGCAATTCCTTCCTTGCTGGCTGCGATTTAGAGGCTCCTGCTGGTCCTTCACTGTATGGGACCCTCTCCCCAACGCAGGGGCCTGAATCTCACCCCGCAGCCACGGCTTTCCTCTCTCCTCTCCCAATCTCTAGAAAAACTGGTCGAGAAAACCAGTCATGGCCACAGGGAGAGAGGGAAGCGGTCCCATGGGGCTGCTCACTCTACAGAAAGAGTCCCTGGAGTCTAGCGATGATCCCCTAGAGCCCCAAGTGGCCAAGGTGCCCGCTGAGACGCCCCCTCCCGGTGCCCACAGCAGGATATGTGGCACTCACACAGCGTCTGCACATCCACTTGGGCCAGGACAGCCCTTTTCTCCGCAATCTGGGCCCAGCTGCCATCAGGATCCTGAATCCACTCCGCGGCAGTACAGTGGTAGGTGCCTGCGTCCCCTGCCTGTGTGCCTCCCACCACCATGCGGTACCGGTCAGCCCCTCCCTTGCTCAGATACAGCTCCCCAGCAGTCAGTCGCTCGGCATAGGGTCCCCCGGCCTCCACAGCCAGGTCAGATCGCAGTCCCACCACTTCCTGCAGAGTCGCTCGGCCCACTGGCGCTTCGGGCACCGCTCGCCCAAAGGACACAGCCATGTGTGTGTGCTCCTGTGTGCTTGTCCGCGCCAGGCAGCCCAGGGCCAGCTCCTGCCCCTCGTACACAGTCAGGCGTGGGGGCGAGGTTGGGGCCTGGCGGCCTCGGGGCCCCGGGGGCGCAGGAGACACCTGCAGCGTATCTGGAAGAACTGGAGAGGACAGCAGGAATGAGGGAGAGCCGGGAGCTGGCAGCCTGCTGCTGTTTCCCGGAACAGACTGTGAGCTCCGAGAGGGCAAAGACTGCAGTTGTATCATTTCTTCTGGAGCTCAGCAGTGCTACCGTGCTGGGCACACCAAGGCACTCAATAAACACTTGCTGAATTGCACAAACCAGCTCATCACCTTTCACCCTTTTGTTTGACCCTGGCTCCTGTCTGATGCTCAGAAAAGCAGCTCTGTCTTCCCTCTCAGAAGACAAACTGAAGAGTGGGAATGTCACATAGTCCAACTTCTACCCTTCCTCTCTCCTCCCCACCCTAGCGCTGGGTCCTGGCCTCCCAGAGAGTCTGTTCAAACCACCAGCCTTTCCCATCCTCTGGGGAATGGAGAGGGGACTGGCCAGCATGGGGACACTTCTCCTTCTCCAGGGAGATAGCCTGATATCCAAGTAACAGTGACTGCAAGGAAGAGGTCTGGGTTTGGTCTCACCCCAGCCACTGACTCATCAGGTGCCTCTGGGGCAAGACTTTAGGCCTCGAGTTCCCCAAATGCAAAACCTGAGTGTAGTTAGACAGCCCTCTACCCCTATTTCTGCCCTGAGAGCAGCTGTGGCCCACCCCACCCCAGGGACCGGTACCTCTCAGCTCCACCTTGCCGCTGTAGCTGCCGAGGTAGCGGGCATCGGTGGAGGGAGTGTAACACTCGTAAACGCCTGCATCCTGGGCCTGCAGGTGGGCAATCCTCAGCAGCACGGCATCACCCCGGAGACGCTGCACCTGCACCTCTCCAGCTGCCACTCGGGGCGCAAACACAGCGTAGGAGAACTGGGCATCTCTTGTGCTGATTATGCTCAGGGCAACCTCTGGGGCCTCAGACCTGTACAGGAACCACTCGAAGTCTTGCTGGGCAGGGCCCTCATAGCCACTCACATTGCAGGGGATGAAGACAGTGGTGCCAACCACACGGTACAGGGGCCCCTTAGGGACCAGCACCTCCCGGGCACAGCACCCGATGCCTGTGGGGAAAAGGAGTTGGAGGTGCCTGAGTCCCTGTCCATGACCAGCGCCACCAGCACCAATCTTGGCTCCTTCCAGTGAACGGAAGAGCAACCTAGGGAAGGCTGGTACACAGCTGGCCCTGTTCTGGGAAGGGATGCTGGGATGGAATGGATCCAGGGCTCAGAGAGGTGACACAGGCCCAGCTTTGTTTCAAAACCCAGAAACATCCCATTTCTGGCCGGCCAGACAGCTCCGCGGCACAGCAGAGTGAGCCTCTGCTTCCTGATCCACCTGTCCTTGCTTCCGCCGACCTTATCTCCCCCACATCATTCACTCAGAAGGGCTTGTTGGCTCAGCTGTGTCACCTGGGCCAGACAATGGAGCCAGGGGCCTGTGCCTCCGGACAGGGCACCAGCCCATGAGTTCTCACCACACTGCCCTCCCCCTCCAGCTGTGCTATGAGCTCACTGCTTCTCCCACCCCGCAGGGCTGCCGAGGCAGCTGGGACTTCTGGGGCAAGAACCAGGCTCTGCCCAGGCCTGGGGCAGAAGATCCCCTCCCCCACTGCCGCCAACCTTCTGGCCAGCCCAGCTGATACACTCTGCTCCCCTCCCAAACAAAGCCTTCATTTGCATATGATCTGCATCCTTTACTTACAGCTCCCTTTCTCTAGGAGGCACTAAGCCCCCAGCCGTCCCTGTCCCATCTCAGTCTCCCCTTCAGCCCCCCTCACCCCACCCCAGCACAGTCCTGACCGTCGTGGGGCACTCAGCTTCTTCCCTCCTCCATCCTTCCATGGCTCCCACTAGAGGAGATCCAAGAACCTCAGAATGTAAGGGGGGTGCCAGTCTCCTCCCATACTACACGTGAAAACACACCAGCAAACTATAATGCAGGGGCCTCGATCCTGTCTCCCTGAGCAGCCTCCACACACCGCTGCCGCGGGGAGGATGGGGAAACTCCAAGGAGAGGTCTGAAGGGACGAACCTCACCAACCTCACCCACAGGCTGCCAGGGAAACGCCTGAGGCCTTTCCACAGGGCTGCAGGAAAACACCTAGGAGTCCGAGACCCTGACTGCCAGCTCTCAGCTCCTTTTGTCTTCCTCCAGCTGTGTCTGGAGGTGAACTCCTGGGTGGTGGGCTGGGGCACAGGCCGGAAGTCAGGCACTTGGGTCCAGCCCCAGTACAAGAACGGGTGTGTGACTCAGGAGGGCCTTGCTCCAGGCACTTGTGTTTCATAACCAGGGTGAAGGCGAGGCAGCCAAGATGACATCTTCCCAGCTGCCTGGGGGCAGACTGCAAGGAAGCCTCCCTCCTACCTTCCTAGCTCTGCCACTGCTGATGCTTGGAGATCCCCATGGGAAAGTCACCCCCACAGCCTTAGGGGATCAGCTGCCACTCAGCTCTCCCTCCCTAGCCAGGAGAACCTCAGCCATGAGAGCAAAGAGGTTTGCTCTGGATTGGGTCTGGGTTCGAATCCAAGTCCCAACACTCACTTAGGTGTGCTCTCGGGTGAGTTGCTTCATTTGCCCCATCCGAGACAAATGTCTAGACTGCAGATAGTAGGAACTTAGATGCAGGCAGCCTCCTCCATTCTCAGTGCCCCACCCCTGCCCCTCCCCTGGGCTCCTCTCCACTCCACAAAGCCCACTGGGGAAAAGCAGCAAGCACTAGGCAACCAGGCCCCACAGCTCCTTCCATGTTCAGCCATCTGCTTCCCAACCAGGGCCCCAAGGAGAGGTCTCATCCTGGCCACCAGGGGCCTAGGGACCTGTGGCAAGAGAAGAGTCTACTTGGCGCCACTGCATAGCTGTGGTCTAGACACAGTAGGCAGCTGGGCACTGTGGGCCCCTGCCCTGGCTCCAGCGGTGCTCCAGCGTGCCCACCATGCTGGGCGCTTATTTTAAGGGCTTTGGCCTCGGGAACAGCTGTACACGCAGTTTCACGTCTCCAGGCCACACTTCCCCAAAACACTTCCTACGGAAGGCCTCCAGCTCAGGCCCAAACCAATCCTCCAGCCACCAGCCTCATGCACCCACGCAGGGCTGGCCAGAAGGCTCCACCATAAATATCCACCAGGGCAGAGACGGAGTGCTTGGAGATCCCAGAAGCAGGATCCATGGAGCCTGGCTTCTGGTGAAGAAGGGAAGCTGAGACTAACGGGGTGTGACAACCCACCAAGTGCCATCTGGGAAGGGGCAAAAGGGCAAACCGGAGCTTGGCCCAGGTTAGAGGTGCGGTGGAGGCAGAGAGCCTCATATGATGAAGTGTGTGAGGAGCAATTAGGGAGACTTACTTCAAAGACCGTGGGCAGAACCAGTCCCCGGGCCTGCAGCCAACTCTGGGGCACTTACGAGGACCCGCGGGCACTGCCCACGCAGGGCAGACACCCAAGCCCAGCCCTGGAGCACTGGGGCGCGATCCGGGCCTGGCGGGCTTGAGGCGCACTGGGGGAGGGGAACCCCCACTATGCCCCGGCGCCCGGGCCTTGAGCTGGGGAGCCCCCGTCTCCCCAGACTGGCTCTGCGGGTGGCCGCAGAGAGAAGCCCCGCGCGGAGCCGGGCAGACAGAAGACACACCTGCGGGCGGCGCGGCGCCCGGTTCGCAGGAAGGACGGCCGGCACCTGCCCGGCGGTCGGTCTCGGAGACGGGGCGGGACCGGCTTACCCAGCATTAGCAGCAGCGACAGCGGCGCGGGGCCGGGGGCGCCCATCCTGCGCGGCGGGCTCTGGGGAGGCTTCGGACGGCGGCGCGGGCTCTAGGGGGCCGCGGGCGCGGGGGGCGCATCCCCGGGTGGGGGCAGGAAGCGGAGCGGCGAGGCGTGGGTGCGCGGAGCCGAGGGGAGCCGCTAAAGAGAGGCCAGGTCCCCTCCTCCTCGCCTCCTCCCGCCCCTCTCCCTCCCGCCCTCCGCGGCTCGAGGGACCATTCCCGCCGCGCCCCGGCTCCCGGCCCCGCCCAAGCCCGCGCCACACTCCGGCGCGCCGGCCTCCAGCCAGCCCAGGCTCCGCCCCGATTCCCCGCCGGGCGGGACGAAGGCCGCGAGCTCCGCCTCTGCCGCTGGCCGAGCGAGCCGGCCCGGCCTCTGCTCCCCGATCCCTCCTGCCTCGGGCGCAGCGCCCTAGGACCCGCACTTGCAGAGGGCCCGGGAGAGGTGGGCGCGGGCGCCCCGGGCGGGTCAGGTGACTGGCCTCGCTCTTAGAACCCAGGCATTTGCGCGAAACCCTAAGGCTGTAAGTCCTGCTAGTCCTGTGGGAAACCCTAAGGATATAAGGGGAGGGGGAGCCAGGAGTTCCCACGCCTGGGCAGTTAGGGCCGAGGTACTTCCGAGCCCCTCCCCTCCGGGACACTGGAGACGTCTGCACCCCGCTCGGAGGGCAAACCCAAGGGAAAAGGCGTCCGGACTCACTTCCTGGTTGGATGATCCTGGGCCGGTATTTTAACCTTCCTCCTCCGCAGATTGCGCTGAGCTTGTTGACGTTCACCCAAAGGGATGTGCGATGGCTGAGATAATGTACAGAAACGTTTGACACAGGCTGGCTTGCCGGGCGTGGTGGCGCACGCCTGTAATCCCAGCACTTGGAAGGCTGAGGCAAGGAGGATCGCTGCGAGTTCGAGACCAGCCTGGGCTGCAAAGTGAGCTCAAGGCCAGTTTGAACTGCATAGCAAGACCGTGTCTCAAAAAGACAAAAGAGAAAAACAACAAAAAAAGACACAGGCTAGCTGATGTGACAGAGGAGATGGGAGTTTGTTTGGATCTGGGATTATTTTTAAACTGCTTCCTAAGAAGTTTGGTTTTAGTTTAGACCCGGGGTTTAGGGGAAGGAACCTCATGCACATAGGCCTATGCTGGGAAGGCTGGCGCCTGCCCTCTTTCCCTCAACTTTGAAGGCAGAGAGTGTGAGGGACGGAGAGGACGAGGCCAGGATGGGGCAAAGGGGCAGCCGGTCTGTCCGAGTGGCATTGGTGGGAGGCCAGCATAGAGCTCAGCTAGAGCCCTTCGCCTTTCCCGCCTTCCCACTCCCACCTGCCTTTGCCAGAGGGGGAAACTGAGGCCCAGCCACCCTGGAGAAGCCAGAGAGACTGAGAGGACGGTGTGGGGCCTGGAGGGAATCAGAGGCCTGGCCCTGGCCTCCAGGACTGCCCAGAAGCGGGACAGCAGGTGCAGTTCCTTCCCGCTTGGACTTCTCCACAGCCTGATTTCGCCAGACCCACGTCTCTCTCCAAACTGCAACCCGGAAGTTACAGGAGGCTTCAAAGGAAAATCCACTTTCCCGTTAGCCGAGTGGATTTAAAGCCTTCCCCATCCTTAAGGTTTAAGAGATGTTAAAATCATAATTATGATAGAGGCCATTTATGGAGTGCTCACACAATAAGGCCCTCTTGGGCATTATTTCTAGTCTTTACTGCCTATTTTACAAGGTGATGTCATTTGACAGCAGACAAACCTGACTTTCAGAAGGGTTAAGTATCTTGCCCAAGGCCACACAGCTTTTCACTGGCTGAGATGTGATTTGAGCCCTGCCCTGGCCTGTCCCCAGACCTGTCTACACCCCACCATCTCCCGTTCCAAGCCTGCCCACCCTATAAGCTCATTCATGTAGCAAGTACTGACTGAGCCGGGCTCTAGGTACCGGCAATGCCCTGGTAAACAAGACCAATGTAACGCTTGGAAGATGTGCCGTGCGACCCAGCCACAGCACAAGCATTAGGAAGGAGCTCTTCTGAGAGCTAAGGGCCCACCCCCTCCCGCTGTGTCTTGGGGCTGGGAAGGAACTAGGGCCAGGTAGGGCTGGAGGACCGGCTGACGTCCCCAGAGGGGCTGAGGCAGGAGGGCGGAAGGGAGATGAAGCTTCTTCCCAGAGCCCCTCCCGAAACTGGTTTCTGAAAGTGGCCAGCAGAGGGCGCGCGTGGTCCAAGATCGACTCGCCCCTGTGCGGCTTATGTAACTGGGAAAGCTGGGGGAGGAGAGCAGATGCCAGGCACGAGGTGCGTCACATTCACAGGCGCATGTAGCCCCTGTCACCGAGAGGAGCTTCACGCAGCAGGGCGTCACTCGCACACGCAGCAGAGCGGTGGGCACTCAGACGCTGCACGGGGTGGGGGGAACGTGCTGCGTAAACAGAAGGGCGCTCCCTATCCACTCGCACCACCCGTGAGAAAACACAGGCTCCCCAGCACCTAGGCTGTGCCCTGGGGCCGCTGAGCAGAGAAAAGAGGAAGAGAGCCTCAGGCCAGACCAGACACGGAGGAGAAGGGGCAAAGAGGCCGAGAGGGATAGGTGCAATAGTGGCCTTGAAGAGCCAGGCACCTGGCTGGGCTGTGTTGTCACAGTCTATCTATCGCACCACCAGTCTCCACCCACCCCATGTACTACCAGGTGTGGGCATGCGTCAGACACCAGACTCGTTTCATATGCTTATTTAATTCATTTCACCTCCGGGTGACATATGTACAAGGCACTGAGGTGTCGTGAGTATTATTAGAGACAATTAAGACCCACGCTCTGCCCCTAAGCAGTTTATAATCTGCCTGCGATGTCACCCACTGCAGTCACAACCAAGGAGACACGGCCCTCGTTCAAAGACAGGACCGTTACAGGGTTCCGACCTGTGCCAGGTGTGTAACACGATCTCATTGACTCCTCCTCAGAACCTGGTGAGCTTTGTGCTATTATTATCCCCGTGAGAAAAACCCCGGCATAAAGAAGCCAAGGAACTTGTCCAAGGTTAATGGATTAGTTACTGGCAAAACCCTTACATAGGATTGGCTGACCCCTGTTATGTGATTTTTTAAAAGGCAAACATCACTAGAGGCAAAGTTGAATATGAGCCCAACACACACAGAAGTACACACCAACCTATGAGAAGAAACTGCTATGGAGACCAAGTGACAGCTACACGAGTCACTAAGACATGTGGGAATGACAAACCCACAAGTAGTGCGAAGCTCTTCCCTGAAACATGCGCAGATCCCAGCCTCGTAGGGAGCTAAGGATCGCACACAAGAACACCGGCTGTGTACACTAACAAAGCCTCCGCTCGCTACACTGATCAACTGTTTTCCCACTCTCCCCAAAGGGAAAATTCTTTCTGGTGTTTTGCTGAGAGGCTCAAGCAAAGGATGGAAATAAAGCAAAGATTAAAAACCTGCCTCTCATCTGGACATCAGCCCATGCAGAGCCCTATGGAATCAAAGGTGTGCAGAGAAGATAAACATGCAGATATCATGCACACCCAAGCACACTTGCAGAAACACAAAGCCATCTCTCACACACACATGCACACACACACACACACATGCGCACCGCCTTCTCCTTCCTTCCCAAGGGCCAGGTGCCTGCACGTGTGTGTCTGCATGCACACGCATGTGTCCACGTGCAAGTGTGTTCCCCGAACCTCCCCCTTGCCCTGGCTGAGCCCATGCTCCTACCCAAGTTCTCAGGTGCCCCCCAAGCTAAGGGGGGCAGCACAATGCCGCTGGGACTTCGGCGTGACCCAGTCCTGACCCCCAAGGGGCCCTGCCATTTCTGTGCCCAGGATCAGTGCCAGCTGCCACCCACTCTGTAATGCCATGCTGGGATTCCTCAGAGCTGGAATCCCCTCAGCCGTCCCCTGTCCCACGGGATGGCAGCTGGCAGAGGGATCTGCAGGAGTCCACATGGGTCTGGAGGGCGGCCAGGGACGGCGGGATGTCACTTCTCCCCCCCTCAGCACCCCAGCACCCTAGCAGTGGGACCTGCATGACCAAAGGCAGAAGATGACAGCAGTCTGGTTAGAGAAAGGTTTTCGGGCTGAGAGCAGGAGATGAGCCTGGGGGCAAGACATAGTTAGCACTAGGTGGCTGCCTCTGAGTCACCGAGGCTGAGCAAGCCACAGATGTGGAGAATGGGTCATTTACATGGACAAGGTCATTTACAGGTGCCTCTGAGCAAGGTAGGCGGGAGTAGTAACCACTAATAGCACTTCTCAAAACCCAGCTTAGTGCCGGGTGCTGTTTTATACACTGTGCTCACATTCACTTATTTAGTTTCACAACTCTAGGGTTCAAAACTGTGATTGTCACAGCCGGGCGTGGGTGTGGTGGTGCACACCTGTAATCCCAGCACTCAGGAGGCTGAGGCAGGAGAATCAATGTGAGTTTGAGGCCAGTCAAGGCTACACAGTGAGTTTAAGGCCAGCCTGAACTGCACAGCAAAACCCTGCCTCCAAATACAAACAGACAACCTGTGATTGTCTCTGTTTCACAGATAGGTGACAAAGGCACAGAAAAGTTATGCGATTTAGTCAAGATCACACAGCTGGTAAATGGCAGCATCGAATGCAAACTATCTGACAGCCCACATTAAGGTTTCTGAACCATTCTTCTTCCTCCTGCTTCCCTAACCTGCACACATGTGTGTGTGCGCACATACACACACTCTCTCTCTCTCTCTCTCTCTCTCACACACACACACACTCAGGTTGCCTGTGTAACCTTTGGAAATAGCCATCTCTTTCCACTCACGCAGCTCCAGTTGCTGACACAAAGTGAGTGTTCAATAAATTTTTGTTGAACAAATGAATGTAGTTGCAGGACGGGGGACACAGCAGGAGCTGTGTGTGTGGTGGGACTGGAGGAGGGAGAGGGACGAGGGGGCATTTCTTGCACACACACCGAGCCTTCTGCCGTGGATAATGCAGAAGCTGGCTTCTAAGAGCAGGGAAACCCTTCAAAGCGCCCTGAGTGTGGAAAGAGCAAGGACATCTGGGGCTTCCTGGGTTCTCTGAGGCGGAGGGTGTTCTCGACTCTCCCCTTCAGTCAGAACAGAGGCAGGGGACAGGAGGAGAGCCCCAGAAGAGAGCACAGCCTCGCTTGCCCCCACCGCGTGTTTTCTGCTCTCCTTCCCCAGGCCGCGGGCTCCGCCCTGGCCTCCTCGGCTTCGCCACCTGAACTCTGCGGGAACCCAGCACCCCTCGGCTCTTCTGGCTGACGAGTGGACAATTCCCTTTTTCCTTAGTCCAACTGAAACAAGGGTGGAATTTTTCCAAAAGCCTGCTATTAGGCAAGTAAAGGGAAAACAAAGCCAGAAATAAAGATTGCAAAAACAAAGCAACAGATGGAACAGTGGGGGTGAACAAGCCGGCCCTGAGAGTGAGTGTGAGCCCGGAGCCCGATGCTAACATGACGCCCATCACCACCTTGCCAGCTCTGCCCTTGGCCCGGGTGGCATTTCCCACTCTGTACTGTAATTCCAGGGCTCGCCTCGCTCTCTCTGCCTCTGCCTGGGCTGAGAGCTTCTCAAGGCCGCCACGAGCTCTCCTCCAGCCCCGTGCCGAGCACAGTTGCCTGACAAGGACTAGAAACCCAACAGACATGCACAGAGTGACTGAGCAGTGAGGAGCGGACATGAGGAGGTGGCCCTGTCCCCTGAGTGGGACATGTCTCTCTGGTGGCCCATATTTCCCCTGAGTCCATCTTATGAGGTATGATCAAAATGTAGGGTGAATATTTTTTTTTTTGGTTATGGTAAAAGACACGTTGCTGCTAACCCTCCCTCACAATACTCTCCCTTGCTTTGAACACACTTTTCCAGTCATTCTTGCCACTTTCTGGAGCAGTTCTGGAAGTCCTCTTTTGTATCTTCAGTGGAGTTGTTGTGGCTGCCTCAACATCCTGAATCTATTCAAAGCATTTGCCTTTCATGGTCACTTGGACATCGGAGAAGAGCCAGAAATTGCACAGTGCCAGATGCAGTGAGCGGGGTGGGTGAGGACCGCCGTAATGTTTGTATGAGCCTGCCTTTCTGTTTGATGGCGCTCGGCAGCAGCGTTCTCCATACTTTTTGTTACACCTCTGAAAGACGAAAGACTTCCAGAACTGCATTAGAAGTGATAGGATAAGTGTGTTTGAAGCGAGGGGAAGTATTCTGAGGGGAACTAGTGGCAATGTGTCTTATACTGTAATAGTTTCTAGAAATGTAAATACTAACTGTATCCACAGGTGAAAGCTTCTCCCCTTTTCAGAACAGAAGCTCCCATCCCTCAACAAACAACCCAGGCTGGCTTCCTGGGCAGCCTAGGCAGGGCAGGGCTCTGTCCTCTGGGGAGGGAAGGTGCTGGAAATCGGATCCAGTTGAAAAAGAAATTGTAATCCAAAGGCCAGGACATTGGGAAGCAAGGGCAGAGGGTAATAGCTAACATTCCCTGAGCATTTTAACTCTCAGCAAAACCCTATGCATTCAAGCTACGAAGGAAACAGACATTCAGAGAAGCTAAAAATTCTGACCAATGAGTTGTCGACCAGAGATTTCTTTTCCAGGCACCCTGACTCCATAGCACAAGCTCTTGGCCACGATGTTGGGCTGCATCTGTGTAGCTGAAATCACTAAGTGGAGGAGGATCTGGTATCTAGGGGAGGACAAGGGTGTGGAGGACAAGCGGGATGGCGGGGAATCCGGGCAAGCAGGACTGACCACTGCGGCTGGGGACTGAGGCACCAACATCGAACATCGGCATGGAGGATCCCAACTCCCACACCAGATCTCCTGGGGGGAGACCGGCCAGAACAAACCTAAAAATGAGAGAATGAGGCAGGTTGCCAATCTGAAGCTTAGGGGCAGAACATAAAGTTTATTTGTCCCCAACAATGTAAAAAACTGTGGGGCTGGGATTTCAGGACCACGTAGCAAAGCTTTGGATAGACTCAGACTTAGCTGCATAGCCTGGGTCCCATTACTGACGTTCCCTACCCTCCGTTTCATCACCTCTGCACTGAGAATTACTGTAGTACCGACCTCATTGTTTTCTGAGCATTGCTGTGAAGGTAAATTATGATCAAAGCCAGGACAGAGTGGGTCCAACAGCCAGGACAGAGAACTTTCTAAAGGGGTCACACCCATCCCCTGGCGCCCACCTCCTGCTTGCTCAGTTGCCCGCTGTCTTCTTTCTCTTTCCATTTACTGCAATCCTTTCGGAAGAGAACAACCTCACCTAGCTCAGCTCTTCACAGTGCTATGGCCAAACTGGCCCCACTGTGGTGCCTTCTGACTTGACCTGCTTTTATTTCCCCTTGGCATCTGCAATCTGAAATTGTTAGTAGTGGTTTTTGTCATGGTTGTTTTTTGGGTTCTGCCCCCTTAAAATGTTTCCTCTCTCAGATGCCGGGTCCCTGGGCCTGGTCCCTGGGCCTGGTCTAGTTCTACTAACTCTCCGATTCGTTGCCTTTTCATCTTCTGGAAGACTCTCGGCTCCTGTCACCTTGTCCTCTTGCACCTCTGCCTCAGCAGCCTCTTTTGGTTCCATGGTCACCTCTGTGCAGAGGACTTTCCCGGCCCATGTTCTCTCCCAAGCCCCAGGCCCCATTTCAGCACCTGCACCAGAGCACCTTGAACTTAACACTCCCCAAACCAAATGCGCTTTCCCTGCCTTCCACCAGTTATCTTTGTGCCAACATCTTCCCATCTCCGACTCTTTCTCCCCTTATCCTGACAAGCAATTATTTACCCATCCTGAAACCCTGCCTCCCAAAGACCTCTCTTACCCATCCCTCTCTTTTTCTGCAGTACCGGGGATCGAACTCACGACCTTGCGCTTGCCAGGCAAGCACTTCTGCCACTGAGCTGTATCCCCAGCCGCCCCTCTGTTCTCACTCTTTTCTCATCTGTCTGCCGTTGCTTCTGTCTGTCCCAGACTCTCACCGCCTGTAGCCCTTCCCTCTCTCATCCAGCCCAGCCTCCCAGCACATGGACGTGCAACACAGCCTGCAGTCAAATGCGCCTTCCCAGGGCACATGAGACCAATTCCCTGCTCAGAAACTTTAAATGGCTTCATATTGTTTATAGCAATATTTCTCAAACTTGTTTGGTAAAAATGCAGACTCCCACTCCCCACCCCCGCCCTCATGAATCAGAATCTCTAAGAGACATGCCTGCTGCTCCATATTTTTAACAAGCATCCAGGTGACTTATCATCAGCATCCTCTAGAAAATACTAGTAGTGAAAGCGACACTTAGTCTGACACTCAAGGCCCCCCATGCCACGGCCCCAACACCCACTCCCAGTTTTGCCTCTGTGTTTCTTCTCCCTTGTGCTCTGGGTGCTCCGGCCCTCTGAGCTTGTGGCCCCACTGTTCCCTCACCTTTGTCTCTCTAAGCCAAATCCTACCTATCTGTCAAGGCCCCACTGGAACACCACCTCCTCCAAGGAGCCCTTCCTGATTCTTCTAGCTGAGAACCATCTCAGAGCTGCCATCGTTCTATAAATGCAATGCTGTACAGACAGCAGGCAGCAGTGAGGGCTCACAGATGCCTGATGTGGGCACTTTTCCTACCCCTTACCCTGCTGGCAGACTCCTCGCTGTCGCCACTGCAGCCAGAGGTCCTTGGAGACAGGACTCGGGCGGGTCCTTCTCTTCTCAGTATGGAGGTTAAATGTGCAGGCCCTGGAACTGAACTGACTAGAGCTGAGTCCCAGCTCCCCTACTCAGCTACTTAGGACGATCTGCGTGTCTTAACGTTCCCATCTGTGAAATAGAGTTGTTTCGAGGACTAAGTTCAGGAGCATATGCTGTCTTCCTCAGTCCTGGAGGGTGGGGCGTCTCGGATCAAGGTGCCAGTGGGTGCTCTGTTGCTTCCTGTCTGTAGATGGCCATCTTCTTACTGTATCTTCACCTGGTGGAGAACAAAAAGAGGAGGCAAGTTTTTCTTTGTCTTAAAAGGGTAATGATCCCATCATGCGGGCCCCACCTCATCACCTAATTACCTTCCCAAGGCCCCACCTCCTAATATTCTTACCCATGTAAGAGATTTACACAGTTTGTTTGCCTGAGTGTGAACATGCACATCTGTGAGGGACATGGCATGCCATGCACACCAAGTGCTCACTAACCATTAACTGCAACGAGCTAGGGACCTCAGGGACAATCCGCCTCAATGGCTCCCAGCCTTACCTGCCCCACTGACCAATCTGGGGAGCTTTAGAAAAATACTGAGGGCTGGACCCTCCCTGAGAGCAATTAAAAAGGATCCTGGGGCTGAGGCCCCGGCATGCGATATTGGCATATACAGTTAGGGGTGAGAGTCCCTAGCTGATCCAACGCTCTTTATCGATGAGGGGTAAAGGACTTATTTAAGTGCACATAGTACAAAAAGTCCTGCGTCAGAATTTTCCTCCTTCGAATCCACTCCAAGGTGACTTCCAGCATACCACGGCCCAGCCTTTGTTCCTGAATCGGCCAGGTGGAAGTGCTGAGCCCAGGGCCACCCAGTCTCACTCAGTAGGAATGGAGAAGAGGGAGGGAACTTGGAGGAATGAGGGGGTCCCAAAGGACTAGAAGATTGCCCTGAAATAACAAGCTGAAGGGTGGGGTAGAGGAAGGACTTAGTGACTAGATGGTGTGGGGTTTCAAGCAAAAGGACTATGAGGGTTGGAAACTCATTTGCCTGAGTTGTAATTGTCTGAGTCCCATGCTGGCACAAACTATGGCTCACTGTAAGTGCCCACAAGTGCAGACTGAATGTCTGAATGATACAAAAGCATCAAAAAAGAGCGTGAACTGTGGATTAAGGGCAGTGGTAGGGACATGCAGACCGGAGAACAAGGATGAAAGGATTCTGGACTTCCAGAGAAACTGAGGCACAGAGGAGGCCAAGCTACCTGGAGATCCAAGGAGAGTCCATTAAGCAGGAGGGAGGTGGTGGCTCTGTGTGCCAGGGGTTTGCAGGGCATCCTGTCCTAGTTGGGCACCAGAATGCCAAAGGACAGCCAGACAATGGAGCTGCATCCTGGCCCAGGCCAGTGGAAGCCGCCTGGTAAGGGAGAAAGGAGGTAGGAAGGAGGAGGCTGGGGCCCAAGCCAGGCTGCCTGTTGATAGGGGGAGCAGGGAGGCGGGGTGCTCTAGGCCAGGGGCCGGGTCAGATCTGCAGCCAAAGCAAACCTGCCTCAGGGGGCTGGGGGCCTGTTCCCTCCCTGCCCAGATGGAATCAAAGGCAAACAGGAACCCTGCAGGGCCCAGCTGTGACCCTTGACCCCATACTCAGCAAGGCCCATTAATCCTGCCTTCTTCATACCCCTCAACATATTTTCCCAGCCCAGAGAATCTCTGGAAACAGATTCACCTGGTATTTGCTCATTGAATACCAGTCAAGCCTCACCCCCATCCGGTCCTTCTCCCCAAAGGAGACACAGACTGGTCCCACCTCTCCTAGTAGCTTCTGAAGAAACCAAAGTAGTCTTGTCCAAACCCTGAGCCCTTTCTCATTTCTACGGTGAGTTAAAGGGCCCAGGTTCGTTTCCATGGGCCATGCTGGACACTGAAGGAGCACTTGCACCCATGCTAGTGAACAGGAAAGAAGCGCCTACCCCTCGTCTCCTTCTGCGTGCAGGGCTCCAGCGGGTGGTTCGCCCACAGATGAGACTGCAGGTCACTTCGCTGCTCCACTAGCCAAACCATGAGCAGAGAAGGAGGTAGCTCAGATATTGGGGATCATCAGAGCTGGGAAGGGACCTCCAGGTTTTCTAGTACTGCTCGTGGTCACTGAGATGAAGACATGAAGTGAGACAGAGCAGCCTGTTGTCCAAGGTCACGCAGGTGGCAAATGACCCCACTGGGACCATCCTCAGCTGACCTAATTTGTAAGCAAGTCATTGCGTTAGACCCAGGTGGGTGCCCCAGGGAGGGCAGGTGGGAAGCAGAGGCACAGGGCTCCTGCACCTTCGGAGAGTAGCTTGATGCCTATCTTCGCCCTCCCACCTGTGTGCCCAGGTTGAAGCTGTCCAAACCCAGAGAGAACGCAGGAGGGCAAAAAGGGGAATGGAGCAGAGGTAGTGTGAAGTGCTTTTTCCCCATTTTCTGAATTGTAGGTAATGTGGTTTAACAATTTTTAAAAAAGATAATAAAGACTGAGCCAGGTGTGGTAGTGCATGCCTATAATCCCAATACTTGGGAAGCTGAGGCAGGAGGAGCGCTGTGAGTTCAAGGCCAGCCTGGGCTACAAAGTGAGTTCAAGGCCAGCCTGAATTGCATAGTGAGACCCTGTCTCAAAAAGACAAAATATGTATACATATCTATAATAAAAATCACCTGTTGGAAGAGATTAAAGATGACGGAACTAAGGAAGAAATCTTTAGAATCTACTTTGAGTAGGCTAAAAAAGAAATACCAGGAAGAAAACAGAAACCGCCGTGAAGGAAATGATGGAAAGATCCAACACTGTCCCTGTGGTCCAATGCAGAAGCAGAGGCAGCAGTAGGCCTTGGGCAGCCAGTCTGTGGCTTTGAGCCCAACCTGCCCACCGCAAGGTCACTCCTATCGGAGGGAGTTAAGGAGAGAAGGCTGGGAGGAGGAAGCATCTTAGACACTGGCCAAGGACACCCCAGGCCTTCCCAGGCTCCTACCTAACCTATCGCTCCAAGACAGCCTCCCCTTGGAAGCAGGAAATTCTCACCTCCACCCTCAAAAGGCCCCAGAAGCCTGGTGCTGTGTGGTGACAGGCCCAGGCTCTGAAGAAGAAAAGCCACGGGCAGTCGGAGGCAGAGGAAGAGAGGGAGAGACTGCCCAGGGGGCTGGCAGCAGACAGGAGACTGGGCCCACATCGGAACTGGGGCAGAGAAGTGGGGTGAGGGGGCGGGAGGAGGGGCCGTGCGGGTGACTGAGCCTCCCAGGTCTTCCTTCCCTCCCTCTGTCCCCCTCATTCTCTCTTTCGTGATCTTAAAACAACCTTCCAGTCTGGGCTGGAGGCCCCAGGAGGCCAGTCACTTAGGAAACAAAACCGTTTCTTGGAGACCTCGCTAGCCCATCTGCAGCAGAGCGACACCCCCCTTCCCGGCACACACTCTTTCTCCCATGGACTCTCACGTCCACCCACACCCGGCTGCCCAGCGCTGCGGCGGCCCACACACGTGCAAGCATGCACACGCACACGTGCGCATCACGCGCTCATGTACAGACTGAGAATTTGGAATAGGCTGTCAGGTGAGTGCCGCTGCTCCTCTTTTGAGGAGCCAGTTCTTTGGAATTGTCACTGGGTGGGTTCCCAGGGTCACCTACCCACACACCCTCAAGTCCCCCCATCACTAGCTGGGAAGGACACACACAGGAAAGATTAATCCTTCTGATTAGTCTCTCTGAACCCTCTTGCTCTGTCTCTCTCTCTCTCTCTCTCTCTCTCTCTCTCTCTCTCTCACACACACACACACACACACACACACACACACACTCCTCCCTCTCATATCTTCCCATACCAACCAAAGTCTTGGTTCTAGACCTCTCCAGCACCCTGCATCCCGCTGACCCCTCACTGATCTGCACCTTTCTCTCAAGCCCACTCCCCAGCACAGTCATTCTGACCTCCCTACCTCTGGGTTTTGAGTCTTATGTAATCCAGGCTGGCTTTGAAATCCGGTGGTGATTCTCCTACCTCAGCTCCCCGAGCACTGAGATTACCGACCTACCCTGACACACCCAGCTCGGCCTTTGCCTCTTTCTGTCTCCCTCCTTTGTTTCTCTCCCTGCAGGGTCTTGATTCACATGGGCACCACCGGCCTGGTTCACAGGAAGCGGGAGCCCAACCTGGGTACCCCAGATCAAAGGATCTAGTGTCTATAAGGCTAGACCCCCCCAGAACCTCAGCCCTCACCAAGGCGACACAGGTGGCCCACGAGGTAAGCATGAGAGCAGGCTGAGAACCCTGTCCACTTTCCACTTCGGACCCTGAGCCTGTGCGCAGTGCACCCTTGGGGCTGTGCGGGGGCCCAGTGCAGGGCATGGGAGAGCCCTGCAGGCTGCCTGGGCCCAGGAAGGGCACAGTCCTTTCTGGTCCTGAGCCTGGCTATAAGAACCAGAGCCAAGGCCTGAGGAGTCCTGGGGGGCAGCAGAAGGGACGAGAGAGTTGGAATGAAAGCCAGTAGAGCCCAGAGCCTGAAGCTTCCTCTTCTGGGCAGGAAGTAGCCCAGGAGCTCTGTGCCAGGAAACTAAGGCACAGGTGCCGCTTAAATCTCGCTGATCCTCTGTCTGCCCCTAGCTCCAGGCCACACTACCTCCCCCACCCCACGCCCACCCAGCTTTGCGCTTCTCTTCTAGGGACTTCAAAAGGCAGTCCTTCTGGATGTCCGGCCCCAGCCTTCCTGCTGCAGTGCCAGCTGCTCCCCTCACTCTCCCCTCTCCACACAGGCTCTGTATCGATTTCCCCTCCTCGCTTCCCTGCCTCTTCTACCCCAGGCCCAAATCCAAGGTCTGCAGAGGCCATGGAAAGACATGAAAAGGCCTGCGGCTGCCCTCTCCTACCCACCCTCCTGTCCGGAACCGGGAGAAGGAAGGAGGCTTGGAGTGGGATATGACCTTCCGGATCCCTGTAATGGAAAATCTCCACTGCGGGCCAGTTATTTAGGGAATTCAGATGCGAGCGCTATGCCCTGAGAGTGGATTTGCTGGAAGAGAAGTTGCTAATCCCTCTGCAGGGAGATCCCCCTAGGGCCAGGGGGCCCAGCCCAGTGGGTACCTTAGGCTTCTAGGCCAAAGCCCCCATCGCCTCCCTCTTCTCCTCCTCCTCCCTCCATACTTGGGGCTCTCAGACCTAGCCCTGTGACACTGGCTTCCCCCCACTCCCTCTCTGCCCCCTGAGACGTGGGGACACTCCAGGACCCTGCCCTCTGACTGCTCTCAGAATATTTTCTTCAAGCCAGAAGAGACAACCCTTCCAGCCCATGGTGAGGCCTCGTCCTCTGGGGCTGCTCTTCCAGGTTCTCCCAGGCAGCACCGCAGGAGGCCTCTCGTCCATCTGCCTTCATCCTGCTCGATGCAGACTTGCCTTCCCCCATCTCAGGAGAAGGAGGCGGTTGTTCTCCGTTCTAGTTCACGCAGCTGGTATTTGTTATGATACTGATCTCCAAACACTTCTTGGGAACTCTGCATTCTCCTCCTTGACCTCTGCCCTTGCCACTGTCTCACCTCAGATGTAGCTTTGACTCTCAGCTCCTCAACAGCAGCGAAAGGAGGCCGATGCATGTTCACTCCATTAGCAAAGGGGCCAGAGCACAGAGATGTCGTCAAACACCTGCTGCACCGGGTCCAGGGCTGCCTTCCTGGTCCTCTCAGGTCCCCTCTATCCCTCGCCTGTCCCCCCAGGCCACCTCCTGGCCGCAGGAGTCTCAATTATCCTGAAAGCTGTGGTTGCTGAGGTCACCTCTGGGAGGTCTTGGGGACCTTCATGCTGCCTCTTGAGCTGCCTTTAGCACCCAGAAACCCCTCACCCCAACACTGTGCCTCAAATGCAGGTGCCGACTTGGGGTTCCAATTCTAATTTCCTGGGCTCCAGTGTGCAGGCTGCCTCTATAGTAGAGGGAACACTGTTTTCGTGGGAGGTCGGGTATAATCTCAGGAGACCTGAGCTCTGATTCTGTCCTATCAGCTCAAATTGTTTAATTCCTCTAAGCCTCCGTTTTCCCGCCTAATCATAGGGAGCGTTAGAACACATGGCCTCTGGCACCCCGGTTCCTGAACTGACTGCTCCCGAGGGCCACGTTCCTCCGCTCTTTGCCTCTCCTGCTCTCCTTCAGTCGCGGCTGCCACAAGCCAGGGAGCTGGGGAAGCCAAGGGGGACAAAAAAACGACAAAATGCACCATCAACAGGCCAGTTGCTAAAGGGGCGGGAGGGGAGGAGTCCTCAGGGATCCTGTTTCAACAAACGTTTCTTTCCCGAGGAAGGGAAGGCGGGGTAAGGGGGAAAGGGACCTATTTAAAGCTACCCTGTTGCTCCGGCTGTCTCTGTCTATCTGCCAGGGTCTCTGGGCGGCCGCCCCAGACCGGCAGTGTGGGCTTGGGATCCTCCTGTGACCTCTCCGGCCTAGGTCCCCTCAGCCACTCTGCCCCAAGATGGGTCGTGGGGTGAGTATCCCCAAAGAGCAGGGGCATCTGTGAGGAGGGGAGGGGACAGCGGGGGAAAAGACAAATGAGAATGGGATTCAGACACAGGGGGAGAGGGAAACTGAGGCAGCGGGAGAGTTTGGGTTTGGGACTAACAGTGGCCCAAATACACAAGGGTGTCCAGGTCACAGAGCGCTCAGGGCCCAAGTGCTGACCTCTTCTCGGCCTGGAGTAATCCCAGCCCTCCACCGCACATCTCTCTGCCGCTCCTCTAGCCATATCTCTGGGCCTCCCAACTGAAGGCACTGTTACATTTCTGCCTCTGCTACCCCTGGAAAATATGCACTCCTCCGGGAGTCTGAGCCTGACAGCGTGGGGGTCCAGCCTAAGGCTGGAGAGGAGCAGAAGAGCATCCCACTCCCGCTGTCACCAAGCAGCTCCAGGGGCCCTGCATGCCATGACAGCTGGGGTGGGGTGGGAAAAAGAGCGCTGTGCCCAAGCCAGCCCCCAGCCCTCCGGATGTCCCCGGCAGCACAGTCCTCGGCTCAGAGCCATGGCCTTTGAGGACTTTCCCAAAGGCTGGTGAGTGCTGCCCCTTCCCCGGCCCGGCCCTGCCCAAGGCATTCTGCAGCCATGGCTTTTCCAGGGGAAGCAGGGGATTAACCACCACATCAGGACAGGCAGGGACGGGGCTTCCAGTTCTTGGAAATGAAATTCCCATATGGAGAAAAGTGATCCAATCCTTTTACATACTGTGCCTGGCTGCTTTCCTTTTGTGGAATGCTGGCAGAGGAGGGCACAGGGGGAGAGGGCATGAAGGGAGAGGGCATGGTGAGCCATGGAGGGTGCGAGGAAGTTGGTGCCTAAATGGAGCTCTGGGCCAATTTCTGAGCCTGGCAGAAGTCAGGCAAGTGCAGGTTATTTCCCTGAGTTGAGCAGATAGGAAAACTCTGAGCCTGGACACCAGGGTTCCTGAGCTACAGTGGTGCTAGAAATAGAACCAGTGTGTGTGTGTGTGTGTGTGTGTGTGTGTGTGTCCATAACCACATGCTCCCCATAGGCTGGAAGTGCTGCAGATGTCTGCAGGTGAGCACCAATGTTTGTGTCTCAGCAGGCAAATCTGCGCATGTGCAAGCCCTCAAGCACACACAAGCATAGATGCCGTGTGAAGTGGGGGCATGAGGGACTGTGAGCCTGCCTGTCTTTAGGAACTCTCTGTGAGCTGTGGGTTTCACAGAGGAAGAGGTCTCAGCCGTGGAAAGATACACTGGGTTGCACCTTGACATCTCTTGCTCCTTGGGGAAAGGGAGTCCCCAGCTGAAGTGCAGAGTTCCACAGTGAGGCCACAGCTGAGCTGGTCAGGCAGGCCCTCCACCCTCTACCCAGAAGGAGAGAAGGAGGGGAGGTGGCCCCCTACCTGGCTTCATCTTGGAGTGAGGTGGACCCAACTCACCAGGTCCTGCCTGGGAGGCAACTTTACCTCGACTTCTCTGGTCCGTTCCCTCTTAACTGCCCTGCAGCCATCACCTCCACTCCAGCAGCTGTGGGTGAAGCAAAAGCAGGATGAGTAGATCTGGTCAGTTCAGCGTGAATGGTGACAGCGGGTGAAGCAGGGGACACTCAGGGCCTGGAGCTTAGAGTCCTACCAAAGGAGACCCCAGAACAGGGAAAGTCCCCGCCACTTACACCCCATCCTAGGGTTTGTTTCACCTGGATCCTTTCTCCCTTGCATCTCTGCTCCAGAGCAAGGCCTAACTCTCAGCCCATCGCCGAGTGGCCCTGAAGGGCAGCGTGGGAGCTGGGGGAAGGGGCAGCACTGGTGGGAGGGAGAAGCTGCTCCAGCTGCCACAGAGAAGCTGAGGCGGGGGGGGGGGGCGCCTGGCTGATTTCCAGCTGCCCCCACTCTGTCCCAGCCTCTGGCTTTCTCAGAAAGAACTCTCTGTTCTCCTTCAGCATTCAAGACCCAGAGAGAGGGACTTGTGGATGGGGGAGGGAAGAGCAGGGAGAGGAAGGGGGGTCCTTGCTTCCTCTTTCTTTCTTGCCTAGGCAGCCACTGGCCTCAAATCTCTGCAGGGTCCTGGCTGCAAAGCCTGAGATCCTTGCCAGGACAGGAGGAGGGGGAGGGGGCAGTGCATCCCAAGTTCTAGGCCTGTGGGAGGACAGAATGGACTCTTGGGAAAACAAGATACTGTATGGAGCTACTAAAGTCAGCCACAACCCCACCTGGCAACGTGCGTGGACCAGCAAGGTTTTTACAGTTTTTAGCAGCATGCACTTGATTCTATTTTCATGTTCCTTATTTCACATCTAATGTTCAGGAATTCCTCGGAGCTCTGCTCCTTGGCCCTAGCCCCAGGCCCTTGGCAATGCATACCTAGGCTCTGCTCCTACTGCTGAAGCTCCTTTGGTCCCATGATGTTTACCCAGCTGGGACTTGTTGCCTCTGGTCCCTCCATTGCTTTCAGTCCTTTTCTCAGCCCTTCCTTGCCAAGGACAGAGTTAGTGAATCCAAAGCATCTCAGTCTATCCAATTAAGTCCCTGATTTAAAGACATATGATTGCAAACTTTCACGGGTGTAATGTATAAGACTCATTTTGCCGGTTTCAGAACAAATCTGACTTATGAACAATTCTCCTGGAATGGAACTTGTTTGTAAGTCAGAGACTTAGTATAAATGACCCCTCTTAAGTCACCCAGAGAAAGGAGAAGTAGAATGACCCCCATGCCCTTCTCCACTCCTTCTGTTGGATGACGTCAGTCTCCCCAAGATGGTGAGTCTTTAGAAGGCCCAAAATAGGTTGAATTCATAAGTGCTTCACATGAAGATAAATGCACAGTTTATTGGTCACCTTTTCTGAGAAAAACATTTCTGAGTAACAAAGAGCTCATATCTTTTTCGGTCATTATGTCTTGAGGACAAGGGTCCACTCTGTACTTATCTCCCACACCCAACCTTGCTCCTGATTTCACTGCTCAGATTTCTGTTTCTTCAAGGGACTAGACTTGTGACCTCTTACAATCCAGGCAGCTGCCACACTCCAGGCTCTTTAATGGGGTAAAAATGCTTTATCATGGAGCCGGGAAGAGTTAGGAGAGCCAAACTATTCAACGTGATGCCTCAGTGATAGATACATAACAACACACATTTGTACACACTCATAGAATGTACAACCCCAACAGTGAGCTTTAATGTGATCCATGGACATTGGTTGATGTCCATGTAGTTATCAGCTATATTAAGTGTAACAAATATATCACTCTGATAGGGGATGTTGGCAGATAGGAGGCTGCCTTTCTCTACTTTTTGTTCATTTTTGTGAACCAAGGTTACTGCTCCAAAAACAAAGCCTATTTTTTTTAAACAAAGCCTACTTTTAAAAACTGACCAACCAAGACCCATCCCCTCCAATGCATAAGCCTGAAAATGCACACACTTTGGCTGTGGATCCCACCACTCCTTATGGGGGGATAAAAAAAAAATCACACCATAGTACAGAAAAACTCCTTCCTGAAAGCCTAGTTTAGCCTTTAGGATCTAGAAAAATCTAGAGGCACTGGACAGACACCAAGCAACCCTTTTGTGATGAGGACACTGTCTAATGAGGAAGAGAGGGCAAGGACAGAGGGATGAAGGCATCTGAGATGGCACAATTCTTAGACAGTAGTCATAGCCCCCAGCCTACCCCAGCCCCTCCTAGCCCACTGCTCTAAGATGGACTCTCCTTGGGTGGAGAAATCCCACATCCTCTCCCTCCAAAACTTCCCTGTGAGACCCTGGAAGCCTGGAGAATGGGAAAAGTTGGCCTCATCAGGCTACAGTTAAAATGTCCTTCTGATCTCACCAGATGACGCAGGGGTAACCTAAGAGTTACACAAGTGTTAGTATTAGCTTTACCCTTCAATACAACTTCTACAACTGTGGAGTCCAGTTCCCTTCTCACCCAAGCGTGCTTCAGAGCACTGAGTCCCATGTCTTACCCCTGTCCAGTCTTGGGGAGGCCTGGCCAGCAGGGTGGAAAGGGCTCCCACATGCTCTGCATTGCCATTTCCTGGGCACACTCTGACCCTCCAGTTACTAACTTCTCAGTGCATTAGCCCTACCGATTCTACTTCCACCATTTCACCACCAAACACTTTTCTCCTCCCAGTTTTACCCAAAGACTCTTACTCTCCCAAATTCCTGACTGTACCTACCTCTCTCTAAGTGTAGTAACCACAGTGTTGAGCAAAAAGGCATTTCTACAAGGTGCTTCCAGTCCCTCTCCCACCCCCAGCCCTGCCCACTCCCTTCCACAATTCTCCTAGATAGTATAGGATGTGGGATTGTGAGATGTTTTCAATCTAGCAGTAGCATCCTTTAAGCAAAAGAAATCTTAGCAGAGGCCCACACACTAAGGAGCTGAAAGGTAGCTTTCCAGTCCTCAGCCCCTTGGCCTCCCCTGAACCTCAGATGGCACCTCAGAGCTCCGCCAACAGTCTGCAAACTGAAGAAGAACTGGGCCCCCTTTCCCCCTTGTTTCTTCTCCCCAAGACAGTCAGTATCTTTGGAACAACACCCCTCCCCCAGTGCCTGGTCTCCCTGGTTGGCCGAGGGGGACACAGGCCAGCCTGTCCGCATGACGCTATGGTCCCCCTTCCTCCCGCAGGCCGGCCGTGAGTACTCACCTGCCGCTACCACTGCAGAGAATGGGGGCGGCAAGAAGAAGCAGAAGGAGAAGGAGCTGGATGAGCTGAAGAAGGAGGTGGCGATGGTGAGGCCCACACCCCACCCAGTAGAGCCTCAGAAGAGGGGTCTCATGCGGGGACAGCTGCCAGTGTCCCCCCCATGCTCCTCATTTCACCCTTGTGCCTCCTTCCCCAAAGTGACGCCACTTCTCTTCCCCAGGATGACCACAAGCTGTCCTTGGATGAGCTGGGCCGCAAGTACCAAGTTGACCTGTCCAAGGTGAGCAGGTGGATTTCCAGGGAGGGGACCCAAGAGGTGAGACAACCAGGCAGAACTGGGTGGGGGAGCCTTAAAGCCACAATGTAACATTCTTTCCAGGTGAGGAAACGGGCCCAGAAATAAGAGGCTTCCCCCGGTCACATGGCTAGCTGGTGGCAAAGCCCCAACTAGAATCTGGACCCCTGCTTCTTAGAGCCAAGGTCTTTCCCTGTGTATGCTGGAAGCCAGGACTCCCAGAACCTCCCACCGCCACCAGGCGGGGTCCCTTCCCCTGACTCCCACCCCAAGCAAACCAGTGGCACATATATGAATAGTGAGGCCCCCCTTTCTGTTATTACAATAGTTTCCTTCTGCCATATGCTACTTAAATGGCCCTGTGATAGATACATTATGTATATTTCTCTAATCCTTATAACAACCCTCTGAGGTAGGTATGGTGGCCTGTTAATTAAAGCTAGGAGATTCAGATGTAACTTCCCAAGGTCATATAAACAAGGAAGTGGCACAGTCAGATTGCTAAGCCTAACATTTTGAAATGTTAAAATATCGCTAATCTGATGGGCATGGTGCCACACAACTCTAGTACCAGCTAGTTGGGAAGCTGAGGTGGGAGGGTCACTTGAGCTCCTGAGTTCAAGACCCATTTGGGCAATACTGAGAAATCATCTGAAAAAAAAGAAAACATGTTCATAGAAAAACTTCATGGGTCAATGTCTTCTACACTCTTCCCCAACTGCACTTCCTAAAATTCTGTGCCCTCATTCCTATATCTTACTTTATTTCCCTTAACAACACTTTTCACCCTCTGGCATTAATATATAACTGTTCATTGTGTATATGATCTTTCTAGAGGGCAGGAACTTTTGGTTGTGTCTATCTCTGGACTCCTCCCTACTACCTGGCATATAGTAAGTGCTCAGCACACATTTATTAAATAAATGAATGAATGATACAAAGATACAAAGATAAATAAGAAGTTGTCCCTGATCAAAATCTAGTAGAAAGAAAAAAATGAATTCCCAAACGATATGTCAAGTGCCACCTCTAGAGTCAAGTGAGGACCCAAAAGGGGCCATAAACATCTGATCCAGCCTGGGGCTCGAGGAACAGAGCCTGGACAGGATTTCCATGGAAAGCGACAGATGATTGCCAGCGTCGAATGATGTCAGGCTCTCCCTGCAGGCACAGTACAAGGGAGGATCTGGAGGAAGAGAGCCTGGAGGAAGAATCAGATGAGGTGTCTTTCTCTCCAGGGACCTTATCCAGGTTGCCTGCACAGAGGTGTTGTGACCCTAACCAAAACGTGTATCAATCCAGTAATAATCAGACGTGAAACTGCAGTCAGTCTCCCTCAGCCTTCAAGCCCTCCAAGTCCCCTCACAAATGCCACCTCCTCTGTTCTCCTCCTCTTCTGACCTGGTGGAGTTTTCCTCCCAGCTGGACGTTACCCCCTGCTGAGGCACTCTTGGGATGCAGTGACAGTCAAGTTGGTTCTGAATCCTAATCTCACACCTCTTCGCCTTGCGCCCCAGGGCCTCACCAACCAGCGGGCTCAGGACGTTCTGGCTCGGGATGGGCCCAACGCCCTCACTCCACCCCCGACAACCCCTGAGTGGGTCAAGTTCTGCCGTCAGCTTTTCGGGGGCTTCTCCATCCTGCTGTGGATTGGGGCCATCCTGTGCTTCCTGGCCTTTGGCATCCAGGCTGCCATGGAGGATGAGCCATCCAATGACAACGTGAGCCACATACCTGACCCTGGGCCAGCCCATAACTCTGTCCTTCAATTCTAAACCCCTAATAGAGTGGTAGGGAGAGTGCAAGGAACAAGATCCTCATGTCACAGTCCCACCGCTGTCCTGTACCTTGAGCTGAAAAGGGGTGAGGCTGCTGTAGAAATCTACAAAGCACCCCCATTACATATGCACTCAGTGAGTGAGTCAGTCCCACCCTGCCCCTTTCATCCTAGGAAAGCAGGGGGTGGACAATCAAGGCAAGTTGGAGAGAAGGACTTTCCCCTACCACTCTCACTCCCAGGGACAGACAAAGTCCAGGCTCTCATGAGAAGGGCACTGAGTGCTTGGGGAAGCAGGGGCAGGTTCCTCACACTCTCCTTCCTTACCAGCTATATCTGGGTGTGGTGCTGGCAGCTGTGGTCATCGTCACTGGCTGCTTTTCCTACTACCAGGAGGCCAAGAGCTCCAAGATCATGGATTCCTTTAAGAACATGGTGCCTCAGGTAGCCGGTCGGGCTGGGCGCAGTCCAAGCTGGGTCATAAGGTTCCTGGGGTGATCCAGCCTATCCCAGCTCAACACCTGTGCTGAGATGGAGACAGACAGAAAAGAGCCCTGGGTCTCCACACCGGGACCTACTTGTGTTACTAAGGGTGTGGGGATTTCTTTCTCCTTTGGTGGGGTTGGAGAGGGGGCCAGCAGCCATCAAGGGAGGAGACAGAGATGAGCATTTCCTGAGATGCCCATGGCCTCTCCACAGCAAGCCCTCGTCATCCGGGAGGGAGAGAAGATGCAGATCAATGCGGAGGAGGTGGTGGTGGGAGACCTGGTGGAGGTGAAGGGTGGGGACAGAGTCCCTGCTGACCTCCGGATCATCTCTTCTCACGGCTGTAAGGTGAGGGAATCACACCACAGCAAGTAGTTGTGCCTAAGAAGCAGGCTGAATAAAGCTTAGAGAAATCCCCACGGAGATTTAAATTAGGAGACCTAGTTCCTAATACCAACCCCTCCCCACACCTCCCAGCTGATCCATCTCTCAGCCTGTGTTATTGTGCATGTCTCCCTGTATCTCTGCATTATGAACGCTCTATGCCCTGGAGGTTTCTTTCACAGTCACTTATAATCATCTCCCAAGTACCAATTATGTGTCAGATTTTTATATATGTTCCCATATGCTATCCAATTTCCCTTGGAAAGAATGGTGTCATCATGTAGAGCTGCTGCATGTGCCCACACAGGTTGTGCCCTGAGCAACCCTGGGAGGTACATTTCCATAGACTACAGTGTTAGTGGCTCCCCCTGGGATTGTGCACTGCAGTGACTGTGATTACATCCCCCATTTTACAGACGAGTAACTGAAGGCAGTTAGTAAAGTAAATAATCCTGAGTCACACAAGAAGTCCATAAGAGCTGGGATTCCAATCCAGAGCAAGGGCACTAGCTGAACAATGCCATAAATATGTGATGAGTGCAAGTGTAATTTTGTCCCTCATGTCACGGAGCCTGAGGGTGGCTGGACCTGGCTCAGGAGACAGCTCTGTGCACTGCAGTGCTGCTGCTGGTCTGACTATTGTGCACGCCTTCCTCCTCAGGTGGATAACTCATCCCTAACAGGGGAGTCGGAGCCCCAGACCCGCTCCCCTGAGTTCACGCATGAGAACCCCCTGGAGACCCGTAATATCTGTTTCTTCTCAACCAACTGCGTGGAAGGTGAGAGGCTCGCCTGCCGGGGGATCTCCTCGTCCTGGTCCAGTGGAGGGAACAGTCTGAGTCCCGACTCTTCGGTCAGGATGGGGGGGCTGTGCTGGCCCCATTTGACAAAACCTCTGCCACAGACGAGGGCATGGAGACATCGGGGACCCTGAATATTACAGAAAGAGTCCTGTCCAGGGAACAAGCAGCACATTGGCAAGAGGCAGCGTGACCCCCTGGGAAAGTCACCTCCCCACAGGAAAAGCTCCATTCTGTCCACCCCAGGGTTCTCAGATATTGGGTGAAGATGCCTCTACATGCACACACACACACACACACACACACACACACACACACACACACACTCACGTACAGATATCCAAGATCAACTTTGATTCTTAAGAGTTTTGAGTTGAACTGATGCCTTCTACTACTGCTTGTGGTCCTAACCGAGTTACCTCCTTTGACCAGAGCTCAGGCTGGAGTAGAGCAGGTGAACATATGGTCTTTCTTTAGGTGGATATGGAGGCCTGAGCCAAACAAAAGCCTGCCCAGGTCACTCCACTTCTGTCCTGGGTTCTGGAGATGAATAATGGTCAGTAAGAACTCACAAAGTCCCCAGCCCATAGAGGCAAAGCCTAAGCACAGATGACCCTGATGCCCTCTGTGGGCCGGCCAGTGAACGGTGTCAGGCTGCCTCAAAGGAGGCAGTGGGGTAGAGGTGGTGTGAGAGAGAGGCCTGTTTAGACCACAAGCCCCCAACAGTGGGGCAAAGGAGTCCTTGGATCCCAACTCCATAGCTTTCTCTTCCCAGCACTCATTTCTCCTCAGCACAGTGTGTTTCTTTGGGACTGTTTTCCTCCTTCAGCAAGTTGGAATTATAATGAAACTCACCACATATTAAATTTCCTAAATTTTTAATGTGCTGAGGTTCTGAAATTTGTACTACATTTCCTATAATTGATTTGTTCAGAAATGCCTGATAAGATATTTCTATTGCTTGTCCTGCAGCGGGCTTTGAAGAGAGGGGAAGAGAGGAAATGAAAGGAACTAACATTTGTTGAGTGCCTACTATGTGCCAGGCACTAGTCTATGTGCATTATAGCATTAATCTCATTGAATTATTAAAACAACCCCTACATAGGAATTCAAACAGGGATTCAAACACAGATTTGGCCGACTCCAATATATATGCTTTCCCTACTACACACTTCCTTTGCCAGAGGACCCTGTAATGGTTACACAAATATTCACAATTGCCTACCTTCTTTCATAGAGATTCATCCCTTACATTGGAAAACAAAATCTTAAGACTACAGTACATAAAAAAATCCAGAAGTGCTTTCTTTGTGTTCACAACATACTTTTGGGTAATATAAAGTATGAGATTGATTTTACTGAAATGCCACAAGCACCTTTTATTTCATTGATTGGATCTCCCCAATTTGAACTTGTAGGCAAGGCTTTTCTCCAGGCAGCCAAATATAAGAAAAAATAATTTTTGTTGTATTGCACCTGGGATTGGTGATCTATGTAAGAGGGTACAATCTACTCAACATGGGCTCTAGGATCTGAATCTTTGGCCCCCTTTGCTCTGTGATATTCTTTGCTCAGATAGGAGGATGAGACTTCAGTCCCTGGTATCCCTAGCACACCCAACCTGATGTCCTTTCCTCTGCTGCAGGCACCGCCAGAGGCATCGTGATTGCCACAGGTGACCGGACTGTGATGGGCCGCATAGCCACTCTCGCCTCAGGCCTAGAGGTTGGGCGGACGCCCATAGCCATGGAGATCGAACACTTCATCCAGCTGATCACAGGGGTGGCTGTGTTCCTGGGGGTCTCCTTCTTCGTGCTGTCCCTCATCTTGGGCTACAGCTGGCTGGAAGCGGTCATCTTCCTCATTGGCATCATCGTGGCCAACGTGCCTGAGGGGCTCCTGGCCACTGTCACTGTGAGTGGGTCAGGCTGAAGTGCCCCCAGGGTAGGATCTTATTACCCTTTCCTTGAAAGGAAAAAGACATAGCTGTTTGTTGTCTTTCAGCAACGGTTTCCTCTGGTTCCCTAAAGTCATATATCAGATGTGTACCATCCTCAGAGATCAGTTAATACACAGCTCAGAGTTGGAGTCTGAAAAACTCTCAGGTCAAGCTATATCTGGGCACTCAGCTTTAATTCTAACGCTTATCATGGTCCCCTTTCTCCACATCTATGTTCTCACACCCCCCACCTCCACCCTCACAGACCAGGGCTTATTCTGGCCAACTCATCTGTCTGTAAAGGCTCTTTCAAAGGTCACCAGTGACTAACTAGCAAATCCAGTGACCTTTTCTCAGCTCCCATCCTTAACTCTGCTGCTGAAATGGATACTTCTGTCCACCTTCCTAGAACTCTGTCCTTCATCAACTACTGTGACGTATCATTCTCCAGCCTCAGCTCTCTGCTCTTCTGTACCCCTAGAATAAGCCCATCTCCTCCCTTCTGTGTAGACAGCTGTGCACCCTCTCCGGAGCTGTAATCAAATATTCCATACCTTGAGAGCATTTAACCTTAATATACACCTATGATGTCAACTGACCATGTCCAAAGTTGAACACATTCACTATTTACTGCTACATCACACCCATTCTGCTTGTGGGGTACAGTGAAGAAAGAATGCAGTCTGGAGATTCCATAGCACACATGCCACAGCAGCACACAGAGCCATCTCTGCAATGCTAAGAGTTTTTTTCCTAAATTAAAACTTCAGTATTCAGATTTAATTGCAGTGTTGGCACTTTGCAATAAATAAGTGGGCACTGGGTTGCAGTTTGGGCACTTGGTCTCTAAAAGGTTCGCTATCACTCATCTAGGGTAAAGCCTAACTACAGTCTAGAGTTAGGACATGGGAATATGCAGCTCTAGGCTCAACTCTTTCTTATTCTCCTCTCTCCCTACCAGGTGTGCCTGACGCTGACAGCCAAGCGCATGGCGAGGAAGAACTGCCTGGTGAAGAACCTGGAGGCGGTGGAGACGCTGGGCTCCACGTCCACCATCTGCTCAGACAAGACGGGCACCCTCACCCAGAACCGCATGACTGTCGCCCACATGTGGTTTGACAACCAGATCCATGAGGCTGACACCACTGAAGATCAGTCTGGTGATTATGTGCTCTGGAGGGAGTGAGTGGGATTTGAGGGAGCCAAGGGGGACTCAGCAAGACTAGGGGTGAGTTAGAGGCCCTAAACAGGCACCAAGCTCCTGTTCTCCCTCATCTTTCCCCAGGGGCCACATTTGACAAACGGTCCCCTACATGGACCGCCCTGTCTCGGATCGCTGGTCTCTGCAACCGAGCCGTCTTCAAGGCTGGGCAGGAGAACATCTCTGTGTCCAAGGTAGGGGTCAGGCAGCACACCCAGGTATACTGGGGGGAGGTCTCCAGAGTCCCCGTGACGCTGATGCCCAGCTCTCCCTCCCACCCCTGAGGCTGCCTGGGGCTTCCGCGCCTCCTCACCTCTTCCTTCACCGCCTTCCCTCCCTCACTGTGACACTGAGTTCTCTTCCCTTCTGGCAGCGGGACACAGCTGGCGACGCCTCTGAATCTGCTCTGCTCAAGTGCATCGAGCTGTCCTGTGGCTCTGTGAGGAAGATGAGGGACAGGAACCCCAAGGTGGCAGAGATTCCTTTCAACTCTACCAACAAGTACCAGGTCTGGTTGGGCTGCTGGGACAGAGGAAGAGAAAGAACAAAAATGGAGCCATGGGAGGTGGGGGAGTAGACAAATCAGAAGAAGTAATGGAAGCCCCTGGGGATCTTGTCCTCTTACTCCTGCTTCAGTCCCAGGACAACTCGTTTGACTTCCTGTTTGGTTACAGTCACCCTGCAACTTATTACACGCACTCTGTGGCCCTCTCAATTCTTCTTCCCATAGCTCCCCACCAACTGGCAGAAGTCCTCCAGCTCTGCCATTCCTTTTAATAGAGGCACACCTCTGTAATTCCCTTATGATATCCCTGGGCCTCTAGGTATCTGTGAAATGCCGAGAATAGCCTTGGCCATGCTCTGTGTGAGCCATGGAGGTAAAGCCCATTGGGCCGTTGTGGGGTGGTGGGTGTGACCACCTGGCGTCTGCACCTGCCTTAACTGATATGGATAACTATTTTCAAATGCATGACTGTCCTATTCTTCAAATGAGTGACTCTCAGGTTGCAACCATGGGACTACAAGCAAACACCCCTCCACACACAGATTCCCCCTTGGTAGACAGTCCCTGGTGGGCTGGGGTTATTTGTTAGGGGAGATGTCTTTAGCAGCTGCTGCTCTGCATCAGACCATGTGATGGGCACTGGAGCCATGGAGGGAAGCATGGCCCCTCTGTCACTGCCTTTCCTCTCTGCAGCTGTCCATCCATGAGCGGGAAGACAGCCCCCAGAGCCATGTGCTGGTGATGAAGGGGGCCCCGGAGCGCATCCTGGACCGATGCTCCACCATTCTGGTACAGGGCAAGGAGATTCCTCTGGACAAAGAGATGCAAGATGCCTTTCAGAACGCCTACATGGAGCTGGGAGGCCTGGGGGAGCGTGTGCTGGGTGAGGTTCGGGAGCGGGAGCAGGGCCACACCTCGGCAGTGTTCCTGCGAGGAGGGGTGCCCACCGTGCTGCTCTAACTCCTGCTTTCTGTCCCCCTACCAAGGGTTCTGCCACCTGAATCTGCCTTCCGGAAAGTTTCCTCGTGGCTTCAAATTCGACACAGATGAACTGAACTTTCCCACAGAGAAGCTCTGTTTTGTGGGGCTCATGTCTATGATTGACCCACCCCGGGCAGCTGTGCCAGATGCTGTGGGCAAGTGCCGAAGTGCGGGCATCAAGGTACTGGCCTCCCTCCTCCCCTCTGTCCTGCCTGCCTGGTACCAAAGGCGAAGGCTTTGCATCATTTGTGGTCCTAGGAGACCCAGGCTCCCAGGGGCTTCCTACCCCTCCACCTACAAAGGAAAAATAGACCCATCCCTGCCTGGGGCTCTCGTCCTCTCCCTGTAGCTCAGGGCGGTCAGTTTCCCATGTCCGACTCAGTCTCCTCGGCACAGCTTATTGTCCCACGTGTGTGTGAGCCTTTCCTTCTGATTTCAAGTACCATCTGGCACCTGACTCAGAGACCTGGCAGTCAGATTCTTCCCAGCTCCTGCCCACTCTCTCTAACCATTTGGGGGGTCAATAGGCTTCTGTCTTCTCCCACTCACTCACCCCATCAGCCCTAGATTGCCCCTCCTTGAGCACAACTCTCTAGGCTCACTGATTCACCCACAGTTGTTTCTTACTGACCACTCCTCGGAGCCAAGTTTGTTCTTCATGCAACGCAGGTTTATTGTTTGCCCACTATGCATCAAGCGCCCAGCAAGGTGCCACTGGCCTTGACAAACCTCCATTCTGCCTTGGAGCTCACTTTCCTGTCCTCAGGACAGCTGTTCGCCAACTGCTTTTTCTGGTAGCCCCTTGTGACGCTGTCACCCGCTCATAATTCAACCTGTGTGGTGAGGGCCAGGTCCTGCGTGCAACACTGGGTGCAAAGATGTACACGACTCAGGGCCTGGCCTCCTTATCCCGTGGCCGCTCATGGGAAACAGATGCTTTTACAGCCCATCACAGAACAACTGCAACACTCTGCATCCTTGGGCACCTACTCTGGGTCAGAGACTCGGAACTCAGGCAATTTTTTGGAAACTTTTCCATAAACCAGACATTATGCTAAGCACTAAATCTCTGTCATCTTATTTAATCTCCTCCACCACCCTCTGGGTGAGCAGTAGTATTTTTCCTTTTTTCCCCACAGAGAGAGATACTGAGGCACAAAGTATCATGCCCAAGCCCTCACAACTAGTAAGTCACAGAGCCAGGATTCAAAGCCAGCCAGGCAACCCGTCCTTACCCACTGCACCAGAGGACTTGGTTCCATGTGAACTCTGAACCCTACACCCACTCAGTCTCTGAAATACGCATCATTACTCCCATCTGGAATGAAAACTCAGAGCCAGTAGCTAGCTTTCCCCAGATAGAACTGCTGGGAGGGAGATGCTGGGAAGGCAGAGAATGGTTGGCTCGTCCAGGTGCCCGTGCTTCTGCTGGGCCATGGCCTCTCACCATGATGGGCGCTCTCACAGAGGCCAAGCAAGGAATCTATTGGACTTGGAAGCCTGGAGCAGTTAATTCTGCTGTGGGGAACTGGACAGTGCTTGACGGAGGGAATGATATTTGATCCGGGCCTTAAAGGCTGAAGAGTATTCTGTAGGTCAGTAAGAGAGGGGGAGGCAGGCAAGACCAGGGAACAGCGCGTACCCTGACGAGGCCACATTGTGAGAGGGCATGTGAGTCAGCGGGGGAGAGATGGACAGGAATGCCGGGGACAGAGCCTGAAATGTTGGGTCAAGGCCAGTTGGAAAGACGTTGCTTAAATGCTACATTTGCCAGGGCTTTTATTCCATGGGCCACAGAGGGCCGTAGACATCACAGGTCTAGCTTTAAGGTGACCTGGATGGAGAAGGAACTGGACTTGGGCAAAAGCTAAAGCCAGGGAGGCAGGTTAAGAGGCTATACAATAGTTCAGATAAGGGATGGTGACCTGAACTAGGACAGAGACATGGAAAGAAATAGCTGCACGTGGAAATGTTTTCAGAATTTGTTTGCCAATTGGACATGGGAGGCAAGGAAGATAAGGGAGCGAAAGGGACAGAATGAGCAAAAAAATTGTATGTAAAGCAGGGAGTAGAGCAGCAGACGTGGTGGAATGGCAGAAGCAGAATAACGACTCTAATTTAGACCTTAAGTTTGAAGCATCTGTAACAGCGGTCCCCAACCTCTTTGGCACTGGGGACCGGGTTTATGAAAGACAGTTTTTCCATGGACCAGGGGATGAGGGGTGCGAAGGTGGTGGTGGATTCAGGATGACTCAAAGGAGCCTGAAACCCAGATCTTCCAAGTGCACAGTTCACAGGAGGGTTCCACCCTGTGAGAATCTATCGCTGCTGCCGATCTGAGAGGAGGCAGAGCTCAGGCGGTAATGCCAGTGATGGGGAGAGGCTGTGCATACAGATGCAGCTTCACTAGATCACCCACCGATCACCTCCCTGCTGTGTAGCCTGCTTCCTAATAGGCCATGAACTGGTACTGGTCCACAGCCTAAGGGGTGGGGACCCCTTGTCTATAAGAAACCCAGAGGGTGATTCCAGGGAAAGCCAGAATACGATTCAGACCTCAATAGAGAGGGTAAATCCTGCAGGTTTAAATCTCATTAGCACACAGGTGCAAATTAAAGGCTTGCTGATACCTTTTATTATATTGCCAAGGAAGAGAACTGAGTCAGAAGGAGGGCGGAGAGTGAAACCCTGGGGCAGACCAAGTGGAGAGAGAGGAATACAGCAACCAGTGAGGAGAGGAGAGGGAGGTGGGATAGAGCTGAGGTTTGCTGGGCATCTGCTGAATGTCTCTTAATCTCCATGATGACTTGGAAAGGTCGGAGTCATCCCTCGCATTGTGCCAGACATGGTATGCCAACTTGTCCAAGGTCCTATAGCTGGAAAAGGCCAATGTTTAGACTTAGGTCCCCTGTCCAGCTCTTCCGCTCTACCAGGCTGCCACCCCGAGGAGGCTGGGAGGAGTGTGTGGAAGGTGGAGGGAAGCCAAGCAGGAAGCATGCACGCAGGCCAAGGGAGCGCAGGGTTTCCAGGGGGTGCCCGCCAGCATGAACGCCTTGGGTGGAAGGTTCACAGAGGACAGGGATGGCAGAGATGCTTCTGTATTTCATTTGGGAGGCCTGTAGTGTTGTGGGAGTGGGAGAGGAGAAGGCTGTGGGACCTGAAGAAACTTCCTCTCAGGATGGTAGGTTTCTCCCTGAAAACTATGTGTGCAGATGCCATCCTACCCCAACTTTGCTCAATTTACACGAATAGCCTCAACTGGCCTGTCTGCTGCCAGCCACTCGCCCTACCCCACTCCATCCATTCTGCAGCAACTATGAACATTACCAGGACCAAGGCAGGAATTATCTTTCCCTAACACCATAGACGACTGTCCAAGGCAGTCAGGGCAGTGGCAGGGAGCTACCTCGGTCTTAGCCCCACTTGCATCTAGTTACATGGATATAGTGATCATATTAGACACCAAGAAAGCCATGTCCTAGCACTGGGTCCCTGGGACCTTGAGTAAATCCGAGGTCCTCATGAAGCCTCGGTTTTCTCATCTGTATAATGAGGAATCCATTAAATGAAGTATCCTTCCAGCTCTGGCTGCTTCATCTTCCAGGAAACCCAAACTCCTGAAACATCTCCTAAACAATCCTGAGTGGAGATTGCCCCCCCCAAGGGGCCCCCATTAGCTTGTCACTCTGTTGCAGGTGTTTCTCTTCATTTAAGCAAACACAACACAACACAACTTGTCACCATCTCTCTCCCTTACCCAACCACACGCACATGCACACACACAAGCAATGCACACATGCACTCCATTATTGGGCTGGGATTTCCCAGCCCAAGACATCTAGTTATCTACCTTTACCTGATCTGGGAAAAGGAGTAGGAGGGGAAAAACTCTCAGTGGTGCTTTCCTTTTCTCTGTTCACCTTCTCACCAGGTAATCATGGTGACCGGAGACCACCCCATCACCGCCAAGGCCATCGCCAAAGGTGTGGGCATCATATCAGAGGGTAATGAGACGGTGGAGGACATCGCAGCCCGGCTCAACATTCCTGTGAGCCAAGTCAACCCCAGGTGAGGCCTTTGCAGGAGCCCTCTCCACCTGATCAGCACACCGCTGAGGTGTTTGGGCAGCATCTCTGGCCTTTAGCCTGTGGCCTTACCTCTGACCGCTTTGGGCCTGATTCCTCAGTCCTGAGGGTGTGTCTCAGCGGCACCACTGATGCTCTGGGTAATGCTGGAGGTGTCACTGTACCCTCCTGAACTTTCATGTTCACAACTACACAGTTAAGGTGACCTAGCAAGCTACTTATGCCCCTGGGTGCTTCTTGGCGAGGATTAATGTCACCTGTGCTGAAAGAAGTGGGAAAACTGAGCATCAAGGGAGAGGAGCCAGGAAGCAGTGGGGGGTCTCTACTTAGCAAGGGGGCTACAGGAGCCAGGAAGCAGCGGGACAGGCCCAGGCCCAGGCAATCAGCCCCGCTGCCCATCTTCCAGAGAAGCCAAGGCCTGTGTGGTGCACGGCTCAGACCTGAAGGACATGACGCCCGAGCAGCTGGACGAGATCCTCAGGGACCACACGGAGATTGTGTTTGCCCGGACCTCCCCGCAGCAGAAGCTCATCATCGTAGAAGGCTGTCAGAGGCAGGTGAGCATGGCAGCGGATGACAGGGGCGGGCAAAGCCGGAAGCCAGATGGCCTGTCCTGGAGCTCTGGAGGTGTCTTCTCCCCAGGGAGCCATTGTGGCAGTGACGGGGGACGGGGTGAACGACTCCCCTGCGCTGAAGAAGGCCGACATCGGCATTGCCATGGGCATCTCCGGCTCTGACGTCTCTAAGCAGGCAGCAGACATGATCCTGCTGGACGACAACTTTGCCTCCATTGTCACAGGCGTGGAGGAGGGTGAGGAAGCTGCATGGGCCTGGATGGTGGGTGCCCAGGGTGTGAGAAGCCAGCACGCTGCTTCCCAGACCTTTCACCCCCATGTGGGAGTCCAGTCAGGACTCCAGGCAGCCCCAGCCTTGCCTTAGCTCCCCTCGGGCACAACCCTCCTCCTGCAGGAAACCAGGCAGCCTTGGCTGCAGGCTAGGTGTAGGGGAGGGTCCCTGTAGCCCCCTGCTGTCACCCCCACAGGCCGCTTGATCTTTGACAACCTGAAGAAGTCCATCGCGTACACCCTGACCAGCAACATCCCCGAGATCACCCCCTTCCTGCTGTTCATCATCGCCAACATCCCCCTCCCGCTGGGCACTGTGACCATCCTCTGCATTGACCTGGGCACAGATATGGTGAGGCCACAGGGGCAGGGCGGGCCAGGCAGCCACGGAGACCACTGGGTAGGGTGGGCCACTGGTGAAGGACAGGTCACCTGGACAGCTGACCAAGCCATGACAGTTGAAGAGAAGATGAACAAGGCCTGGAAGATCATGGAATTGTATTGAAGATTCTTTATGAGCCTGGTGTGGTAGCACATGCCCGTAATCCCAGCACTCAGGAGGCTGAGGCAGGAGGATGGAAAACTTGAGCCCAGCCTGGGCAGCTTAACAATATCAAAAGGCCCTGCCTCAAAATAAAAATTAGAAAGGGCCAGTCATAGTGGTGCATGCCTGTAATCTCAGCACTTGGGAGGCTGAGGCAGGAGGATTGCCTTGAGTTCAAGGTCAACCTGGGCTACATAGTTTAAAGCCAGCTGAATTGCATACTGAGACCCTGTCTCCAAAAATAAAAACAAGATTAAAGGTCTGGGATGTAGTTTGACATTAAAGTCCTGGGTTCAACTCCGATTACAAAAACAAAAACAAATCTACACTGCTAATCAGCTACTGTCCCGTCTTCTCCCAATTCCTGGAATGCCTGCCCCTCCCCCATGTCCTGCCACACAGGTCCCTGCCATCTCCTTGGCCTATGAAGCAGCTGAGAGTGACATTATGAAGCGGCAGCCACGAAACTCCCAGACAGACAAGCTTGTGAACGAGCGGCTGATCAGCATGGCCTACGGACAGATCGGTGCGCTGGCTGGGGCTGGGGCTGGGGGGCGGGCACCAGGGCATCTTTCCCTAGGGTTCTAGAGGGAGGAGCACTAAGTGAAGCTCCAGCACAGGGGTCAGCTCCCTGAGAGTCAGAAACTTCCATGTCCGGGTGTCAGTCGCTGGCCCCTTCCTGCTCTTCCTCTGACCCCGCCCTGCCGTTTGCCCACTCCTCACAGGGATGATCCAGGCGCTGGGAGGCTTCTTCACGTACTTTGTGATCCTGGCAGAGAATGGTTTTCTGCCATCAAGGCTGCTGGGAATCCGGCTCGACTGGGACGACCGAACCATGAACGACCTGGAGGACAGCTATGGACAGGAGTGGGTGAGTGGGCGGGGCATGCACGTGCATGGAGAGGGGGCAGCCAGGGCTGGGGTGGAGGGTGCTGGACTCCCCTGCTCTGACACTCGCTATTCTCTGCCCACCCTCCCTAGACTTACGAGCAGCGGAAGGTGGTGGAGTTCACGTGCCACACCGCCTTCTTCGCCAGCATCGTGGTGGTGCAGTGGGCTGACCTCATCATCTGCAAGACCCGCCGCAACTCAGTCTTCCAGCAGGGCATGAAGTGAGCACCCACCCCTACCAGCACCCACCCGCCCAGGCAGGGTGCTCTGGGCATAGTCGCCAACCCACACAGGCTGGAGGTGTGTCAGGTCAGGTCACCTCAACGCCCTGGCCCAGGTCTGCAGAGGGGGTGTTGGATATTACTCAGCAGGGTGTTTATCCACAGCCAGGCTTGAACAAAAATGAGGAAGGAATGATAGGACTATTTCTAATGAGTCCTGATTTTACCTCCAAATTGTACTTCATAATCTCCTTCCTTCCTTTACGTCTTCTCTCCACATTTCCTTTCTTCCCTCCTTTCTTCTTTCTTTCCCTGGCTCCTTGTTCCCTCCCTTCCTTCCTCCCTTTTTTCTCTTACTCAAATGCCACCCACCCCATCCTCTGTCCAGCCGAGTCCAGACTCTCCTGCGCTCCCCAGCCCTACTCAGCAGGTAGCCTGGTGCACAGCTTCGCCCTGCAGCGCTGGCGTCCACCTGAGGGCTGTGAGCTGCTCAGGCTCAGATTCAGGCTCCTTAGAGTGTGTTCCCATGCATTAGTCACCACTGCAGTAAGTCCTGCCCCTACCCTTCAGCCTCGCGATAGCTCAGCAAAGCGGATGTTACTGTTTACACTGCCTCACCATAGGTCTCAAAAAGGTTAAATGACACGGTGCCTAATGTCACCCAGCCGGGGAGGATCCAGCAGGGCTGTGCCCGAGGTACACCCTCCACTGTGCTGGTTCAGCAGTCACAGAGCCTGGCACCCGTTAAGAATGCAATCGTTTGTGGTTCTAGCATGGATGGAGCTTGAGGCCAAAGATGTCAGGCCGGTTCTCTTCATTTTCTCCTCCTGTAAACCGTGGTCACAGTTCCTCAAGTGAGTTTTGCCTCAGAGAGTCTAAGAACTTGGCTGCAGTCCTGGGGCCTGGGACTCATGGTGGGTGACACCGGAAGGTGAAAACACGACAAACTGACCAGGGTCAGCCCACCAGACAGACAAACGGAAAGTAATACCATGGAGTCCAACAGAGTAGAGGGAAGGGGTAGAAACAGCAGAGGCAGCCCTAGGGCACCTCGGCCTCCCCGCAGGTCCCCGGCCCCATGGGGTTCTCAGAGATGCTCTCTGCATTATTTCAAAGCGCTTGTTGAACACTCATGTATGAGAAGGGGGCTTGCTAACAGGATGTTCTTAGGCAAAAGCCAAGAAAACATATCCCAAAATAGTGACTACATGTCAACCCACAGCTCTGTTTAGAAGCCATGGATATAAAAACTAAATTTTAAAAGGGGAAATGCCTGGGCCTGATGGTACACACCTGTAATCTCAGCACACAGGAGGCTGAGGCAAGAAGATTACCATGAGTTTGAGGCCAGCCTGGACTACATAGTGAGATTCTGTCTCAAAAACCAAAACACACATACACACATACATACATACATGCATAAAATAAGGGGAAATGTATTCATTACTTATTAACAAATGTGACTTGAGAGACAGAACCAATTAGAATGTGGCCTTTATGAAAGAAAAGCAAGAGGGCCCTTAGTGGGTGAAAAGTTGGGGAACCACTGATCTAAGCCATAAAACAGTGCCCCACACAAGACCGCAGGCATCCAATAGCAATATCACTGAGCAGTTCCTGTGTTCCAGAGCTTTCCTGCAATAGTTGCCATAATTTACCCAGCAACTCCATGATATAAGGGTAAAATCTCTATTTTACAGAAAAAGACACAAAGCTCAGAGCAATTAAACAGTGTTTACCACCCAAAGCCAGGAAATGGCAGAGCTGGGAACAGACCCTGCTTGTCTGACTCCAGAATCTGCCCCGGCTTATCCTCCCTTTTGGTTTCTAACGTAGTGGCTTGGCATGTTCTCCCCACCTACCACCTGCAGCAGCACCCACAGGCTAAGGATTCGTAAACCTCCTGTTCTTCAAGTCTGTGTTGAACAACCACCAGGGCCTATGGGAGATGTTAAAAAAGTGTGAGACAGGCCTGGGCTCCACTTAGCAAGACCTAGTGTTGAAAGAAAGAGAAAGAGAGAGAGAGGAAGAAAGAAAGAAAGAAAAAAAGAAAGCAAGAAAGAAAAAGAGAGAAAAAAAGAAGGGAAGGAAGGAAGGAAGGAAGGGAGGGAGGGATTGGGGATGTACCTCAGTGCAAAGGCCCTGGATTCAATCCTCAGATAAGCAAAAAAAAAAAAAGCATCTTCCTAGGGAGACAACACCTTCCCAGGCCATGCTCCCAGAGCAATAAAAAGATTATAAGCTGCCTAAGGGCAAGCCCCATGTTGACCATTGCATCTCCAACACAGAACACATCACTCCACAGACTTATTCAATGAATGAATTATGTTCAATAGAGAACAATCAGTGATAAACTCAGTAAGCAGAAAAGAAAAAAAGCAGCATCTTCCTTTGGTTTCACAAAGCATGAGAAGAGCATGTTTGAGGAGGGAGGACACGGGAAGACGTCGCGTGTAATCTTCCTTCATGTGCCTTCTCTACCCTCGGTGCTCCCACGGGTGTCCCTGCTGCTACCTACCCTCCTTTGTTTGTCTTTCCAGGAACAAGATCCTGATTTTTGGGCTCCTGGAGGAGACGGCGCTGGCTGCCTTTCTGTCTTACTGCCCCGGCATGGGGGTGGCGCTCCGCATGTACCCGCTCAAGTGAGTGTCTCTGTAGGCGGCCCCAGTGAGTGGCAGAGAGGCGCCTTGAGCCCCCTGTAGGATCCAGGTCTGAGCCATTTGAACCCTACTTGGTGTGGGTTACACTATGCCAACCTCTCATGCTCCTGATTCCTCTGTTGCTCTCAGGGTCACTTGGTGGTTCTGTGCCTTCCCCTACAGTCTCCTCATCTTCATCTATGATGAGGTCCGAAAGCTCATCCTGCGGCGATATCCTGGGGGTAAGCACCTGCCAGCCCACCAACCGTCCGGCAAAGCCCGGCCCCCCGCAGCCCGCTGCTCCTGCAGGCTCCTCCCCACACTCCACCCACTAGGCGTCGCTGCTCCTGCAGCTCGGAGCCCTCGGATCCTGGAATCCCATGTCCCAGGAGCCCCTCTCTCCGGAACCTGCCACCCTGCCCTCTTCCTCTCAGGTTCTACATCCCACCTAACTTACCCGGGGTCTCCAAAGCCCCAGGCCGGCCGCAGTCACTGAACATCAGAATTAGGCCCTTTGAGGTCATCCAGTCTTCTCCATATTTTATGGATAAGGCGAGGAGAAACACAGGTGAATTTATTTGTTCCGGGTCTTAAATCAAGGGGTAGCAGAGCTGGCCCTAGAGCCCAAGCCTCTTGATTCCCAGGGATCAATCAACAAGGTTTTTTTGGTTTTGTTTTGTTTTTTTCCCAACAAGCATTTTTTTCTTATCACTTATTGGGTTAAAGCTGGCCAAACCAAACGTGGCCTGCGGGTAGTGTTTCATTTAGTACGGCCAAAATCTGTGTGTGTGTGTGTGTGTGTGTGTGTGTGTGTGTGTGTGTGCGCGCGTGCGCGCGCATGGTATCTTTTAACTGGCCTGATTTCTAAAACTTGGCGCTTTTCACATACAACCTGAATTTCTGACTTCTGAAAAATCAAGACAGATGTTAAAGCCCAAGGCTACATTTCTTCACCACACCTGGGGGCAGCTGTCTTCTTAGACAGCTCCCTTCCCCCTCCCCTCCCTCACCCTTCCGTCCCTCCCTTCCCTTCCCCCCCATCCCTTCCCTTCCTCTCCCCTCCCCTCTCCTTCCCTTCCCCTCCAGCAGCTCCCCAGCAGGCCCCTCCCTCCTTCCACCTGGCCTCAGCCACTGCAGTACCTGAGAGACTGATCTCATGCTTCCTTTGCAGCTCATGCTTCACTCCTCTCCCCAATCTCTCTAACAGGCTGGGTGGAGAAGGAGACATACTACTGAGCCCCTGGAAGAAGGACCAGGCACGGGAGAGATGGGGTGCTCTGGAGGTGTTGCCGGGATGGTGATAGGGAGGGATGGAAAAAGATTTGGGGAGAAAGAATGAGGAGGCTAAGATGGCAGGAGTAGGTAAGTAGGCTCCCAGGGTTTGGTCCATAGCTGTGACTGTGAATATCCACGCTAGACCTGCATCCTTTTCCATCCCACTCCACTATGTTGTCTATTTTTCCAAGGAACTGAGGATTGCCCCAGCCCTCCACATGCCATCTGCCTTCACCCCCACCTCCTATTGAAACCAATCAACATCCAAAGGCTGGGACCTGTCTAATCCAGAGAAGTAAATTCTCAGATCACCAGGGGTCCCGTCATGTCTCCTCTTTCTGCTTACACCCCTCCTTAGCTTCCTGCTGGTTCTGTCCCCTCTGCTTCCCCTCAGACCTTGAAGTCTGAAGTCACAGAGGCACTTCCCTGAGTGCAAGCTGAGACCAGAATGGAAAGCTGGCTGGAGAGGCCAAGGCTGTCTGGCAGTCAAGGCTTGTCAGGGACCTGGAGGGGAGAGATGGGTGAGAGGTGGGGGTGCTGGCTGGAAGAGGGGGACAGCAAATGAGGAGGAGCAGAAAATGGTGCCGATGACCAGAGAGATGCTGGAAAAGTCTTGAGGCTTCAGGTAGATGGGATGGGCTCCAGCTCCATGTCCTACCTTTTTTGATATCCCACTGGTAGAGCAAACTCACATCCTGTCAGAGGAGCAGCAGAGACAGGACCAGGAGGCAATCGGGGCAGCTGCACAGAACCACAACGAGTGCCTCTTAGTGCCACACAGGCCCTTGGCTAGCAGTCTTCTTGGTCCATGGGGCTGGATGTCACAGAAGCTCCAGCTGTCTCAGCCAGCTTGAAAACTATGCTAGGTCCTTGGGCACTCCATGCTGTTCTGAGGCCACATATAGCTGCTAGTTCTCTCCCAGAACCCCTCCCCCAACCCCTTCCCCTTTATGCCCATGACAATGAACCTGAGTCATTCCTGGCACTGCCAAGACAACCCTACAAAAGGAATTCCCTGGCTACTGGCTAGAGTTGGGGTGGAGAAGTTCCCAGAACATTCCTGTCTTCTAGGGACATGCAAAATCAGCTTAGGTCATGACATGTCAGACCCTTTGGATAAGAAGAGGGAAAATATTAAAGACCTGCCTTTGACCTCTCAGGTGGCAGGGCCACTCCAGCCAGGCAAGGGCCCTTCACACTGAGGAGCGTAGAGCCCACTCTTTCAGACAAGGAGTCGGTTTCAGGTTCCTCTGGCAGATACCTTTCTTTGCCTTCTTCCCTCCCCACCTCTCACCTTTGCTCTTCAGGCAGCTCTGCCCATTCTCAGCCCGGCTTAGAAGGCACTGAGACTGTCCTGCACAGCGAGACCTAGACAAGCCAAGCTAGCAAGAGACCCTAAGGAAAATGCGAAGCCTAAGGCAGAAAGGAGGGAAGCCCAAGAGATATACACTAGGTCAGGCCCAGCAACATCGTCCCAGTGGCTATTATTTCGTTGCACTGGAATTTTGCTACATCAGAAGTACCTTGAAATAAGTGAGTCATTGCATTGCCTTGGGTTGGAAAACTAAATGTGGTACCATATTTATTTGGGTCGGATTAATTTGTGATTATTGACTGTAGAAAAATGTTTATCTTCACACAATCAATAAAAACAGCCTTGGTTTTGAAAATTAAGAACATAAGCAATATTGCTAGAGGTGGCATATTTAGCCTACATAAAACCGTACTTTTCAGGCACTTTAGGAATATCCATTTAGAAGTAGCAAATGCATGGGCTAATTAACATCAATCTTGACATATTTGTTAAAGAAGGATCTTTACTGGTGACCTTTTGTAAGACATTAGTTTGACGCACTACATGTGTACTTGAGAATAATAAAGTTGCATTTCTTTATGAAAAAAGACATTCTTCCGTAATTCATTTCTGTAATTCATCCTTGCCTCCCTCCCAAACTGTGATATTGAAGTAGGCAGGACTTGGCTCATAGAGAGAGTAACAAAGAGACCACAAGTGTCAGAGATAGGAAGGAAATGATCTGGAGCAGATGGTGCTGGTGGAGAAAACTAAAGGAGAAGTTAAGTTGCAAAATAACCTAGAAAAAAATAGAGCAGGAGCCACCTTTTTCTTGGCCAGTCCTACCCCAAGAAGCACAAAGATGTGTCCAAGACAGCAAAGAGCCTGTGAGTCTATGAGAAACCACTTCCGTTTTTTCTGTTCCCAACCAAACTCAGGGCACTCTCAACCTGACAGAGTGGGGAAAGAGGTAGTGGATGGAGGAGTCTGACAGCCCCGATTAACAGTCCGTACTGTATGCAAAGCCCTGTTCCACGCATCCCCTTTAAGGGGTGAGGGTATAGTGGAAGCAGCCTTGAAACTCACCTGAGTAGTAAATGTTGGTAACCTTCCTGTGCAGGATGTGATGGGCAGTGGGGAGGGACACTTGGGTACTGCTGAGGGAGGGGTAGATAGCAGGGTCCCCAGGAGAATGAGAGACAGGGAGATGACAGTTCTCACCGTAACTTTGAGATCCTACACATGCATCTCAGAAAAACAGAAGTTATTTCTTGCAAGAGCAGCATTTTGGCCCCTTTAGCATAACTCTACCAGGGGTGGTGATGGTTATTGTCACTGTAGTGACTGTAAAATGTCCAACTTTTATTTATAAAAGTTTGAATAAAGGAAACTGATTAGAATTCCCTTTTTTTTTTTTTTTTAAGAGTAAGAGAAGGATAACAATAATGGGGGGGGCTTACCAAATTACAGACAAAGTGGTAGGAAATTATCAATGGTTATTGTTTTACATATTGTTATCTACAAGACAGTTTCTCAGGAAAACAAATACACAAATAATAATGAGTTACAGACAAAAGAGGTAGGAGATTATCAATAGTTGTTGTACTATACTTTGGTATCTTTGAAAGAAAATAAATAGAACTATACATGAGCGACCTATTGAATAATCATTAACTATTCTCAATGGTTGTTGTAGGAAACACATAATAATAAACATGCATCCATTTATGAAATAGGATAGGAACAATACAAACATTACAGAGTTATGGATAGATTAGTAGGAAAATATCAATGACTGCTGTAATACATGTTGGTGTCTTAGAAGTGGTTTCTCAGGAAGACAGAGATACGCAAGAAGGATCTAACAAGTAGTTACAGCCTAAAGGTTGTCAAAAATCAAGTGAGCCGTCTGGGGCGAAAGCTATTTTTTGTAGTGTTTTTTCTCCAGCCTCCCATCCCATTGGGACCCTACAACCAGCTAGTGTCCTCTCCCCAACTGTCAGCACAGGCAGCAGGAATCCTGTTGCAGACTTCTCCGGGGCTCCACCACAGCCTGTACTGTCAGGGGAAGAATGGCTTCCAGGGAGTCTCTGCATGTATTGTGCAAGGTCCTCCTGGTTTACAGATTCTGAGCGGCTCTCATGACCCCAGTCCACAGGACCTCTGACCCCTCGGGCTTAGTCTGCATTCTCATGTTCTCCGAGTCCTTGTTCAGCAGCTGCTCCTCTGCTGACTCTAGACCTTTCTTGTTCTCAATGGCAGGAGCAAGAGTGGCCCGTTGTATACCATGTATTCCCAGGGGTTTTTTCCATGTTTGAATGATTCACACACGTCCTTAGGTGGGCATCTGCAGCTGGTGCATGGTGGGCCAATTGTGTCATTGTTTCTCTGTGTCATGATAGTTCTCAATTGAGCAGTGGCGGCCAGCCTGAAGGCCGGCGCACCATAGCGCTCTCAGCCGCATGGCTCCCCTTGCGCCTGGGGCCCTCCCTCCGGGGGCCTACGAGGCAGGAAGTGAGCCAGCCAGAAGACAGGTGCTCCCCGCCCGTGGCTCCCCGTGTGTCGGAGGCCCTCCCTCCGGTGGCCTACGAGGCAGGGAGCAAGCTGCTGGTCGGAAGACCTAGAATTCCCTTTCATCTCACCTCAGGGTCTCTGTTCTTGATGACTTCTCTGCCTAAGACACTGTTCCTTCCTATACCTGGCGTCCTCACTTCAATCCAATCACTCTTTGACATTACTTCCTTCTCCATTTTTGGAGGAGGTTATTGAAATATAATCTAGAAAAAAATAAAGCAGGAGCCACCTTTTACTTGGCCAGTCCTACCCTAAGAATCACAAAGATATGTCCAAGACAGCAAAGAGCCTGTGAGTCTATGAGAAGCCATTTCTGCTTTTTCATGGCATTTTGCATGCCACCTCCTTCTCCATTCTCTTGGTTTTAATTCACAAATACGACTTCAAGTTTAGACAGTTAATAGATATATACATGCAGAGCTGAGGGGGTAGCTCAGTGGTAGGGCACTTGCCTGGCATATGTGAGGCCCTGGGCTTGCTCCATAGCACTACAAAAATGTTTTGTTTTCTCATTTATTTGTTTATTTATGCTTTCATTTGTTTGTACGACTCCTCAAGAATCAGTTGCGTGAAGACAGAGCTTCTACTTTTCTGTTTATTCGCCACCTTTACCCTTAAACATCTAAAACAATCTGACACACACTAGGCAATGAACAAATATTTGGTCAATAACTGAAGAAATTCTCATGACAGTCCAGTCAGATGGAGACTATTATTATGTCACATTTATACCTGAGAATACAGAGACACAGAAAGGTTATGTTTGAGAGTCTCAAAGGAAGAAAGCATGAGAAGTGAGATTCAGAGCTGGGCCAGCCTGGCTCCAGGACGAGATTGAATCACCATGCCATACTCCGGAGACCCTGAACAGCCTAACGGTGCAGAGGCTGTGACAGGAGCCCGGAGTTTGCAGATAGCGACCATTTGGGCAGTAGGTCCTGGGGAGACCCAGAGAAAGGGAGAAGATCTGATCTTAGAGATGCAGTAGGGGAGTGAGAAAAAAAGATGCAAAGAAACTCAACTAGACTATCTTAGCAAGGAGATGAAAGAGTCCTGCTATTGGCTGTAGTGTTCAAAGGTAAGGTGAATCCCTGACCCAGAGAGAAATAGCTTCCAGGGCATTTCCTTTTTATCTACAGGCTAGCGAATATGAGAATTCATCAGAAACAGGTGACAAGCTGAAGAGTCAAAATGCTAAGCACACAGGAAAAAATAAGAAGAATATGATTATATCAACATCAAAGACAGACATTTAATACAAGACAGGTCTTTCAAAAACATCCCTGAGGGCTGAGGATGTAGCTGCACGGTAGAACTTAGAAGGTCTGAGGTCCTGAGTTTGATCCCCAGTACCGCCAACAACAACACAATATTGGTCCCAGTGAATTCAATGAAGATTCTGCCCTGAATTCTTCAAAGAATATGTATGCATGATTTCATTAGCACTAGAATATAGAAAAGAATGTTGTGTTGCTCAGCTCATTTTTTTATATTAGATTTTTGGGGTACATTTTAGATATACATAGTGATCACATTTATCATAGAGAACTTGTACTGGTACATGATACAACATGGTTTTTTTCCCTCATTCCCCTCCCCTCCCTTCAACCCTTCTTTCCTCCCCATTTACAAAGCTTTGTTTCCATGTTTTCCTTCTTTTCTCATTTTTTTTAACTTTTCCCTTCCTTCATTCCCCCTTTTCTCTCTCTTGTTTCCCTGCCCACTTGAACATTTTCCTTCTATTTCAAAATAGATTTTGGTCCTTGTTTACACTTTTGGTTTTTCACACCAGAGAAGCAATGCAGTATTCACCCAGGTGTGTCCAATTCATTTTACTTAAGACTATGGACTCAAGGTGCATCCATTTGTGGCAGAGTAGTACTCCATGGTATAAAAAAACTCACATCTTCTTTATCCATTCACCGGTTGACGGGCACTTGGATTATTTCCAGGATTTTTGCCCATCTTATGAGACAAGTAGCATTTTGATAAAATTTCATAATACATATAATAACTTGACTACCACCAAACAGTGGCATGCAGGAATAATCCATTACAAGGAAAACATTACTAACAACTGGCATTTACAAGAAAAATCATTAACCATTTCCAGTGATATGGAGAAGGCTATCAGTGAGACCCAACATCTATTCCTGATTCAGACACTGGAAAGGAAGAGCATACTGCAAAGTGTAATTGTGTTCAGAGAAGAAAGGGATGCAGTCTAGAAAACTAATAATATCAGCAACTACAACAAAAACAGTAGCAACAGCATTTGAGATCTCAGATAAGGAGTTAACATTTAAGAGACAAGCTGCAATCCATAAAAGCATCGTTTTTTTGTAAAGGACAGGACTACTAACAAAATCTAAGGCATCCAACCCCCCTAAAAAATTCACAGCAACCAAGAAAACCTGGAAGCATTAAATTCAAAGTCAGGGTATACAAACAGATCAATTTTTAAATAATTAATATTTACTGGAGAGGAAATACAACATAAAGGGGTTCTGTTTACAACAAAACCATAATAAATTACCCTCAGGATACAGGGTGTGCAGCATAGGGTATTTATTAGAGAAAGTTCAAAAGCAGAATGAGAGAAATAAAAATGTGAATACATGAAGAGCTAAACTAGACTACTGTTTGGGAAGATAGAATATAGTAAAGATAAAAATAAGTTCCATAAGAGTCAATTCTACCAACAGAGTGTTATGGTTTGTGTCTAGATGTCCTCCCAAAGCCTCATGCAGTCATGGGGCGGGCTTCTGGAGTTTATGATTGACTCATGCTCCAATGGGATTATGGGTGTGAGTACTGAAATAATGAACCTGAGTGCTACACCCACCCTGCATTGGGTGTACGAGGGTGGGTACCCTACATACAATATAAGAGAGGGAAAGAGACTTGCTTGCTACTACTCCTCCCTTTTGCTCTTGTTGCTTTTGCTGTCTTCCACTGCCATGAACTATTGCCCTCTGCCATGTGCCACCCTGCCTTGGAGCCAGTCAAGGATGGACTGAAATCTCCACAACTGTGAGCTAAATAAACCTTTTGTGTCCAACACCCAAAGATGTGGGGTTTTTTATACAATGCAGTACTACTCTGCCATAAATAAGGACAAACTTGAGACATTTCTAGGTAAATGGATGTACACTGAGGAATAAATCAGACACACATGTGTAAAGATCTCATTGTCTCCCTGGTGTGAGAAACTCAAAGAGTATGTAAGGATCCAAATATACAATAGGTATTGCAAAATAGGAAAAAATTGTTCAGAAGGAAAGAGGAACTAGGGAGGGGGAAGAGGTAAAGGAAGGAAGGGAAAAATGATTAAAAGAAAGATAAAATGGAAACAAAGCTTTGTAAATAAGGAAGAGAAGAGGGGTTAAAGCGAATGGGAAAAGAGGAATCAAAATATATCATCTACAGGTACAAATTCCCTATGATGAATATCATCTTTATCTATATCTAAATTGTACCAATAAACTTAATTTAAAAAATAAACAAAAAGCATTTGTGAAACTTAAAAAAGAGAATGATAGAATATCCTCCCGAGTGCTGGGATGACAGGCATGCACCACCACACCCAGCCATACAATATCCAAAAGTAATAAAAAAGAAAACTGCTAAAAAAAAAAAAGTCAATTCAATATCAATTGAAATCTCACTATATTTTTTCATAAAACACAACAATTAGTTGTAACATTGTACTGCCAGAGTAATTAGGCAAGAATCTGCACTTTAAAAATACGTAATTATGAAATAAATGGACAGCTGTGATGGTACCATATTGACCCCAACAGATTTTAAACCACATCAGACCAAAGTGACTTGATTATCAGAATCTTATAATGTCAAGATGAAATCTGAAAACTCATTATTCATTGAACATGGAATCAGGAACAACTTGCAGATCAGCCCGCGGCAGGCACTATTCCAGGCGCTGGGTATTTAGACATGACCAGAAAGGTCACAGAGAACTAGGCAATTAGCAAGTCAACTGAAATGGACAGGAAGCTCTCACAGGGTGAAAAGTGCCTCAAAGGGGTGGGTAGAGGGCTGGGGTCTGAGGGACTACTTCGGGGTTTGGTTTGGTTTGGTTTGGTTTGGTTTGGTTTGGTTTGGTTTGGTTTGGTTTGGTTTGGTTTGGTTTTGAGACAGGGTCTCACTATGCAGTTCAGGCTGACCTTGAGCTCATTTTGTAGCCCAGGCTGGTCTTGAACTCACAAAGATCCTCTTGCCTCAGCCTCCCGAGTGCTGGGATTACAGGCAGCGTTCACCACCATGCCTGGTGTCAGAGGGACTAGTTTGAATTTGGCTACCAAAGAAGGTCTCTCTGAGGTAAACTTTTGAGCTAAAATCTGTGCATCAGAATGGATTTGCCAAAAATAATTCCCACTGATTATAGCTCTCCAAGGCTGCTCCTGGGAACTTCCCCTGTGCAAAGCTAAGTGTTGCTACAGAGGTCATGCAAAGATAAACTTAGCAATTTTGACTTTTACTCTAACCTTGCTCTTAAGGACTTCATGAAGGACATTCCACAAAAAGACCATGGGAAAACATTTGCAATGTTTATGATAAAACAATTTAAAAAGAAAACAATGGAGTATCGGACAAATGAGAAAAACAAGTCCCAAAACAGGAAATCCAGAAAACCACTAAACATAAAAAGAAAAAGCTCACATAGACAACAAGGAAATGCGAATTACAACTACAAGATGGCAGATCTCACTAATCATAATGGTAAAAATGTAAAAGATCGAAGTCATCCAGTGTGGAGGATGGACATTTTTTGCGTCTAGTTGCTGACATATAAACAAGTAAAGCCCTTTTAAGGGACAGTTAGCAGAATATTTTAAGATTTTTAAATGAGGGTGCCCTATGATGCAGCAGGAGAAATCGATTCTACAAAAATAGAGACTGAAATTACCTATAAGAAGGATGGTAGAGTAGCATTATTTTTAATGGTTAAAAAAAGGGTAAGTCTCTTGCGCATACATCAGTAATGTGGGTGATTGACAAGGTGTGGTCAGTGCAGCGCATGGAATGCCTTGCTGCTCAGAAAAGATAGTGCCTGACAGGTGGATAAAGGAGCACTTAACGATTGCATAAAAATTAAAACATATCTCATTTTAGGCCTCTATTTGTCTAGACATAGAAAAAAGACTGGGAGGATAGGCAGGACATTACCAGCAGTGACTTTGGCCACAGGAAGTTCAGAAAGAGGGAAATGGAATTTTCAGTTTTTATTTTATACATTTATAATAAAGAAGAAAACTCCACTCAGTTAAGGAACAGACTAAATTTTATCTCAGCTGGGAAGGGAAACTTTCCATTGTGAATTTTGTCTCTCTCTTTTTTTTTTCTTGTTTTTTGGGTTTTGTTTGTTTGTTTGTTTTTTTCCTGTACCAGGAATCAAACTCATGACCTTGCGCTTGCCAGGCAGGCGCTGTGCCACTGAGCTAAACCCCCAGCCCCTGGTTTTGGTTTTTTGAGACAGGGTCATGCTATGTAGTTCACGTTGGTCTTGAATTCACTATATCGTTCACACTGGCCTCGAACTTACAGTGTTCCTCCTGCCTCAGCTTCCTCAGTGCTGGGATTACAGGCACACCCCATTATGAATTTTGCAGGAGGACTGCATCAGTACCAAGCTGGGTGTGTTCAGACATGGTCCTGTTTCTTAAAGAACATGCAATTAAATAAATATCAAACAATGGAAAGGGAAAATGTATGTGATACGTATAACTAAAAAAATGTAAATGAATGATTGATAGAAATATGTAACTTCTTTAGATGGTTTCCGGAAGGAGATAAAAATAATTTGTACATAAGACACCTATAAAGTCAAACATCTATCAAGATGTCAGAGAATGGTGAAAGGAAGAGATAAACGCATCATTTTAAAATGAGGGAGTGCTGTGTTATCACACGGAACAGTGTAGTTTTACTCTCATGGAAAGACTTGCTCAGAAGGCACAAACACAATTCCTAATACTGCGGGGCGTGGTGGCACATGCCACCTGTAATCCCAGCAGTCGGGAGGCTGAGGCAGGAGGATCGCTGTGAGTTCAAGACCAGCCCAGGCTGCAAAGTGAGCGCAAGGCCAGCTTGAACTGTATAGCGAGACCTTGTCTCAAAAAAAAAAAAATTTCCTGATATGGAATCAAGCTTTTTACTGAGCACCCCCTGTGCACCAGACATTGTGCTTCACGTAGAGTGCTTGCTTTGATCCTTACTCTTGCCACCCTTTGAGGTAGCTGCTGTCCCTCCTTACAGAAGAGAGAGGCCTGGAGAAGTTAGCTGCCCAAAGCCACACAGCTGCCAAACAGAGAAGCCAGGATTCAAACACAGTACTGATCCCAAAGCCCAAGATCCGACCCTTTGTACTAGCTAACCTCCACAAGTGAAAGGTCAGATTCAACGCTGGTGAAGCACACACAGGCACAGCGCCTGCCTTACTGGTTGAGTGAGACATCTGGGGTATTTCTAAGCCTTGGGAGATGCCAGACCGCACAAAGACTGTGTCCTGGTTTTGCCCTCAGACCCAAACTCTCCCTGTGGCAGAACCTGCTCCAAGCATCCTTGGAGCCCTGCACATTCCAGGTTAGAATGTCCACGGAGGTGAGGGGCTTTGTGATGCTAGGTCGTTGCCAGGCCACCTGCAGGCCTGGGGCTGGAGGCTCCTGTGGCTACTCCCTGTTCGCGCTGTGCCTGCCACCTGCCGAGGACCGCAGCATCCTCAGCGCCCAGGCCCAGAGCCACCCCCGCCTTACACCGCCTTGCGCCGCTTTGTTCCCTCCCGCCTTTCTGTTGCGGTTGTCGCGTCCTCAGCTCCCACCGCCCTATCCCGCTCCCTCATTCCTGACCCTTCCTCCTCCGCTCCTCGCTCCTCATCGCCTGCTTCTCAGGCCTCTCTCCCCTTCACTTCTGCCGCTGAGCCCCACACGCTGGCCCTTCCTTGGGCTCCTTCCTCCGCTCCAGACCACACGCACAGCCTCAGCGCTTCTCTTCGCAGCTCCCCCTTGCTCGGCTCTCCTCCCACACACTGAGCTGGCCCAAGTGGATCTAGGGATAGGCATGGAGCACGGCGGAAAAAGAGGGAAAGTAAGTCCTCACGATCGGCATGCAGGACCAAGGCCCGAAAGGCAGCCTAACCTTAGGAATACAGAAAAGATGGAGGTGAAAGGGAAAAAAAAGAAGAAAGACATAGACGAACTGAAGAAGGAGGTGGTCATGGTGAGAACCCCAGAACAGATCCCCTCTGCACACGTCCTCGAGCCCAAGCCCAGGCCAGAGCTATCCGCTTCCCCAGTGCATTTCCTCCCCTCTCTCTCTGCAAAGGGCCTGAGCTCACCATTTCTCCCTCCGGTTCTCTCTCCCTTCAGGATGATCACAAATTAACCTTGGAAGAGCTGAGCACCAAATACTCCGTGAGCCTGACACAGGTAAGTAAGGAACTCCCTCAGGGAGGCAGCAGGGCTCCAGCTCTGACTTTGCCAGGACAAAGCTGAGCTAGAAATCAAATGCCTTGGTTCTGAGTCCGGCGTTCATACCACTTATACTCTACCAGGCCAAGTGCCACATGACTTGGGAAAGGTGACGAGGGTATCTACCCACGGACAGCGCAGGACTGGATAAGAGCACAGGAATGGTTCAGGGCAGTGCTTCTCAAGCTCTTCATCCTTAGGACTTGTTTATACTCTTAGAATTTATCAACGACCCCAAAGAGCTTTTGCTCCTGTGGGTTGCAGTTAGAAATTACGCTTGAGAGATGTAAAAAGTGTTTCCCTAACTCATTTTAAAAAGGAGAGTAAACTCACTATAAATTAGTATCGATAATATTTTGTCCAAATAACTATATTTTTCAAGTCGGAAAAATTAGTGGCATCTTACCTGTTGCAAATCTCTTTAATTAGTCTAGCTTTTTGATGTAGCATAAGTGGTGTTTCATATCTTGTCTGTATTCTATCTCTCGCAGTATGCATGGGTCAAATAGCACTCAGAAAATTTCTACCAAGCCAGGCATGGTGGTGCACACCTGTAATCCTACCACTCTGGAAGGCTGAGGCAGGAGGACCATAAGTTTAAGCCCAGCCTAGGCAAGTTGGCAACTTAGCAAGGCCCTGTCTCAAAATAAAAAGTGAAAAAGGGCTGGGGAATGTAGCTCAGTTAAAGGCCCTGGATTTCATCCACAATACTGAAAAAAAAAAAAAACTACCATACATTCTTGAGAATGAGAGTGGAAAGAATGATTTTCTATGAACTTTATGGGTGCCCTAAAAGAGCTTTGGGATCCCTTGGGATTTTCAGAGGGGATGTTGGGGGGTAGCTGAATGGAACTGGTAGATTCTACTATTATATTCATTTAAAGGAAAAAGTATATAAGCTAGTGCCCACGACTAGAATGAGAATGTATGCATGCATGCCTTTAGCTGGTGCTTTTTTTTTCCTTTTCTAAATGCGATAGTGAAAGTGTGGAGGTCAGTATGTTATCAACAATATATATTATATCTCATCACTACAGTGGCTTTGCACATTAGGATTACTTCTATATATTTATCTCTCCCATCTGAGCTCCCTAAGGGGAGGGACCATTTTGATTCATGTTGGTATTCTCACAATATCAGGCCCCAAGATAGGTGTTCAAATTCAAAAAGGTTTGTAAATCAATCCACAGACAAACAAACCAGCCTTCCTAAGCTACATGATATCCCTTCTATAATCAAACTTTAAAATCCAACCTGATCTAGAAGGAACTTCCAGACTGACCTTCAGAGAGCTGCTTTGGTCCAGCCCCATCCTGAAGTTATAAACGGAAGGTCCCCCTTTCCCACAGCGGCCTCTTTCTTCCCAGCTCCCTCTCCAGTCCTGTGTCTTCTTCACACAGGGCCATAGTCCTGAAAAGGCAAAGGAAATCCTGATTCGAGATGGACACAATACACTTACACCACCCAAAACCACTCCAGAATGGATCAAATTCTGTAAACAACTGTTCACCGGTTTCTCCCTCCTGCTGTGGATTGGTTCCATTCTCTGCTTTGTGGCCTACAGCATCCAGGTGTATTTCCATGAGAAAACTGCCAAAGATAATGTGAGTCTACTCAACTGCCCAGTCCCGTCTCAGCTCAGTCCTGGAAACCCTTCTGCTCAGCAGCCCAGTACTCCTGAAGGCCTCCGGCACAAATCCCTATGAGGCCCAGCTCTTCCTAAGGAAACTTTGGCCCATCTTGCTTTCCTTGACTTTTTAACTAGAGAACTCCTGGTTCCACCCCCTGGGATGTATAATTTGCCCCCAGAAAATTTCTCTTGTTTCCCAATCAGTCACCAAGGCACTTAGAAGATCTTTTCTCTTTCTCAGAATTGTAACCTCTTCCTCTTCTCCTTCCCTGCCTCCCTCACTACCCTCACCTCCTTGCTGATGAGCAGCCTTTCTGGAGAAGACACCAGCCTTCACTGACCTGAGGTGTTCCTGACCACTCACGATAGCTCAGAATTCCTCCCTGAGAAGCGAAGTATTCCCACCCTGTCTCACCCTGTCTCTTCCGAGCCTCTCTGCTTCTCAGCTCAGCCCTCAGTTTTAGCTTTGCAAGCTGGTTTTGTAGGATGAAGAGGAAGAAAAGGACTTAGTGATGAGCCTGCCTTTCCCATCCCCAGCTGTACCTGGGCATTGTTCTGGCTGTCGTCGTGGGCATCACTGGCTGTTTCTCCTATTACCAGGAGGCCAAGAGCTCCAAGATCATGGAGTCTTTTAAGAACATGGTGCCACAGGTAGGTTTGGTGTGGGAGGATACAGTGAGAGGAGGTATGGACAGGACCAGCTGCAGTTATTAAGCCTCAGGAGAGTTAACATCCTATGATGAGTGAGGTGAGTCAGGCTGGTTTGGGGACGACGGGTCTAGGTTACTCTCTCAGACCTGAAATGTAGCCAGGAAAGCTGGGAACCCCTGAGAAAGATACAACATCACCAAGAAATAGTCTAGTCTGGAAGGCACAGTTGGAATCCAGTGAGGAAACACTATTCACCCCAAATGAGAACATTATGTTAAAAAAAAAAAAAGGCAGGATTGGTGGGGAGGCTGGATTCTTCAAATGTCAATGACTTTATTGACAATGAACAGCTCTGGAAATGTTCCAAATTAAAAGAGTTCCAGAAGACATGACAACTGAATTCAATACTTAGCCCTAGACCTGATGCTATTCTGGAGGAGAAAATAATACTTTATTTTCCTTCAGTGCTGAGAATTGAACCCACAGCCCCTTCCATACTAGACAAGTGCTCTATCACTGAATTACACCCCTGCCCCAAAATAAAGATATTTGGCGTCAAATAACAAAACTAGAATTCAGTTGATAGATTAAGGAATTGTATCCTTGTGAAACTCACTAAAATGGCTAAAACTATGTTGTGCTTATATAAGAGAATATCCTAATTCTTGGAAAATTCTCTGGAAATTCTTAGGAATATCCTGAAATTCTTAGGATAAAAGATGGTTCTTAGATAGTTTAACATAGTTTGTTCTTAAACTATTTATTTATTTATTCTTAGTTCAGGGGGAATGAAAGTATATACATACCAAACACATAGGCACATAAAAACCAGTGACAAAGCAAATGAGATAAAATGCTAATAGGTGAAGGTAAGTAAAGCTTATATAGGTACCCATGTTCTTATTTTATTATTGCAACTGTTTTTTTGAGACAGAGTCTTGCTGTGTAATTTAGGTGGCCTCAAACTCACAGTAATCCTCCTGCCTCAGCCTCCCAAGTGCTGGGATTACAGGCATGCACCAACATGCCCAGGCTTTTGAGGGTTAAATTTTCTTAAGGTTAAATTTATTTTTAAATAAAAAGTTTTTAAAGGTATGCAGAAATAATATGATAATAGACCGGAGTTCCTAGGCATAGAGCTGGAAGCTTGTAAAGGAATAGGTTCTAAAATTTCCTAACAATGTGATCGTGTTCTAGTATGATAGCCTCGCTGGCTTTGTTATCAATATAATTTAAATTTTCCCCTTGGATAGGAATTTTGAGAGAAAATATTTTGGTAGTTTTGAAGAACAAACCATCCCCCAAATTTAGTGCTTTAAAATAATGCATTCTTTCTCCGCATCCTGTGGCCAGGTTGTTGTTCTAGCCTGGGCTGGCCTCAGCTGGTGCTAGATGATCTCAGATGATCTCACTCATTTGTCTGGGCCCATGGCTGAGACGACTGGGACAGTGGGGTCTCTGTCCTCCTGATCTCAGTTCTTCCAGGAAGATAGCTTGGGCTTGTTATATGGAGCAGAGGGTTCCCAGCCACAATAGGGCAAGCCCCGACCTGAAAGCACTTTTTAAGTCTCTGCCCGCATTGCTTTTGCTAATGTCTTACGGGCCAAAGCAAATCACAGGTCTAAGAGTAAAGGGAGAGATTGCACCTCATGATGGGAAGACCACCAAATTCAAATTGCAAAGGGCCCTGAAGCAGTGATGTAGGAATGTATAACCTTCCAAAGACACCTTCAAGAATATTGTGGTGGGTGACATGGTAAACCTGGGGAGTCAAGAGGGAGGAGTCCGGAATAGAGAACTGTAGGAGAGGAGTAGCATGTGGGAAGCAGCAGGGTTTAGAAACAACCCTGCACTATCTTCCCATAGCAAGCCCTGGTAATTCGAGGTGGAAAGAAGATGCAAATTGATGTACAAGACGTAGTGGTGGGAGACCTGGTAGAAGTGAAGGCTGGAGACAGAATCCCTGCTGACCTCCGGCTTATCTCTGCTCAAGGGTGTAAGGTGAGGAGATGTGGAAAGCTGGGGAGTGAGCTAGTATGGGTTTAGGGAACAATAAGGACTTGGGCTCAGTTAGGGAAAGTATGATCTTATCATTCCAAACCTTAAGAAGTTACCAGTGAGGTTGCGGCTACAGACAACGAGGTCCTGGCCTAGACATTTGTTTCTCTCTATTCATGATGATGTGGGTGACAGAGATACACTGTCTCTATAAATCAGGCTGCCTTTTTTCCCATGCTCACCTGACACCCCATCCTCCTTCCTATTCCAGGTGGACAACTCATCCTTGACTGGGGAATCAGAGCCCCAATCCCGGTCCCCTGATTTCACCCATGAGAACCCTCTGGAGACGAAAAATATCTGCTTTTTCTCCACCAACTGTGTGGAAGGTGAATATTAAATCCTAAGCAGCATAGATTGAAAAGTACAGACTGAAACAGACAGACTTCAAGAAGCTTCTGTCTTCTAAAGGTATTGGGGTAAGAACTGGTGAGCAGTTAGTAGCTGTGTGCCCTTGGTGAAAGGTCAAAGCTACTATTTTCACCTTTGCACAGTGATGGCACGAAAAGTCATTACCCATAGATTTTTTGTGTGGGTTAAAGAAAATAATAAGTCTAAAATGCTTAACTCAAGTCCCTAATCATGGGACGTGTCCTATAATTATCAACTATTATTCTAGCAAGTGAAAGGACTATGGTGTATGTACTGACACGGACACAGAGGGAGGAAAACTACTCATCCCTGCTGGGTGGTTCTTTCCCTGGAGCAAGCCTCTCCAAGACTCCAACGATACTGGCACTGGAAATTGGAGGTACCAGAGATGCCACTCAGACTTTGGCTTTGCTCCTAGAATCAAGGGCACCCTTGAACTAGGAGGGGTTCTGGCCAAAGCGCTGACAACTCAGCATCGTTATGTCAATCTCTTCTTTGCCCTTTTCCCTTAAAGCAGCCTGAAGACTCCCTGGAACACACTTGAAAACCATGATTAATGCTTAAGAGTAAATTTGGGGTATCTAGAAATAGCTGCTCTTTATTGAATGCATAAATGCATTTTATGGGATGCACTATGTCAAGTGCTATAGATTTTCTCTCCATTTCTCACAGTGCGCTATAGTAGGTATCATCATCCCTGTTTTACACACGAAGGGCTAAGTCTCAACAAAATTAAGCATCATATCAAAGAGTACAGGTCAACAGAAGGGGACGATTAGTACTTCTAATCTGTCTCCAAAACTCACGCCCTTCCCAAGACCCTCCTCTGCCCTGAAAGATGGCTAACGTCCTTCCTTGTAATCAAATAATTTAATTTGAAAATACATTAAAGTGTAACATTAAGACTGAATAGAAGCCAGGCATGGTGGCACATGCCTGTAATCCTAGCACTTGGGAGGCTGAGGCAGGAGGATCACCATGAGTTCAAGGCCACCCTGCACTGCATAGTGAGACTTTGTCTCACACACACACACACACACACACACACACAAAGATGGAATAGACATGGAAAAAAATCAAACCAGAAAATAATATATATACTAAAATTTAAAAATTGGACAGCAAGGTGGAAGTTACCAAATTTTCTCCAAAATTACTGGACTTCTGCTATTATATTCCAAGAACAAATTTGCTCAGATTTTTTCTTCCCAAATGGGTTTTTCACCAGCTATGTATGTGCTCCAGGTTAGAGGGCTGGAGCGAAGTACGTATGGCATTGCTTTGGGAAGTGAGCATCAATCTAGGTGAATAAGGGTGTAAGGACAGGAGCAGAACCCAAATGTGACCAAGATCGGGGAGCTGGGTCGAACGAGCTCTTAACTGTTAAATTGAGTAATTTCTTGTGGTTTACAAGGTAGTAGCATTTACCCTGGACCAATCTGTCCTTTAACCTTTCCCTACAATGAAAAGCATAACTCTAACTGTACCCTTGCCTCTTAATTGTCATACTACGGGCTTGACGGGGCTGCAGTACAAATGTCTTTCTGTGGGTGCTCATGGATTTTCTAGGCAGCCTAAGCTATTTCCTTGATGACATGGATGGTATTTAAAAGAACTAGTCTGCCCTGGAATATAAGATGCTTGGCCTCCTCAATCTTCCCCTAGACTAACACCAAACCATCCTGCCTCTAGACATATTGGGATTAGTTATTAAACCTCATTTCTCCCAGCATGGGGAAACCATAGCAGAAGGAATAAAGGTGAAGAACTAGACTTAACCATGGCACAAAATAAATACAGGTGACACTAACTCTACCCATCCACACCCGTCCCATCAAAAACATAAAACCCTTCAGCACCTCTCAATTACTGTAATAGTTTCATAAGACTCAAGAATGCCTCTGACAGCAAGTTCAAAGGTTAAATGTAGAATGCTTCATCTATGAAATTTCCAGAAATCTCCCTCCACAAAAACTCTGACCTGTCTGCAGTTCAAGGGCCCCACATTCACACTCATATAGATGAATTTCTAAGGTCATATAGATGACCTTACAAATGGAAGCCACCAGCTGTACTAGGGGATGTTTGTGGGACTTGCTAAATGAGAGTTACCCTCCTAGGTCTCACATAAAATTTTATAATGGACCTTACGGAGACCTTAAATTCATCTAAGAGAATAAAATAACTAATAGAGTGTCTCCTGTGTGCCAAACCCTGGTCGGCACACTTTTCAAAACATTTAAATTCCCAGCTTTGTAGATGCTTTAATCCCATTTTAAAATGAGTCTCACAGCGTTAAAGCAACTTGCCCCAGGGAACACAGTTATTTGGAAAGCTGTACGTCCAGCCCTGAGTCTCTTTCTAAAATAAGGGCTATTTCTACAGTGTGTTCCTTTCCTGAGTGACTCTGATTTTAGGAATTTCAGTTATTATGGTAAAGCAGGAAGAGTTAATTTAAGCAAAGAATCTTGTCACGCCCTGCATTGCAAGCCACACATAGGTGAGTGGCCCGCATTCTGTGCGTGACAAGCCAATCATGATGACACAGTTGCCCTTCAGACATGGGGAGCAGACAGGTGCAGAGAAAAGGTCAGGCAAGCACAGAACCCAGCTGTCATGGCCTGTGCTACCCGGCAGAGGTCAGACTGGCTCCAGCTAGCAAGCGGGGAAGGGGGCTCGGGTCAGGCAGGGATCCTCAACTACTGACACGCAAGACCAGAGAATTCTCTGTTGTAGAGAAAGAGGAGGGCTGTGCTGTCCACTGCAGGATATTTAGCAGCATCCCTTGCTTCTACCCACTAGGTGTCAATAGCAGTCCCCTCCCCCCAGCTGGGGGCACCCAAAATGTCCCCAGACCTTACATGTCCCTGAGAGGAAGAGCCAGTTGCTCCCAGTTGACAAACACCAGATTAGCAGATAGAGGGCTGCTGGAACACAGGACACTACTAATGGGGTAACTGCTGTTTCTGGGGCTGTAGAAACTCTTCAACTGCTGAGGACAAAATAAGAAATGTACAGGCAATGGGAGGTGTTCAGAATAAGTGTAACGAAGGCTTTCTTGACAGTGATGGCCATTAAGCGATAGAACTGAGTATGTCTGGAGGGCCGTGAAAGCGCTTCAGAGATTGTTCTAATTTGGAAACCCTCACTTGTATGCACTACACATGAGACAAACAGAGCATAACGTCCTCCCTCCCAGAGGGCCTGCTACGCCCACCTTGTTTTTGATCATGGACAACTTTCTTTTCTTAGGAACCAAGCCCAACAGCCTTCCCATTTCAGACCGGGCATATCTTAGTTGCTTGCCACAGACAAAAAAGAAAAAGGATTTTTGTGTTTTTCTTTCAACTCTCACATTGAACACAGAACCCTTCTATGTCTAAAGTGTGTGAAGATTTTCATATCAGCCACCAATTTTCCAGCAGATACCACCTAGGGATCCCAGAATTCAATTCAATTCTGACACTGTTTCTTTGGAAATAACAGCGAATAAGGACTGAGTCCCACAAGACTGAGGCTGTTCATCTATATCTCTGACAGGCTGCTAAAAATCAGGGTTCCCGTGACCCCTTCCTTAGGTTCAGTTAAGTGGCTAGCACAGCTCACTGATCTCAGGGTAGTGTTTGACTTATATTTTCCCATTTATTATACAGGATATTACAAAGGTGACCATGCAGGTGGAAGAGATGCACAGGGCATGGTGTGTGGGAAGGGGCATGGGCTTCCATGCCCTCTCTGGGTACTCCATCTTCCAGGTACCTCCACATGCTCACCAACCTGGATCTTCTCTTAACGCAGCCTTTTTGTTCTTTTATGGAAGTTTCATTATATGGGCATAACTGATTACATCATCAGCCATTAGTGACCGACCCATCCCTCCTTCGCAGAGGTAGAGCAGCGGGGCTGAAAATTCAAGCCCCAAGTTTGGTTCCCCTCCATCCTGTAGCTCCATCCTGTAGCTCTCTCCAGGAGCCCACCAAAGAGTAGCCACATCAAAACAAAAGATTTGCTTATCACCCAGGAAATTCCAGGGGATTTAGGAGCTCTGTGTCAGATACTCCTATCACTCAATTACAAAGGTCTCAGGAACTAGGATCAAAGACTACGGGTGAAAACAAAAGATTCTCCTAGCAACTCTATCTTGGGTTTTATGCGTCTATGTCAAAAACTGGGGCAGAGGCTAATAGAGGTACTTATCATATCAGGATATCACACTCTTTTCCTTTTGTCCACAGGAACAGCCCGGGGTGTTGTGATTGCTACAGGAGACTACACAGTGATGGGCCGAATTGCCTCACTGGCATCAGGCCTGAAAACTGGCAAAACCCCCATTGGTGTTGAGATCGAACACTTCATCCACCTGATAACCGGGGTGGCCGTCTTCCTTGGCGTCACTTTTTTTGTGCTCTCTCTTGTGTTGGGCTATGGCTGGCTAGAGGCTGTAATTTTTCTCATTGGGATTATTGTGGCCAATGTACCTGAGGGGCTGCTGGCTACTGTCACTGTGAGTACACAGGGTGGACGGTGCTGTCCGTGCAGGCAAATAACTAAGGAAAATGAAATCATTCATGCCTTTTTTTTTGTTGTGGAAACTCTCAAGTGCAGAGCATTCTTGAATGTGTATAGATCAGAAATAATTTAGCCGCTAATATCACACTGGCTTTTTCTGCCATAGTTTCTGGTCCTTTCCCTTTCTCTTCAATGAGAGAGGAAGCAAGTTGCAAAGGAGAAAACACTGGTCATCAAGAGCAAGTTCTAGTCCCGGGTGTACTAGCTGGTGACCTTAACCATACCACTTAACATCTCCAGGCCTCAATTTATTCATCGGTTTATAGAGCTAGATTCATTTATCGTTATAGAATCCTGCAGGAACCAAGGCCCTATAAATTCAATCTTTGAGCTGATACTGGACATTCTCTATAAAATCCATGAGAGATGATTACTTTTTTTTAAGAATGAGAGGTATCCCTTTTTGTTTCTGCTCCTATCATCAATGGATTGCTATCGTTAAATTTCATTATATGGAGCAGAAATATGATTGTTTCATCCTCATTTTTCCACCTGAAAAAACATAAAAGAAGTTGATTCTCTTTCTGTTCTACAGTCTAGCCCTTCAGATTTGTGTGTGTGTGTGTGCGTGTGTGTGTGTAAATGTGTGTGTGTGTGTGTTATGCTAGAGAATTAAACCCAGGGTCTTGTGGATGCTACACAAGTGGTCTACCATTAAGATGCATCCCCAGCACTCTAGATTTTTTATTGTAGCCATTATGTCCCTTCAAAGTCTCCAGTGGGGAAGAAAAGTTATCCTTTGTCCATTAGTCATTCTTCCTATGACAAAGTCTTTAGACTCTTTGTCCTGCTGATAACATGTTTGGGGTATGTTCTCAGTTATCAATATTCTTCCTAAAGTAGAAATGAGAACAATGCTTGGGTTATGTTTATTTTTGTTTTGTTTTGTTTTGTTTTGTTTTTTGTTTATTTCTCTTCCAGTACTAGGAATCAAACTCACGACCTTGTGCTTGCCAGGCAGGCGCTTTGCCGCTGAGCTAAATCCCCAGCCCTTTAGGTTATGTTTAAACTCATATGAAAGCATTGGAAGGGAAATATTATGTAAATATATTATAACCCCATGATTAGAATTCTGTACTTATATTAACCATGTAGTAAGGCTATATTAGCATTTAAAACAACCGTGCCACACATCTGACTTGTATTGAATTCATAATCTACAAAACTCTTCTGGTTTAAATGATTTCTCAAGTCCTTTTCAGTGCTGGGATATTCCTTCCCAATACCATCATTCTCTCCTGTCCATTCTTTTTTAAAGCTATGGGTACAACTCCACCTCCACACACAGCATCTTCTTCCACTGGCACTGTGGTCCCTGGAAAGAAGGGATGGGAGAGTGGCCTGGATCTGAATGGGAAAGAGGTCCCTCAGCAGAACAGCTGAAAGACCTCAGGGGCAAGGGTCACACACTGTGATAATCTGGCCAAGGAATACATGGAATCTCTTGCCAGAAACCACAAATACAAATCACTTCTTGAACTTCCTTTACCATGGGCACAGATGGAATTGCTATGGAGCACGGAGGAACAAAGGGGGAGAGAAAAATGAACACATTTCCAAAATACAAAGTAGGGTTAGTGAGTCCCTTCTCTCCCTGCCCTCGGCCTCAGGTGTGCCTGACGCTGACAGCCAAGCGCATGGCGCGGAAGAACTGCCTGGTGAAGAACCTGGAGGCGGTGGAGACGCTGGGCTCCACGTCCACCATCTGCTCAGACAAGACGGGCACCCTCACCCAGAACCGCATGACCGTCGCCCACTTATGGTTCGACGGGACTGTGCACAACGCCGACACCAGCGAGGAATACACTGGTGACTAGTGGTACTGGTGGGCCCAGAGTCAGGATCTGGGGGGCTCTGATGGGTGAGTTGAGAGAGTCCAGTCACAGAGACGACAGGAGAAGGCCGGGGTAAGAAACGGGATACGAATAACCCCCTGATTTAAAAACCTTCCTATGCCTTACAGTCCTTTCCTTCTTTCTCCCTAGAAAAATTCTCCAAGGGCTCTGATACCTGGTTCATCCTGGCCCAGATTGCAGGTCTCTGCAACCGAGCTGACTTTAAAGCTGAACAGGAGCTCCTGCCCCCAGCTAAGGTGTCAGGCCCAAGGGCGAAGAGGGTGCCTCAATGTCCCTCTCCTCAGACTTTCCATCCTGGGGTGCGGTGATTTCTCCCAGACACCCCTTCTCCCTGTGGCCACGCGTAAGCCCTGTGCCCAGGCTGGCACACCCTGAGGCTTATTATACAAACTCATCTTGGCAGCGGGAAACAACGGGGGATGCTTCAGAGTCGGCCCTCCTCAAGTTTGTGGAGCAGAGTTTCAGCTCTGTGAAGGAGATGAGAGAGAAAAACCCAAAAGTGGCAGAGATTCCCTTTAATTCTACCAACAAGTATCAGGTACAGAACCATCAAAGGTAGGAGACAGGTGGTGGGGGCGGGGCTCATCCTTGGGGGAAAGGGAGCTTTGCCTCCGCCTTCAACCTCGACTCTAGCAGTGGGATACCTCGGGAGAGAAGAATCCCAAATAAGGGGAAGTCTTAACTCAAGAAGAGATGACAATCAGGCCAAGAGAGGTGGACCAAGTGACAAAGGAAGAGGCGTTGCTTTCTAAGCGGACCTCTGACCTGTGCCACTTGTAGAGAAAACAAGTCCAAAAATTCCCTCTGAAGTGTTGGGAGGGGACAAAGGCTGGTCAGGGAAAGTCGTGTTAGAGTCACAAGCAGCTGCTGGAGGCACCCGTGTTCAGCATGAGATTCGCCACTGCAGAATAAGGTCGTCTGCAGGGCATTCTGTTTCATTAGCCATCAAGCGATTCCTTTCACTCTGTGCCTACATTTCCAGTGGCTGCCAGTGGTCAAGAGTCTCTGGAGTGGCTGTGAAGTTTTTCATTTCCCAGGGATTTATTGATCCATAATCTAGGGAGGAGTAGACAAGAGGAAAGGAAATGCCGGGTGAGGGACAGCAGGGCACAAACAAAATTCAGAGGGACAGGAAAGACAGTACTTCTCTGTTAGGTGACAGTCTTGGCAGACGTGAAGAGAAGGTTCCAGTAGAAAGCAGGAGACAGTGGCTTTACGACGAGTAATGCTCCCCAGGTCATCTGAGTTCTGTGGGTGAGGTGGGACTTGCTTGGGGGAGTGGGTTCCCCAATTCCCCCCACCGCTATGAAGGCTGAGCTTTCAGGTGTGTGTAACACAGAGGGGGAATGAAGCCCCCATATCAATTTTGCCTTTCTGTCTTAAAAAACACATAATAAAATAACACAATCTATACAGGTTTTTAAAAACCCAGCTACCTACACAATATATTCATACTGAATACTGAGCAAGTAAGAGTTAAATAGATCCATGCCTTCCTGTCTTGCCTGGTTTCCAGTCAGTGTAATAAAATAGGTCTCCTAGGCTCAGGCTGCAAACCTGATTTCCATTTTTTTGACATTTGGTGGCCTCAGTAACCAGACAAGAATTTTGTGACTTGGCAAAGCCTTTAGAAAGAATTAGGTACCTCTCCCTCCATGTGATTTAAAATTAAAGCAAAATATATTTGTAACATTGATAGGATAGCCAACAAGTAGCAACATTCCCTGTACAGACTACCTTAGAGACTCTTCTGAGCTGCTGAATATCCAGCTCAAGTGACAGGGCTGTCCTTCGATACACACCATGTGCGACAGGCCAGCTCAGCAGGAGCCTGCTCTGGGAGACTGAGTTAGCCCGTCTGTAAAGACAGTGCAAGGGACACCTGAGCCTACTGGCCACTTGCAAAGCTCGCTGTCTTTCCCTCTCTAAGATGGAAGTGAGAGGAAAAATTCTCTGTTCTGGCATTTCCGGTTCCTCCCTCCACTTTATCTGTAATCTCCTATCAAGCTGCGATCTATCTGTGCACTAGCTTAAGCTGGTCTTGCTCTCGTCTCTGAGTCTTTCATTCATTCAACAAAGACTTCTTGAGCATTCAGAAAATTGAGTTTTCTTAATATTTTATAGCTTTCTGCTCAAGGAGCCGAGGGTTTTCCTGTGAACCGTTTAAGCATATTTTAAACATAATTGAACAGTCTCTAATCGCAATGGTTGTAACCACATTCTACAAGCTGGTTTCATACCTAGCAGCCTCTGGGGCAAGCTGTCTGATCTCCTCTGGGCTCCCACACTGCCTTTCAATGCGCTGGTTTTGTTTCCTACAAGCAACACAGCAGGCATTTCCTATCAATCAGAGGCACCCCCTGGAAGCCGCTGTGACTGTGACTCTCGCCTGCAATCCTAGCTATTCAGGAGGCTGAGGCCAGCAAGGAGAATCGCAAGTGTGAAACCAGCCTAGGCAATATAGTGAGACCCTGTCTCTGAATAAAATTAAATTTAAAGTGCTGAGGTTGTAGCTCAGTGGTAGTGCTTGCTTAGCATGCAGCAGGATTCAATCCCCAGTACCGCAAAAAGGAATATTTTTAATTTTAAAAAAAAGAGAGGTACTCAGGGAGAGTTTGTGTTCATGGATCACAGAGCAAGAGAAAATGCAAAAGCTAAGCTGATCTTGTATCTCTCTCCTGGTTGCTATGGTCTCCCCAGGTTTACCTCACGGCTATTTTCCCTCCCTGCCCACCGCACCCAAACACTAGCTAGTAATCTCAGAGTGGGCACCAGGATGCCCAATCTATTGTGCCTCACAATTTTCCAAGTTTTTTTTTTCTTTCACAACTCTCTCACATAAAACCTATCAAAGTAGGGAGGCAGACCCTTTTACATGTTATGGAAGGAATTAGGGTTCTGCAGAGTTAAGTGGCTTAATCTGAGGTTGTAACACTAATAAGGCATTCATATTGGCCCCGGAACACAGGTTTGCTTTTGGTTTTCCTTTGGTTTTTTGGTTTGGGTTGGGTATTGAGACAAGTTCTCACTATGTTCCAGGCTGGCCTTGAACTCACTATGTAACACAGGCTAGCCTGGGACTCAAGACCTCCTGCCTCATCTCCCGAGTTCAAGGATTACAGGCATGAGCCACTCAGCAAACACAGGTCTTTGGGCTCCTATGTTTTGTGTCTTGCCTGCTTGGCTGCGCTCTCTGCCAGCAGTGAGAGTGTTTGTCTTCCCTCAGAGAGCTCTGAGATTCCTGTGCAAATAGTACCAGGCTGAGGTTTCCTGGGAAGGGGAGCTGGGCTCAACCTTGAGTCTATTTTGGGGCAAGTGGGACAAAGGAAATGGTGGAGAAGAGCGTGAAACAGCTTGCTTGCCATTTTTTACCTTCAAAACTGTAAGCTGAGGTAGGAGAATCACAGTTTTGTACCCAGTTTGGGCTACGCAGAAAACTCAAGGCCAATCTGAACCATATAATGAGACCCTGTCTCAAAAAACAACAAAAAAGGCCTTCCCCTTGGCTCTTGCGGCTGCTCCTGGCCCTGTCCTTCTGTCCCATCGCTGCTTCCTCTCCTCTCTCCAGCTGTCCATCCACTGTTCGGAGGACAGCTCCCAGGGCCACATGCTGCTGATGAAGGGCGCTCCGGAGAGGATCTTGGAGTTCTGCTCCACCTTCCTCCTGCATGGGCAGGAGTTCCCAATGGATGATGAAATGAAGAATGCCTTCCAGGATGCCTACTCAGAGCTGGGAGGCCTGGGGGAACGCGTGCTAGGTGAGGTACCGTGGGAGCACTTTTGAAAGAAGGGCATCAAGTTGGCTGTTTGTGGGGTGCACAGTTTAGAATATGAAGTGCATGGGACAGGGACACAGAAAGACGAATGACTACTGGCCCCTTCTTTCTCTCTCCAGGGTTCTGCTTCTTGAAACTTCCAAGCAGCTTCCCAGCAGGATTCCCCTTTAACACAGATGAGATAAATTTTCCCATGAGTAACCTGTGTTTTGTGGGCCTCATATCCATGATTGACCCTCCCCGAGCTGCTGTGCCTTCCGCCGTGAGCAAGTGTCGTAGTGCAGGGATTAAGGTAAATTCCTGCCCGCCCCAGGTGACCTGTCATCATTTGGAGCTGCTAGTAGAAAGCCTTGAACAGAGTAGGTGCTTAGTAATCTTGGCTTAATAGATTTCTGCCTCCTCGAGCTTATGGGTTTTGGTCATAGTTGTAGGTTTGGGTTTTTTTTTTTTTTTTTTTTTTTTGAGATGAGGTCTTACTGTGTAGCTCAGGCTGATCTCAAACTCATGAGCTCAGGTGCTCCTCCTGCCTCAGTCTTCTGAGTAGCTGGGACTACAGATGTGTACCATGGCTGATCTTATGATCTTTAGTTTTAAGAGATATTTAATATTAACCTTCCTCTACATCAAAAATCTTACCTCCCATTGGACATTATAATCACCTGGAAAGGTTGAAAAATCTGATATCTAACACACAGCCCAGATCCATTAAATTAGAAATTCTCAGGATGGTCCCAGGCATCTGTAGAGATCCCAGTGAGCAGAGCAGTTTGAGAACCAGTGTCCAGCACAGCGCTTCTCAAACTGCCGTGCAGGGGAGTCACCAGGTGGTGATGCTGAAGTTTCCGGTAGTGCCAATGTGTTTCTGGGATAAGTGGTAAAAGGGCAAGAGGCTAAGGGCGCTGGAGAACTGGGGTATGCAGTAGTGAGAATAAGATCCTGAGAGCTGCAGAGTCCTCAGTGGGTCTGACTTGGAGTGAGCAGCTCCCCTAACAGGTTTATGTCCACAAGGGAAAGGTAGAAATGAAAATAACTTGGTCCGAGAGTAAAACTCAGCTGAACAAACCAGGGACTGGGAAGTCCTCTCTGACGGGGTGGGCCTTGGACTTCACAGATGGCAGCAGCAGGATTCCTCTAACTGAGATGTGGAGCCTCCACTTCCTGGGTCAGAGACACGCATATATCCTTACAGATAAGATACTGACACCTTCCTTGCTGTTACTTCATACTCTGAATCCCCCGCCTATCCTGGGTCCTAGACCTGGGGGAGGGCAGGTTAAGGCAGCGAGGTGGAGGTATTTCAGGAGGAGGAGTATGTTAGACCTGGAACTGTTAGCAGTTTGTCAAGGGATCCATCCCAGCCGTTCTTAGTACAGTGATTAGTCACTAGAGAGGGAGACTAAGAAAGTATGTAGGGAGTTACTGTGGGTGAATTCTTTACTCACTGTCTTACAAGGTTTCTGAGGTGATAAGTTCTTTGCAGAGATAATGCTACTAAAGCAGGTCCACAGAGAATAGGCAAGTGACCTTGGTGTACCCTGGCAGTTCTATAAACTAAAACATCACACCATGGAAGGGGTTCATTTGAATTTTCTGAGCCTCAATGTAGACTAGTAGAATGAGGAATAATGTGTTGGATGTGGTCTAGAATTTGTCTCATCTGGGAGTTTATGGATCCTTTTAGGAAAAAGTCATAACTGTGCCAGCCAGTAAGGAGACCCAAACCACGGGGAAAGGGTGATTTAGTCGGAATGCCAGCCAGGTCAGAATGTCAGCACAGCAAGACCCTTGAGGGTTGACCATAAACTGGCAACTGAAGCAGAGGCCTTGTGCCTGGCCAGTCCTTGTTCTGGGCACAAGTTTACATGTCTCACCACAATTTCGTACCTCCTCCTGGACTCTAAACCAATGGACGTTTGGCAGACTCAGTAAGAAATTGTGAATCAACCCGTCTTCCCTATAAGGGAAGGGTGAAACATACTCATGGCGCTATCCTTCAGGGAGGATAAAATGGAATGGACACACAGGAGCTTGTCCCGTGGGTCTGCTTGGAAATGGCTTGGTGCCAAGCTGACAGACATTACCAGGATGCCCAGTAAAAGTGGTAAAGGTTGCTGCAGGGTCACAAAGATTTTACAAAGACGTGATGGGAGACAGCGCCTTCCCAGGTAACTGTGTACTCACAGCTTTGGAATAACGTGATTTTTAAAAATTAAAAAGTGTTCCCATTACATTTACCTCTAAATAAGGATCTCAGTAGTATGAAGATACTTGGTCTTTGCTGTGAACCTGCTCACCCCTCCAAAAAAAATTGCAGGCAGGCTTTGAAGGCTGTTGTGAGAGCCTATGGTTATGTTCCCAACACTGGAAAGTTGCCCTCCGATGGGTCTGATCTGGAGGAAGAAGACAGAGGAGAACAAGAGGGTGGATTTTGAGACTGCATCAGAGGATAGTCAGCACCAAGGAGTTGGAAGGCACGTTCTTTTAGTACTCGATTCAGTCCAGAAACTGCCTGATGTGCTTTACTTTAAAGAGAGCCATTCTCTGTATAACTGTGGGTCTATTGTATGACTGTCTCGATGTTTGTTGGAGACTCGCTCTTGGGGTCACTGACAGTATTTTTACTTGCCCGGCTTGGCATGGAGATAGTCCTAGGGAAGGTAGTATGGAACCATTCATTTGAACAATCAGGCTGGGCTGGGTGCTACGAATATCCGAGAATGATACCATACCTTGTCTACCAGATTCTGGGTCACTAATGATGAGTCGTTGGAAGGCTTGCAAGGCACTGTACACCAGAACACTAAGGGCTCAGTCTGAACCACTTCTGGAGGGAAGTATTCTGTGCAGTTCTCTCGCAGGTCCTTGCTTGTTACCAATTATCCAACAGGCCAGACTTGTAAGGATCCAATGCCCCCAACCCACTAAGACACTGGACATCAGTGGCTGTGGGTAATCGTGCAGTGAAATTTACTGTCTCAGGTCATCACAGCCTGTTAGCACTTTTCTGTCTCCCAGTTTATCAGGGATACCCGTGTGGAACAGTGAGGACTCAGAAAGCACCATAGTGGGTTCCTTGGGGGAAAACTCCTCCCAGCCTTATTTCCATCAGTCAGGTGGTTTCCTCCTCAGGGTTTGAACAGTTGTGTCAGGTGGGTACACGGGAGCCTTGGGCAGTGGCTCCCAGGTACTCATCATTCCCTCATTTGATAATATTTGTTGGTGGCTTACTGTGTCCTAGGCATTGTGCTCAGGCAGGAAACTTAGCAAGCATCCCACCCTCACAGAGTTCTCAGTCCAGCTGAGGGAGAGAGAGAAGCAAGCAGTCACCATACTGAGAAGTGACAAGTGCCGAAAAGTGAAAAGAACAGACTGCCACAAAGACACAGAGGGAGGGCAGGTCATCTTGAGGTGGGGACGTGACAGGACTGTGGACCCAGAAGCCAAAGACAAGTTGAAACTGAGGTGCAGGATGAGGCAGGGGGACAAAGACAGGTACAGTGGAGATCCTGAAAAAATGTTAGGTAGGCGGGTATTCTGGACATTCCTTTATTACCACTTGTTCTGTGTGTAGGTGTTTCTGACTTGGCACTTAAGAAACAGAGCTGCTTGTGGAACGATTAAATAGAATTCTGAATATAGTGATACACCCAAAACTCTGGCTTGCTCCTGGAGATCTAGAACACCTATATTTTATGGTCTGATGGTCCTGACTCATTCCCCAAGGTGGAAGCCACAGTGGGAAGGTCTTTGGTGTCTACGAAAAGTTCTCAGGAATGGTCTACTAAAACCCTTGCGGATTGAAAGCAGTGAGCTATGGGAGGAGAAAGAGAAGAGATCCAGGATTCTCTGAGGATGATTCTGTTCCTCTTCCTCTTCCCCTCCCAACCCAGGTGATCATGGTAACCGGGGACCATCCCATTACAGCCAAGGCCATTGCCAAAGGTGTGGGCATCATCTCAGAAGGCACAGAGACAGCAGAGGATATTTCTGCCCGGCTTGGCATCCCTGTCAGCCAGGTCAATCCCAGGTAAGACCCCCCCAAAAAACTCAGATCTATCATTTTCCCCGCCATCCTCAGCTGCCCCACCCACGTCCAGGTAGGATTGCAGGGTTTATACATCATAATTAAAATGTAAGAAGGAAATAACCAACTGAAGGTGTCAGTGGGTTTTCAGAAGAAGCAGTAGTAAGAAAGAAAGAAGCAGAAGAAAGTGGTTGGCAAAAGAGGGAAAGAGATGACATGTACGCGTCACTTTGGGGACAGTGTATGCCGGGGACAAGTGATGAGACTGTGTGGAAAGAAAAGCAAGGAACTTACAGTAAAGGTTGGTCAGAGGGTACGAGGCGCCCCAGAACCAGCCTTTTGAAATTCTTTTCCTCAGGAGTGCCAAAGCCATTGTGGTGCATGGCTTAGAGTTAAAGGATATGAACTCAGAGCAGCTCAAAGAGATCCTCCAAAACCACACAGAGATTGTGTTTGCTCGGACCTCCCCTCAGCAGAAGCTCATCATTGTGGAGGGCTGCCAGAAGCTGGTGAGAGAGGCAGAGGAGCCGGTGGGGGGGAACCCAGCAGAACTCACATGGCAGAGCCCAGCCTCAAAACAAGCAGGGAAACGTGTGGGCTGAGCTACAGGAGACTCCAGACAGTATCCCACCTTGCACCTCCATGGTGGCCTTTGGTTTGGGGGCTAAGAATTGAAATTATCTCAGGGGAACAGGAACAGGAAGGGCCAGGAGTCCTGGATCAATGCATTTACAAGAAATGAGATGCTGAAATCGAACTAATCTTTGGGACTCGTCCTAAGTCTAACGTACTAATTTTTTTCATTCCTTTCTTCTGGACTTCACCAGGGAGCCATTGTGGCGGTGACGGGGGACGGGGTGAACGACTCCCCTGCACTGAAGAAGGCAGACATCGGCATTGCCATGGGCATCACTGGCTCTGACGTCTCTAAGCAGGCAGCCGACATGATCCTGCTGGATGACAACTTTGCCTCCATTGTCACAGGCGTGGAGGAGGGTGAGGAAGCAGGGTGCCCAGGGTTAGGTCTTGCTCCTAACTGGGTTTTGGGGTACATTACCCTCATCTTCTCTGCCCATCATCCAACTTCCATGATCCTGTACAGATTTCCAAAATAATCACTGTAAGACAAAATTTTGCAGATTGGATTCAGCTGACACCTAGAATATCACTTTTTTATGAGATTGGAGGAAAATCCAGATTTGCAAGGGATGCTGGGACTCTAGTGTAGGAGAGTATCCTCTTTGTCCTTTCACTGGGATTCAGGTGTTTCTAGAACATGCATGTACCTATAGCCCTGGGAAACTTCCGTACTCTGCAATCAGCAGGACCCTAGAAATGTTGACACATCAAGATTGGTTGGAAACCATCCAGGAGTTGACTTCATAAACACAGTTAAGCACCCTCTTTCCCAGAGAGCCCTGAAAGAGAATACCCATTGGTGAATAGGAGAGCCCTAGAATGCTATACCCAAGCTCCCTGCTTTCTGTCTGGAGCTATCTTACTAAAACATGACAGTCCACATAATAATAATAGTTATATTTTATTGAAACCTAGTATGATCCTAACTTCAAATAGCCATTCAATTCAAAAAATTCTTTTAAGCACTGGCTGTTCATGCAAGGCACTATTCTACGTACTGGAAATACAAGGGTGGGAGAGAAAATGCATGAATCCCTGCCCACAGACAACTTAACTTCTAGTGAAAAGAGACAGACTACTGTCTGCATACTATGCAAATTGCATACTATGTTAAGTGCAATGGAAAAAATAAAACATGGCATGCAGGAAGGGGTTACAGTCTTTAAAAGAACTCAGCAGTCCTGCAGCACAGGAGAAATGATGGTCAGAGAGATAAGAGGTACCCAAGGTCACAAGCTGGTTATGGCAGAAAATGAGATTCAAACTCAAGTCCATCCCAAGCCCAGGCTCTTTCCATTTCAGGCTTAATCTGGTAAAGGCTTTAATATTGGTATTCTCAGACATCTGAGAATTAGCTAGGGCTAAATTTGCTACATTTTCAGAGATCAGATAACATTAGCCATTTTGAGTCCAAGAACAAAGAGTACAGTCAGGACATGTTACTAAATCATGGCTCTAATTAATCATCACACAATTTAGGGACAAAATCGGACAGCCAGTGTCTAGGACTTCCAGCCTTTTCACGGACCATGACACTTCTTTGCAGTGGCCTCTCAGTCCAGGCACTGTTGGTGAGAGATAGGTCCTTTGGTGAGAGATAGGGCTCCTCACAGAAGGTTGGCCTTCCTTCGCAGGTCGCCTCATCTTTGACAACCTGAAGAAATCCATTGCGTACACCCTGACCAGCAACATTCCTGAGATCACTCCCTTCCTGCTTTTCATCATCCTTGGTATCCCCTTGCCTCTGGGCACCATCACTATCCTCTGCATTGACCTGGGCACAGACATGGTGAGGGCCAGGCTGGGACCTGGCTCTGGGAACTCCTGTGAGATAGATCAGGAGTAGGAGAAAGCTTGATGGTGGGCTGGATAAAGCCAGATCTGTGCCTGAGTTTCCTTCTGAACTTTGTGCCTCCATCATTCCATCCCTCTAATCTCCAGATACCTGCTATCTCCTTGGCTTATGAGACCCCAGAAAGTGACATCATGCAAAGGCATCCACGAAACCCAAAGACTGATAATCTTGTGAACCACCGTCTCATCGGCATGGCCTACGGACAGATTGGTGAATGCAAAGCAGTGAAGCGGGGAGGGAGAGGAGAACAGCTGCCCATTTGAGCCATCTCAGCTTGGAAATAGGGAGATATTTTCTCAAACACAAAATGCACTAGGCCTTAGCAACACAAAGAGCTGTTGATCTGGGAGCTGCCCTTGATGTAGGGCCCAGTAAAAAAAGAAACAAATGTGCCTAAAATGCCTGCATCTTTCTACACATTAAGTAGTGAGTACAGACAACATGCAAGCACAAAACTAGCCAGCTCGCTAACTTTAAGGGCAGTCAGGGAGGTTTTATAGAAGAAATAGAGCTTGAACTTGGTATTAGAGGCTACGGGCTTGAACTACGTACTATATATAGACAGATGGGAGGAGCAGCAAAGGGAGAGCTCACACAGCATCCTTAGAGAAGAGCAGACAGACGGTTTCGGTGGCATTCTTGGTGTCCATGAGGAAGTAGTAGAAAACAAGGTTATAGATATAGATGGCATTTATGTTGGGTCCACCCTGGAAAGACATTTGGGTGACATTAGAGGCCTTTGTTCTTGATTTGCCAGATATATCAGAGTGTTTCAGGAGCAGAGGGAGGGATGGACAGAGAAGAGACTGGGAACAAGAGAGGCCATCCCAACACCTACAACAGGAATCTGTAGAAAAAGCACAGACTTAGGAACCAGACCTATGTTTGAATTCGGATTTCACCACTTCCTAACTGTATAATCCTGGACAATGACTGGCTTTTGTGTGTGTTTCAGGTTTCCCATTCATGAGACATAGACAGTAGCTCAGCTTTGGGATGATCTGTGTCCACAAGGTACCCACACAGTGCACAGTTCTGCAGTTAGTAGGCAAACATTAACCCCACCTCTCACCATGGCCCAGGCATAGGAGCAGAAGTTTTGACTGAGGGGGAGGCAAAGGGTAAATAGCAGAGATATGAGAAGAGGCTAACACTTGATAAATGTCCAAATGTCAGAGGAAAGGGAGTTGTCCAGCTCTTGCAGTTTGAGGATGATGTGATTCAATGACACGGGGTTAGAGTTTAGAAATAAATGTCAGAGCTTGAAGACAAGTCCCTTAGATGAGGGATCAGATGTTGCAGGTGACAGTCTTCACTCCTGCGTAGATACACACCAATCCAACAGATGCAGGGCCCAGCCTCTGCCCTTAGATGGACTGGGTGCCTTCTATGACTGTCCTATGGCTCTGCCACTTACAGGGATGATCCAGGCTGTGGCTGGGTTCTTCACCTATTTCGTGGTCATGGCTGAGAATGGCTTTAAGCCTCTCGATCTGCTGGGCATCCGCCTGAATTGGGACAATCACTTCCTCAATAATCTGGAGGACAGCTATGGACAGCAGTGGGTGAGTACAGAGCTGGGGTGGCAGATGGCGACCGAGAGGAGTAACAAAGTGATGGGGAAGAGAGTGAGGTTAGCAAATTTTTGAAGAGTAGGAGAAAGGAGGCATCAGACAGAATAGATACCTCGTCTCCAGTCCTGAGTGCGCCATCATTTGTCTGAAACCTCCTATCACATCTGTAAACTTCTTTTTTATTACAATGATCAAATTTCAGTTCATTCCCTCTTTTTGTCGTATGCGCCACCTTCCTGGATTCCTTGCAGCTGGGGTCTTCTTTGTGATATCAACTCTTCTAGGCTGACTTCTGTTTCTGTTTCTCCAGGTTCTGAATATGGTTGCTCCCCAAAAGAATGCTGAGTCCTCTCCTGTTACATTCCCTCCCTCCGTAACAGTTCACGTACTGTAACTTGAAATCAAAAAACTTATATTCTTTCTATGCTCCATCCTTACCATCCTAAGCTTTTTAAATGTAAAGGATGCCTCTCTGTGGTCATCTTTCCTAACATCCAAGATAAAGAAGGGTCACACTGAAGTCCTCTCCTCAATAATATGTGCTCAAGAATTTTAGGAAGTGCGCTTTTTTGTAACTGAATCCTTCCATCCCCATTTCTGAGTCAGCGAGACGTGTGACACCAATTATCTGCAGAAGTGTAGAATCATAGCCTGTTATCTGTATTCACTCTATAAACAAGAAAACAGTCTAGAAAGATGTAACAACTTGCTCAAAGTCCTGCAGCGAATCCCCAGAAGAGCTGGATTAGGATTCTGGACGGTTGTTTCCTGTCTGGCATTTTCACACTTCACCATGGTACCTCCAAACTAAGCTAGTGGCAGGTTTCTCAGAAGTATGTTCAGATATGACTTGGTCGAAAGATGGCTGTCATACACGTGTGGCTTCTGCCAGCTGAGCCCCCTGAGGCCATCGGACATCAATGTTTGCAGCCACCAATGCTGCCCCAGATGCCGGTGATGCCCAAGGTCCGTGGCATTGTTCTGCCCGCCAATATTTCCTCAGCCCTCAACTCAGGCCCTGGTGAGTTTACACCCTGATACCTCCTCACTGCTGCCAGGGCACAGTGTGACATATTTTAATTTATGATAAAGATAATTAAAAGTACCTTAAGGTAAACTCCTTGTACCCTAAAGATATCACAAAGTATTAGAAGAATAGGTTGTGAACAGTTGCTCTGAGGAACAAATTCCATAGATGCAAGGTCCGTTTGTGTCTCTTCCACAATTGTAAGTATTAGATCATCTAACATAGAGCTTCCCACCTAAGGAGTACACTACTTACTGCTAGAAGTGAGTGAGCTCCTTCCTGTCTAAATATCTTCACTATTAATCTTGCAGATCACAACTCATTCTTTTGTTCAACCAGGATGTATTGAAACTCTCCTATGTACCAGGTACTAGGACCTGGGAACAAACATGATCAAGTTATTGCACTCATGGAATTTATTTCTAGTTAGCAGCAAAGAGTGTTTTTTATATATATCGTAATATCCAGTCAACAGATTGGAAGTCCAAGAAATATGAGAATTAAGATATTACACTGAATGAGATGGATGCATAAAGGCTAAAGATGGTGAAGAGAGAGACAGAGAGATATTCTTGAAATTAAGATTATGGAGAAATTGTAGATGTTGGGATGGATAATATCTAAAGCTGACTTATGAGAACAAGCACCCCACTTGGGGAGTGGGAAAAAATAGACCATGGTATTTGAAGGATCATTGATATGAATATTTATTTATTTATTTATTTATTTATTTATTTGGTTTTTTTTCTGGTACCGGGAATCAAACTCACGACCTCACACTTGCCAGGCAGGCGCTGTGCCACTGAGCTAAATCCCCAGCCCCAATATGAATATTTAGGTCTCAAAACAAACACTAAGGCAAGCAAGTGGCACACACCTGTAATCTCAGCATTCTGGAAGGCTGAGACAGGAGTACTGCAAATTAGAGCCCAGTTTGAGCAATTTAGCAATTTGTCTAGACCTTGTCTCAAAATAAATGAAAAGGGCTGGGGTTCTAGCTCAGTGCAAAGGCCCCGGGTTCAATTCCAGTACAGAAAAAAAAAAAAAAAAAAACAAGAGCAGCCCCAATAGAGTAACAGTGAGTCAAAGCTAAAATCCTTAAGAAATGATGGGACAGGACACAGGTAAAAGGAGCTGACTGCGGTAAAGGGTAGTGTTTATGATCGGATGCACACAAATACGCTGACTGGTCTGATTCTAAGGTTCATGCTTGGCTCATCAATTCTCAGCCTTTGTTTTCTAGTCATCCCAGGCTTTAGATTTCTCTCCAAGTACAACTGTGGCCACATCCCGTGTGGCTTGGCATGTAGTATCTCATTACTGTGCAGTTCTACATATTTTCAAAGTTCTTATTTGATCTATGAGTTATTTATAAACACACTGTTTCTCCATTTTTTTTTTTAATATAAGCTCTTTTCTCCAGTTTAATTTAGATGCACCTCCTGTGTGTCCCTGCAGCCTTCTGTGACCTCAGTCATGACCAACCCTTGTACTGGCATAGTTAGCATACTTATCTCTCCCAATATATTCTCCAGTTTCTTACATGTAAAATATGAATGAAAGAACCAAGGAATGAGTGAGTGAACATCTCCTATCTACCACCTCTTAGGCATTCCTTTTCCCTGTGCCCTGTCAGCCTCTGGTCCACCTTCCTTCTGACCTCTGACCTCTGTCTTCTGACTCTGTTGTCCTAAGTCCATCTTTTTCTCCC